ATAGATGGATAGATGGATAGATGGATAGATGGATAGATGGATAGATGGATAGATGGATAGATGGATAGATGGATAGATGGATAGATGGATAGATAGATAAATAGATGGAGATAAAAGTGAGGAAGAAAGAAAATGTAAAAAAAAAAAAGAAAAAGTAAAAGAAAAAGAAAAAGTAAAAGTAAAAGTAAAAGCATCGGATAAACTCACCCTAGCAGCGATGGAAGTGGTTGGCTTCTCAAGAAGATCCCAGAGCCACTTTTGATACTGGGCGCATTGTCCCTCACCAAACTCCTCTTCCTCCCTCTGCCTGAGTGACTCGGCCTCTTTGCGCATCTCCTCGTGAACATGCTCCTTCCGTTGATGATATTTATGTTGGCAACAACTTTCCAAGTATAGCTCATCTACGCCCCAATACTCGAGATCGTCGCTGAACGCTAAAACGCACATCTCGTCAACGAGATGTAATTTACCAGTACGATAAAAATTGAGAATCGAACTAAACGATTTGGGATGCCGATCGAAGAAATACTCGTTGTCGATGAGGGAATAATCGTCGCATAGTTCGGTGATCGCCTCATGGGTATTGCAATCGCGGAGACGTCCGAGACGAGTATGCGGTAACCTCTCGAGGGTACGCCATAGAACTTCGTGCTTGACCCCACCGACGTTGATCGAGACCCGTCGATTGAGAGCCTTAGAACGCATTATCATGAACGGTTCCGGCGGTAGGGACGTCATCGACCTCGAGAAGGCACGCTGCTGCTGCATCTGCAGCGGCAGGGGCGGTAGTGGCGGTGGTGGTGGCGGTCCTCCCGAACTTTGTTGCACTTGGCCCTGATGCTGTTGCAGTTGTAGTTGTTGTTGTTGTTGTTGCTGTTGCTGTTGCTGCTGCTGTTGCTGTTGCAGTATCGAGACTTGTCCTGTTTGAACTAAGGCCCCACCGACAGTAGCCGGTGGTGTGGCCAGTGGAGGAACCGAGATCGTTGGTTTCAGGCCACCGACGCCCAACGGGATTGCCGATGGAATAGCCGACGGAATAGCCGGTGAAAGAGCCGAGGATGATACAATGCCCGGTGATATGCCCGCCGTTAACACCGAACAAACGTTCGTTGGCGCGTATCGAACTTCCTTTTGATAGGTTGATCCGGTCCGTTCACCGGTGTTGCAACCAGTGCCAGTACCCATGACCACCACGGCTCCGACAGCCGATGGGGCCTGACTTCCTGTGCAAAAACTTCCGCCACCTACCGCCGCGGTAGCTGCGCGGCGTAAACTCGTCGCCGTCGTCGTCGTTGTCATCGTTGTCATTGTCGTCCTCGTACCAACACCCTCGAAGATGAATCCTTGATCGTTACCGACATTAGAAGAAACGCTTCCAATTCCATAGCTTGGTATAACATACGACGACGACGACGACGACGACAACACCACTACCGGGCCTGACGGAACCACGGCACTCCCATTGCTACGGCGCTCACCCTCCGCCGCCAGTGCGTCACTTTCGAACCTCTTGTCACTTAACATCGGCTGAATACGTCAACCCTGACAGGTAGATTTGATTTTGATTTTGACGTCAACGACGACGGCGATGACGACGACGACGACGATGACGACGACGACGACAACAACGACAACAACGACAACGACAACGAGGACGATAACCAAAAAGATAATCGAAACAATTTATCTACTCCTATTTTTTCTACCCCAATCCCAACCCCTCCTTCTCCTCCTCCTCCGCCTCCTCCCCCACCCCTCCTCCTCCGCCGCCGCTCCTTCGCTACCTCTTCGACCGGTCCTTCTTGAATTTCTTCTTCTTCTTCTTCCTCTGATTCGTCCTCCTCCTCCGCAACAACGTTACGCCTTGTCCGCTTCATCCGCCCCTCCGTCGATCCTCCAGCCTCGACTCGTTCGCTACGAGCCACCCAGTCATCATCTGTAACCCCATCAAAACACAACATCCTCTTACTTAACTCCTATTTTGAGTAAGATAGTCGGAAGTTAAGATTGTTAATCTTAAGCCTAAATCAATTTTTCTTTCACTTTTAGCTCATMCATCTAATTTCATTTCATCTCATCTCATCTCAATCTTCATCTCTTTTCTCACCTTTTTGTGCAAGTTTATTTGCAAGAAATCACTCCTTACCATCTATCCTTCGACAACCACCACCACCACTACTACCATATACGATCTTATCGTTCGAGACGTAACGGGGCCAGATTTCGTGAACGATACAACAATCCACCGCAAGCATAACTATTTTCGTATATAACGAGTAAAACGATCGAGTCTGTTGAAGTTACAAGAGTTCTTCTTAGGATTTTAACATGTGATCTAACTCAACGTGGGAGGGACAAAAGACAAAGAAGAAAGAGAATATAAAAACAACTTTAGAATCAAATGTAGAGCTGGAGAAGGATAAAAAAAGAAAGAGAAAGAAAGAGTCTTCAACACCACGAATACTCGTACAAAATCTCTCACCCTGTCATATTACAAGAATCTTCTCAAACGTTACATTTATACATTTCTTTGAAGGTTACTACACTCTGACCCAAATTCTATCGTAAAGCACCTGTCCCAATGATCAAGAAATGATCCCACGTGTGGTTCTCTTCGACCATAAGAAAAGAAAAGAGAGAGAGAAGAAAAAAACACGGAAGATGAAAGAAGAATATAAAATGATTGCCTTATTGCCAACCAAACCAAAAGGAAACACCAAAGGAAAAAAAAAAGAACTTATATAAATACATACACATCCTGACTCGGAAATTTCCTATTCTCGGAACGTCGAGATCTAATGAATCGATGCCGTTCTATTTCGAGAACTTTTATCGGCAGAACGTAAACTTCTGTCCGCGCGAGTACTGTAAATAGTCCAACCGGTAACCCCCTTGACCACCAAAATGTAATATTGTTTTAGCCAAGAGAACACGTTTCCTCGATTTAGAAACTTCCATCATTCTTATTACCTTCGATCAAAACTTGTTCTTTCTTTTTTATGTTTTACATGCACGCAAGCAAGCAAGAATTATATTATAACAAAAAAAAATATATTTTCGTTTATTTCTAATCCTTCGAATTTTATTCCAAAGGGACTATGAAAACGTAATAACGTCATTTAGCAAGGTGGTTTTACTCCGATCGATCGAGCTTTAACGTGTGGAACTAGAAGAAATTCGTTCGTAGAAAAGGTCTCCCCCCCCCTGATATCGCGCATTAGTAATTATTTACTTAAATAAACGAACTAACGAAAATTAAATACGAATATTTTTGTCCTTCTACATAGATGTGCGTGATATTCAAATATAATGTAGTATAATAATATCCTTCCATCTTCGAATCGATAGTCAAAAGCTTGACATCATTTTGATACCATAAACATTGACAAATATTTTCACTGGAAAAACGTGACTTTATTTTTTATCTCTTATACTTATTCCACACTCGGAGCCAAGAGGACTCGTACAGCGAGAATACATGAATATGATGTCTGGGTAACTTCCTGTCGACGAGTAAACGAGCCTCTTATGAGGAAAACACGAAAGTGTGAGAGAGGAAGAGATGTGTGGGAGGAGGAAGAGGAGATGGAGGAGAGGCAGAAATAAATCGATTTTTTATCCCACAGTGACCTAGCTAGCCAGCGTGTCGCAAGTACACTTGGCGGCATGTACAAAATGTTTAAGGATGCAGAATCCCGAGGATGCGCATCTTTTTCTTTAAAAGGGAGGGGGAGGGAGTTGGGACGAGTATAGGTGGAGTGCGATGATAGTGCACCCCGCCCAAAGTACTTTCCTCACGAAAATAATCCAAAAAGTATTCAAAGAAAGAGAAAAGAGTAGTAGTATCCAAGAGATCGTGAAGTTTTTAATGAGTACAAATCTCGCACTATACTTTTTGCCACTCAACTAAGATGTGTCTCTTTATGTCTTTAAGAAGATTTTCTCTTTCATATTACAAACAAACAAAATACCAACCATACATCTTTTCTTTACGTAATTTCCTAATTATATACGCGCATGTACGTGCCAACCGATCGATGATCGGTTTCTTTGAAAATGTTATTATAAAAAGTATAATTGTATATAATACAACGATCAATTTTTCTTGATTAATCGATCGTTATTAACTTCAACTGTTATTTTTTCTTTTCTGTTTTAAATTATAGGAAATTATATTCGACCGTTCGTCCTTAAAACATGATTATCGAACGATCATTAAAAGTCAACACAATTGGTATGAAATATTCTTCTTATCTATGTTCTTCCATCTTGAATATAATTCACTCGAAATTTAATGGTAGTATTGCTGAAGCGATATTTGTGTTCGTGACATATTCTCATTTCCTTTCTCTCTTTTTTCTTTCGTTCATTCAAATACATTAAAGTCAAGCATCATCATATCGATTAGATTCATTATTCCTCCCAAGTTATTACTACGATCGATCAGTAAAAACCAATCCCTTCCTATTTTAATTATTATTATCATAATCTCATAACACTTAACATTACAAAATAAAAATTAGCCCTTCGATGTTCTATTTAATAAAATGTGAAACAAACAAACGCCATAGAAACCAACTTGTTTCCTCCCACTTTCTTTACCCTAATACACTATCATATCCCATAAACGAAGTACGATTGTAGAAACGAAAGAATATCGTAGTTGGATCGATCGATTCAATACATTTACGTACGTATATGTGTTTGTACCGTTTGAAAAGTTCACCGAAATGACATCTAATTTAAAAAGTCCTAATTTACAAGATCGTTTCGTTGTTCGCAAGTAAAGTACTAGATGGAAAACGAGATGATCTCAAGTGGCTCACAAATTACACTAAAAGCAAACAGACTGTCCAACGAAGTCCGCCAAATGATCGGACGTGCTTTTAACTTTGGCTCAGAGATCGAATTTATAACGTTTTACAACGTTTCGTTTACTTTCCTCTCTCTCTCGCTCTCATTCTTTCTCACTGTTTCCACTTACCGCACAGACACGCACGCACACACACCCTCTCATTCTCTCTATTTCTCTTTTAAACTCTCTTTTAAAGTGTATATCACTTTGAAATGAAAAGAAGGAAACATTAAAATGCTAATCACTATAAGTAAGTAAATATTAAAAATCTTAGACTACTGTGGTGTATGATACGGTGTAAAAATAATTTGCAAACTTACTTACATACGTACGTAATTATTATTGCAATTATATTAGTGGTATATATTTTACTTTAACACGAAAAGAAGACTATTTTATGACGGCAATAAAGAAGTAGAGAATTTTCAAAGTGTTGGACTATAACTATCATCTGTGTGTACGATATTTTGTTAAAATATTAACTTACAAATTTGCGTACGGTAATATTTCTCTCATTAGAATCGAAAGCACTTTGAAATAAAATAAATAATATGTTGCAAAGCTAATAACGAGGTATTACAATTTTCAAAATGGTGGACTACTACCGTGTCATGGACTATATAAGAAAGAAGATATCCCCAGAAAGTTGTAGGAGTAAACGTTTGTTATTTGCAATCGTATTAGTAATATCCAAAAGTATGTATAAAATTCGAGAGAGAACATGAGCAATAATACAATATCATCCTCTTTGCGTGTCGCAACCTACTTTCTTGGCCAGTTAGAATTTCGAGAAAATATAACGTCAGCTCTCTGCCGTTTGGCTTTTAGTAAGCCAAGGCTCGGCCTTTGACAAAGATATCATTTTCGAAATCATCCGGGAATTATTAGAGTAGTTTTTGTCATTTCTACATTTTCTTTTTTTTTTACTTGCCTTTTATCATTATTCTCATATTTTCAAAAGAAAATTTCTAACGAAAATTTAACACTCGTTGGTTCCATTAAACCGTGTCCGAGAGAAAACAAAAAACGCCATAGAAATCAACTCAATTTTTCTCTCTGTTTCTCTTTCTGTTTCTAGGTCCACTTGACTATATAAATCGATTACTCGAACTTAATATCGAACACTGTACTATTCTCTTCTCTCTCTCTCTCTCTCTCTCTTTCTCTTTCTCTCTTGTTCTTTGCCTTCACGTCTATATAATTGATTATAGGTACGCACATGAGTCGGAAAACCTTGACAAATCGAAGATTGGAAAGAGAAGTTAAATGAGATAGAACACACTGTTCCTGTGTTCGGTTCAGCATGTAATACATTATCCTGAGCCCCCTAGGACGAACTCAAGAGTGAAAGAAAAAGAAGAAGAAAAAACATAGATACAAAGTTTCCCGAAAAAAGAAAACTTAATTTAACATTTTGTTGACTCGACATGATCGAAAAATTTTCTTACGATCGATCTATCTCGAACACCACTGTTATCTCTTTTTCTTTTAACAATAATCCAACGTTTCATGCATTCCTTCGGCTATCACGCACCGGAAAACCCTCGAGACCAAAAAAAAATACAGGAAGAGTATATATAATAGAAGAAAAAAAAACAAGGATGAAGGAAGGGGAAAAAAAGATCGTTTGAATCATTGCAGTCGTCGTGTTTTAGCATCGTCGTGTTTTAGCTTTGGTTTGCCTTACGCACGAGAAGGCAGAGCTACAATACGGAAATAGCCGAAAGAAAGAAAGAAAGAAAGAGAGAAGGAGAGAAAGAGAGAAGGAGGATAGTTAAATAGAGAGAGAGAGAGAGAGAAGAGTCGACGTCGTCTTCGCGTACTTAGGAAATTTTTGCGACTCACCTCTTCTCGTTCAAGCATAGCAGTCACCGTTCGTCGTCCGAGAAAAGAGCGGGACCGGCATCACAATCAACTGCATTTCGTTGATTCCCTTTCGATGAATGTACCAATTAATTATTACAATCCTTTTGACAATTCCAATATAATTTTAAAAAATATATATATATATATTTGTTAATAATAATAATCTCGAAAAAAGGATTGTTTTCTGAAGGATAATGAATAGAATCCTTTGATGAATGAATTTAAAGTGACTCCTCGTCCTTGTTCAGTGTATATCTTTTTCTTCGTCTTTTTTTTCTTCTTATTCTTTTCGTTCTCTTTCTTCTTGTTCGGATCCTTGGAGAGAGAGAGAGAAAGAGAGAGAGAGTCTAATGTAGCAACGACGACGAAGAGGAGGACGACGACGACGCTCAACTGATGCCTGCTCTTCTGCCACTTGTTTCACAGGCGAGCGCTGCGATCGACGTTCCTCGCGTCTCTTCTATCGATTAAACGCCGCTTAAGATGACCCTTCTTGCCCTCTTTGGCACAAGGGCCGCGAAAAGCGCCGCGAATTTATATATCAGCTATAGAGCCCTATAGTATAAACATTTCTTTTATTTTCTTTTCTTTTCACCCGATCGAATTTTTTTTCTCCTCTCTCAAGAAAAAGTTATCGTCAATATCGTTCCCAATTCGCCAAAGATAAATCTCTCTTTCTAAAGATATGCATGTATGCGGATGAAAAAACGGGAGAGAGAGAAAAAAAAGAGAGAGAGAATTTGAATGTAGAATAAGAAATAAGTTAGGCGCCAAGAAACCCAATGTAGCACGCTGCTGATACTGCTGATGTCGATGCGATACTACTACTACTAATACTAATACATTATTACACTAGTATTACTAATACTATTACAAGCTACCGTCTTCGCTAACGGTGGAGGTGGTGGTGATGCTGCTACGCTATTACTAATACTAGTGCGATGATGGTGGTAGCGGTGGTTGGGTAGTGGTGGTGCTACTTCAGTTACTATAACTGCTGCCATCTCCGACAGAGACATTACTTGGATGAAAGCCAGCTGTGCGCGTGCCTCGAAGATTATCCTAAACAGCAAACCCTGCGCGTCTTCCCTTTCTGGTATCACACTCGCCCCCGCCCCCCACCCTATCACCAGCCATCTCTAACAGCATTTTTCTATCATTCGACACGGTAATGATACATTGCTTTTATTAGAAACACATCTATTCTTTTTGTTGAATCATTAATGAATACTACTGTTTTTTTACTTCTTCCGAATACATTTGTATATCTCTAATGATGTATCTACATTTAATCTAAAGGACGATTTACATTATTGCATAAAAAATATCTTAGGAAATAATAAAATTGTAAAATATATTTATTTAACTTTAACATATTATGTTCTCCATGTAACTCGTACGTCGTCGGTTCTATACCTTTGTATACAGGTCGTCTCGTTCCAAGGAGTTCGACCATCTGTCTTATACTGTAATAATCCCGCGACGGCAATCATAACGCCATTATCGATGCAAAATCTTTCATCAGTTGCATACAATTTCGCATTTCTCTCTTTACACATGATAGACATCATTTCCTGTAGCCTTTCATTACATCCAACACCGCCCACAATTAATACTTCATTTGCTCCCACATGAGCCATTGCTCTTTCTATAATCATTAGTTTGTTAGATTAGATAAGTAGTGAGAATAATGATAAGACTGTACATAATTAACTGTAAGCTTACTTAATTTAAAAAAATTTTAAATGTATTATTCGCTTACCGGTGATTTCTATTAGCATAGCAAAAACTGTTTCTTGCAAAGAGAAGCACAAGTCTTCGGGTGTATATTCTTCCTTCTTGATCCATGTAGAAAGATGTTCCTCGATATGACTTAATATCCCAGAAAAGGATACGTCCATTCCCTTAACCACATATGGTAACGGAGCTAATTTCTTTCCCCTTTTTACATCCATAAAATTTTACAAGTTTCCATCGGTCAAATATGTCTGATGATCTTTACAAACGGATTACGTTTAAAGATCTTCATTTTACAAAATAAAGTTAAAAAGTTATTCATAAAAACTTACTTCTTTGCAAATTGTTCAATGTTGTATCCAGGACTAGGATCGTTGGAAAGCATTAACAATCTTGCAAAGCGATCTAGGCAGTTGCCAACAGCAATGTCTATTGTTTCACCAAATATACGATACTTTTGACGAGAGTATGCAATAATTTGTGTATTCCCACCCGATACGTACAAGACCGTTGGATTCTTACTACCGGTAATTAAGCGACCCATTTCAATATGACCAATGCAATGATTGACCGCAACAATTGGTTTGTTGTAAAGTTGAGCCATTGTACGAGCCACTAATGCAGCAACTGTTAAAGGGCCACCCATCCCTGGCCCTTTCGTATAACATATCACGTCAACCTCTTTCATAGTAATTTTGGCATTTTTCAATGCTTCTTTAAGAACATCGATTATACATTTTCGATGATGTTCCGCAGTCTCGCGTGGTAAAAATCCTTGTCACGAAAAATACACAATTATTTGTTTATTCACTTAATTTAGGAATGTTAACAAAATAATAAAATAAGTTATATTTACCTTCTCCTGGTGGTGTGATATAAGTAAGTCGTACGTTGGATAAAACCTCATCGTCGCGTATAACCCCAATACCTAATTTATTCGCACTGCCCTCGAAACCTATGGCAATCACCATTTTGATTTCTTTTTTTTGAGTATTTACCAATAAAATTAATAAAATGAAAACTTTCATACTTCGAAATAAGTCGTATAAGGTTATATACATTTGACCAATAAGAGACGTTCAATAGAAACCACCAATGAGAAAACGTATCTGATTAAACCAATAAGAACGATTGAATATTACATAGAGAATAAGCACGTCGCTGATTAGGCGAAAATTTCATTCCAGTCGAAACTGATCAATCGGAAAACGACTTGGCTTGACGCCATTACGAATAATATGACTATTGCATCAAAAGAGTAGCAAAAGTAAGTTACATACGCGTCCATATTTTGCACTGTTAAGAGAACGACGTATTTCCACGACTCCATTGTAGGAATACAACGTCTAACGCGGAAGTGTTTCGTGACGAGATTTCGTGCTGGAAAAATGCAAATTATCGAGTTGCCGGGTTAAGAAAAGTGAGTGTCGTCGTTAGTACAAATGTATCTTCAACAAAGTCCGGTGATCGCGGTGATACGAAAATATCGAAGGAAATAGGGTCGTGGTCCGGCGAATGGCCGATTGATTTTCAAGGTGATAACCATCTGACGCGAACGGATGAACGACTTTGCACTTCGGTACGAATAAAAAGAAATAAATAAAATCGCAGTTCATAAAGTGTGCTGGCGCGAGAAAGTCGTTCCGGTTCGGTTTCGGTTTCCTATACTTAAAAATTAAACATATATATATATATATATGTATACATACACATACACAAATGATGTATATGTGTGTATGTATATATAAAAAAACTAAATACGTAGTGCAAAAGTCGCTTTAAATCGGTATGTAAAAATAAAAAATAAGAAAATCGGAGTGTGCGAATCGGTGTGTATTGCCACCAACGCGCAACAAAAATTAAAAAAAAGGAAAGTTGCAAGGAGAAGTGAGAGAAGCCGAGCTTCACTTACGCGTTCGTGGAAATTAAGTAACACCAAAAAAGAAAGAAAGAAGTAAGGAGAGCTAAGAAGGCAGAAGAACGTGGTATATATATATATATGTATATGTATATATATAATATATATACATATATTATACATATATATAAATGTGTGTGTGTGTGTGTGCGTATATACAATGTATATACATACACCACTCCTTCCCACTCGTCGTGAGTCGTCATAGAGTCTAAGAACTGTCCTAGGGATATTTGCGGTTCGTGTTCTCATTCGTTCGTTAATTGGTTGCTTGGTTCTCTTCGTAGGTACCATGACCGAAACGGTGTCGCGATTTAATCGGTCGCGAGATCGCAAGACGTCTTTGACGTATCGTCATTATTCGTCCATTCTTTCCCTTGAGAAGGGAGAGAAGGAAAAAAGAACGCGTGCGGTTGTTCTGTCACCATCTCAACGAAAAATGTCATGGTCGTATGACTTTTCGAGAGAAACAAAAGAGAAATGGTATCATCGCGATGATACCTGATTAAGTTGGGAAGGTGGTTACGGTTAAATCCTCGCTTATAGTTATTAACGACACGATGTGACGACGAGCAAGCCCGCCGTGAGTCGCGCGCTCGTACGGTGCGGTTGCGCGCGCACACACACGCGCATGCGCCGGCCGCGGCAGAGTTGCACTCGTAGTGCAAGTTCGACGGTCGTAATAGCGGTCCGACGGTGACTGTGGGTGCGTCAATGGCGGCGGCAATAGCTCTATGATAAACAACACACCAAAGGATGATGACAATGATGATGATATATATGACTTGTCGTATTAATCTTCTCGTTGATGATGATGACCAAGATAATGCGCGCTCGTTCTCTAACGACAATGCATCTATTCTTCCTAGACTACTTTTTCTCCATCCGTTCGTCCATACGCTTGCCCATAAGTCAGTCCGTCTGTCCGTTCGTTCGTCCGTCCGCCCGTCCGTCCGTCCGTCTTTCCGTTCGCTTGTGCGATGTATAAACTCGCGCGTGCATCGTTATATGGATCGTGGATCGAAGCGTTACCACACGATTCTGGACATGCGGAGAGAGTGGCGATGGTAAGGCATCGCGTACGGGTGACACGTCTACCAAAAGAAAAGAAAAGAAAATTCAAAAAAAAACATAACATAATATAAAAGTATATACATATAAAATGTCATAAATAAAACCTCGGATATATTGTGGATCTCGCGACTCATCATCCTCTACTACTTCTTCTTCTTCTTCTTCTTCATAGTTCTATCATTGTTAAACAAGACGAAGCGCCATCGCGCTTCGTGAATACACTAACTTTCTTCCTACCGCTTTGACTCAGCCCAAGATGATACCGACTTGCTGCGTATATTTTTTCACGTAGGACAGTCAACCCTTTAGACAACCCAGTGCTAAGAGACGAGCATCGGTAACTTTCGAGATTTGAGGGAGATTAAATCAACATATTGGTTGCTGCTGTACAAAAATACTGCTGTTATTTAACTCTGGCATCTATACGTGTATTCTACTCTGACTTAGATTTCATAAGAAGAATCGGGGGAATCGTCCTGTTAAATTGATTTTCCATCTAAAAGTATTCTAGAATACAGGTAAATCTATCCTCAATTGGATCTTACATATTTGTTATTAACGTATGTTAATCAACGTCATGGCAAATACCGAATATGAAATATTTAAATGGTATCTCTCTATCGTCAGTAATGTCACGAGACTATGATAGAAGAAGAGGAGGAGGCGGGAGCAGTAGCAGCTCGAGCAAACTTAGGATGGACACTAGCGTATCCCAGACAAGACCACACGGTGAAAGTTCGAGCAAAAGGAGGGAATTAGATACCGTCATGCGAAAAGCTCGTGAGTCTCAGTCGAGCTATTGGAATAAAAAACTTTTGGAAGTAGAAGAACGTGATCCGAATAGATGGCGACACAGTGGATATAAAGAACTTTATGTCGGAGGTACATCAACTGGAGAACCAAGCAGAAGTCATCCACGTAGTCCGAGAAGCCCAAGACCAAGAAGTCCTCACAGCCCACGACCACGTAGTCCGCGTGCTAGAAGCCCTAGGTCACCACGAGATCGTTCTCATACAAGAGGAAGAGCTGCGAGAAGTCCTAGTACAGGAAGCACCTGCTCGGACAGATCATGCTCTGTTTGTTCGCCTAAGGAACGTCGTCGTATTGCACCACCGTCTCGTTCGCGTTCAAGATCAATTACCCCCATACGCGCGCGTCCACATCCCAAAGAGGTCGTACCTTCGAGTTCACGTGCTATACCACCTCGAACCAGACCAAGGTCGCCGCCTCTACCACGTCCTAGAACACCCCCACCGGCTCCTCAACCTCCTCCGAGACATCAAAAAGATTATAAAGCTTTGAAAGAAAAAGAAGTTAAGGTTAGACGCAAGGAGAAACATCATGGCAGGTTACCAGAAGATCCACGTGTTCCAGACCCTATACCATTGGTATATTTCCTTTACGTATTTCTATCTCTACTATTATTTGCTAATTCGACGATTCTTCTATGCATGTGTTGTAATATTGTAACACACAACGGCAGCTGTAACGGTAGCTTTTTTCTCCGTTTAAACTCTTATTATAATATCAGAATATATTTCTAATATTACTACATTCTTTCGTTTTATATTATACAGATGCGCAAACCTGTTAAAGTAGAAAAAACACATTCAAGTCATGGAGCACCACCGATGATGCGACAGCCACCAGATTCGTCACCCAGTGAAGACAGTGACAGTTCATCTGCAACATCACATACGGGACCACCAAGAATGACGCTTTCCGAACGGTATATGTTCAATAACAATTATATTTCATCAATCCTAATATTGAAATACAATAGATCATTAATCAAAGTATTACATTTATTTTCATAGATTTGGTAAAATGGCTCAATGGAGCGTAGATAGAAGAGACATGGAAAATATGCGTATCACTAAGGACGGGGAGAATGCTATGAAAGTGGTAATAGAGGGTGAAGAAAGAATTGCTAGATTGGGTTATGAATCTCCACCTCCAGGACATTATCCTGAATCGTTATTAGCCCAAGGACCAAGAGGTTTAGAATGTTGGGACGATGTAAGAGTTCGATACGATTATTATAAAGCAAGAGGATATTTACGTGACCTCACATTAGACGATTACATCAAATGGGAGGAATGGTGGTACAAATACCAAGAGTGGTTAGAGGCTGAACGATATTATGAACAATGGGCCTCTTCAAATCGTGCTTCCGGAGGAGGTCGCAAAAGGCGTGGACGACGAAATAATCCCACTCATTAAACGATAAAAAAACAAAACAAATAAATATATATATATAATATTGAATATATATATAATAATATTGAAACAATAATGATAATAAATAATATTTAAAAAGAGAAGAAAACAAATCGATTACTATATTACCGCGGTACAAGCTTGTTCTAGATTATTTTAAATGGAATCTTTCTGTCGTCGACATATGTATACACATATAATGTTTCTAATTATTTACATAAAACACGTATAGTTACATATTTACGTTATATGCTTGCGAGTTAAATCTCTATTCTGTGGTAAGCCTTTTGTTTTAAAAATAGAAATGTAGGAGACGAATTGTAAAAGAGAGAAAAGAACAAAAAAGTATGATCATTAACCAAAACTATTATTTTCTTTATTTCTTCTTCTTTTTCTCTTTCTCTCTTATTTCTTATTTTCTAAACATCCCTTTGAATCGATACCAAATAGTATTTACATCGTGGAATACAATTATTGATTTTTGCTCTATGAAGTTTTATATACTTTGTATGTTTGATTGTTCTCTATATAAATATGTTACGTAAATAAAAACGTGGTAATTTAATTTTGATACCTTTTTTATGAAAAATTTATTACAAAATTGAAATCATTGAATAAATCAAACCTTTCATTATTAACGGCCGAACAGGAATTGACGATAAGCATATATGAGCTAATTTATATGGAACATAATACTATTCACCCCAAAGTAATCGAAAAATGTTGCTATTCCAAACACAAGAAAAAACAATATAATTATTACGTCTTATTAGGGACCCTATAAGAGGGACGCGCCATGTACATTGCTGGGAGACAGGAACTCGTGTAGTCACGTGATTGCGCACGAATAGTTCAAACGATAAGTTATAGGTTAGGTTTGTACATTTATACTTGTAATTATTAAATGAGTAAATTAAACTTACACTTATAGAAAACTACTAAAAAAATAAAAAATTAAATATAAATATCACAATAAAAACTATAAGTATTCCAAACTTAAACTAACCACAGCCGTTAATACATACTAAAGATAAACATTGCTGCGCGATGCAACGGAAGCTGTCCCCCACATTTTCAGCCTAGCAATGTACATGGCGCGTCCCTCCTATAGAGTCCTTACGTCTTATTACTCATGATTGGATCAGTTTGAATATTATGTTTTAAAAATGGCGCATAATTTTTCGACCAATCATTTCAGTTTATAGTGGAGTATTTTGTGTACAGTTTGGCAACACTGAAAAATGTTGATTGAAGTAGTAGGGGTTATCCGGTTTCCACTACCACGCCGCTTCTCTTTCCGTTCTCTTACATCGTGCAAGTTATCGTGTGTGGATTTAGGGAGACTTTTCTTCTAAAATCTCTTAACATCTGAGTTAATAGTATAAGTTTCTATAAATAATTAAACAAAATGCCTCCCAAATTCGATCCCAATGAAATTAAAAAAGGTATTTAACCTCAACATTATTATCAAACATTTCTAAAAAGTGTTAAAAGTTGATATTAACAGAAAATAATTTTTTTTTTAGTTTATTTAAGATGCGTGGGTGGTGAAGTTGGAGCAACCTCGTCTCTCGCTCCTAAAATTGGTCCTCTCGGTTTGGTAAGCAACAAGAAAAAGCAAAATCAATTTTAATGATAAAAATTAGCACATGTTCATCCATGTTTTCCTAACCAAATTTAATAAATTACAGTCGCCCAAAAAAGTTGGTGATGATATCGCCAAAGCTACCAGCGATTGGAAAGGTTTAAAAATTACAGTACAATTGACCATTCAAAACAGACAAGCTACCATTTCAGTGGTTCCATCGGCTGCTTCTTTGGTTATCAAAGCGCTCAAAGAACCACCAAGGGATAGGAAAAGACAAAAAAATATTAAGCACAGCGGTAATTTATCCTTCGATGATATTGTTTCCATTGCTCGTGCTATGAGACAAAGATCAATGTCTAGACAACTTAGCGGCACCGTTAAAGAAATTCTTGGAACATGCCAATCGGTTGGTTGCACTGTTGAAGGCAGACCACCTCATGATCTTATTGACGACATCAACAAGGGACTAATGGAAGTTGAAGAATGATTTAGTAAGTATAGGGTCCTTCACTCACACTTTTCGTTATAATATTCATAAAAGATTAGTATATTGCATAATTGAATTCTTCCATTTTGGGACATAATTTTTAATGCATTATTAATATATATTATAATATCGTAAAGAAAAGTGTTAGTTTGGACTCTTGGTAGGGGTTGGCATCCCATCCGCCTGATTGGTATTTACTTTTTTACGAAGTTAAATATCGACTGGTATCTTAGCCATTGAGGAGAAAACCTCATAAAAAGAATCATGTCTTCTATATATAAAATAATGTAATTTTGAAATAGTTCATTGTATCGTATTAAGCATCGTGTATTTTGTTCTTTTTTTCAGATTTGTCATAAGGCATTGGAAATATAAAAAATATAAAAAACATTTTTTTCTATTTATTTTAGACATTTATTTCCATAATTATCCTATTACTTCTTTTAAAAAACGCAGCTACATCTTTTGTATTATCTTGTATGTTTTGTATATTTCTGTACAGAAAAGCTTAATCGGTGAAAGAATTTACGAATTAAATATTTCTTTCTTTCTTTATGTACAGGAAAAATTTCATAATGCTATGGATTATGCTAATTAGCAAGATCATAATTTCTATTTCATTTCTTTTTCTTTTTCACTTGGTCTTTCTATTGCTAGTAATTATTAAATTATTCATGAAAATGTACAGAAACTAATTACATTTACGAAGTACGGTAAATTGTATTTATATTTTGTTGGAATATTATTATGGAATACTTATTTTGTAAATTATAAAAGTACATTATAAAAAAAAACATTTGGATACATATATTCGACCATAAAGATAGTTTTATCGATGCATTAAATTTAACAAATCGATTATATCTTTAGTCAAAATTATAAGCTACTGTAACAAATGAAATTAAATTTTAGATACAATCTTTTAAACTTTTTTGAAATTATATCTTTTTATCTGTCTTTGTTAATCGATCATAATTTCGATTAATTAAATTAATATTCTTACGTGTATCATACAATTGTTAACATTCAAAGATTTACAGGTGACAGTAAATTGAGTCAATAATTTTCTGATAATAAGTTTTGATAATATTAAAGTGATATTTATATATATATATATATATATTTTTAAATAGATTAAACTACTGTCCTAGTACTTGACCTCTTCCCCAGTTGTGACCACCGAATATATTTCTAGCTTGTTGTTGTTGTTGTTGTTGACCAGCGGGCCTTTGTATTGGCGCATTACCAAACCATCGAATTCCACTTCTTTGGGGTGGAAAATAAGTCTCCAAAATTTTTGGAGTAACCAACCAATCTGTGCCTCCAAGTTCTTGAGGATATTTAAATTTAAAGAATACATATATATGACCAATTAATATACCGTAGAGTTCCATTATACCACCACCGGAAATGATTAAATTAAATCCAAACAATACCCATGGCAAATACATCGCTTTAAATCTTGTACCTGTTAACAAATCGATAATAAAAATATTTTTACTACCAGCTTATTATAATAAATAAATATTATACGTTAAGTATATTAACCCCTTGTGTTATAACAACGTGTGAGATGCTGTTTGAGGTAATATGCTTTTACTTATGTAAACATCAAAAGCACTGAATGAAGTATGCAACTCAGCACATTAAACCATATCACGAGGAGTTAATAACTGTAAGATAATAATAAACAATTAGCGTAGATAAATGAATAATTATAATAACGTATAACGTACCCAACCAAAAGTTAACTATGGCATCTTTATTGAGTTGACACCAAACATACAAGACGCTCAATACCATAGGATCCATGAGTAATGGAAAACCGCTGATGAATCCTAATATAACGCAGCATAACCAATTGAATAATAACATGAAAAAGTAATCGGCTGGTCTTCCATCATATTCAACGCGTTCCAATCTCAATGAGTAATTATAGAGAAAATACAAATTAAGTAAAAAGTGAAATCCTGCAGGGCTCATAGGATAAAAAAAAACACTGGTAAATGGTCTCCAAATTTCAAAATTGTTTATAAATCGATCGTACGATAAGACAAGTGTGGATGCTTGCACGAAACCAAATCTACCGATTAATGACAAACTAACCGTAAACATTAACCAATATCTCGTAAATATTGGTAAAGAATTGAACCAGTCTCTCACGTCTGACATTTTGTTTTTATTTTTTTTTGTTTTTTCTATTTATCAATACTTTTAACGAGTTGAACGGTGTAATTCACTGTAAAATACACTGTGTTCCTTTTATCTATGACTTTTTACTAGCAGAGGCTGACGTGTGATTATTTTATAAGACCTGATGCGACCTTACTTTGCGTTTCATATTTGCACATTATAGGTTAGAATAAAAAAGGTAAGGGTAGGTTTTCAAAGTATGATGTCGCTGAGCTACAAGTATATACTATATATAATATATTACTATTCCACATCGACAATTCGGCAGTTAAATAAGTCAAAGACCTCTCTCTATGTCGATAATCGATAATCGAATAACGATCATTTAAATATTACTAGCATTTAAATTATTCATCTTTACAAATTTTGTGAATTTGATTTCTCAAGATTTCAATTTATCTTTTTGGAGATAAATAATTTTTGTATTTTTTATTTAACAAGAAATGAACCATTTTTTACATGGGCTTACATGAAATTTATAAAAAATGTTAGATGGAAATAATATTATATACTTATATACAATACTAGTTTATTCTATCACATTTTTGTGTATGCAATACGAGTATAATTATAAAACAATCACATATTTATTTTCTTTTTCTTTTATCATAAACACATACATACTTATATTATTTTATAAATAAACAATATGTATGCTTGAGAATATTTATGGAACTACAAAAATTGATGTTAATTGTACATATGAGACACAATGTTGTTTTCTTATCGTTTTCTCTTTTTCTTTTACTTTCTTACTTTCCCTTTTTTTATTTTTTTATTATATACTAATTTTATATTATTATTATTATAAATAATAATTAGCTTATTACGACATCAAATGTGTTTTTGTTTGAAAACTGTATACGATGGATGTTTATAATACAAGTATCATGACAATTTACACATAATTATTTATTTTTGTTTGTTTGTGTATTTATTTATCTCACCTAATGAAGAGTGTGTTCGTTTAATCATAGACATTAGTTTCATAAATTATTCAGATTATTAGAGTGATTCTCTGTTCCAGACATTGTTGGAGATATCCGCTTTCCTTTTCTTTGCTTGGTTTTTTGTTTTGGTGTTCTGGGGGACTTATCTAGAAAAAGCGTCTATAAAATATTCTTTCTGATAATTCAATACAACCAATTCAATGTCTATGCTTATTCTTTTTGTAAATGACATTTCTTTCTTTGACATCATTGAAAGTGCGTGGCGGATTTAAACTTTCAGACGATTTATTGCGTGATCCTGTACTCCTGTACTTACTGAGGGCATGAAGAGTTTCCTTTGGTAACCAATCGTAATCTACGTTATTAGGATTAGATGTTCCCATTTCTATAGGCGCCTTGCGTGTCGTGGAAGAACGAGATTTGCGACCAAAAGATGAGAGTAATTGTTGGCCACCGACTAAAGTCAATATAACACATGCTGCAAGGAAAACATAAAGGAACACCGTTTCTCCATCCAATCCGTCATCTAATTCTATTACTTGTACAGTTTCGTTATAAACTGCTTCGCTGTAACCAACTCCGTTCTACAAAAATATATAGATCATTACCAAAGTTTTATAATCGTGTTTAGCATTTAATTTGTGATTTACTACATACTGCGTCTCTATAATTAAGATTAACATTGAGTCCAAATGGTCTTCCAGCAAATGTTTCTGAAGGTATGAACGAATATGCCAAGGTTGCTTCGTGTTTAGGTTTGACTACTCTATTAAATGTAAACGTAGAGAAGTTTTGAATGTAGAAGTTGAAATCCATGGCATAACGGAAGGATGCGTCCAATGATTCCAAAACAAAATCATTTTCTCCTTTATTGGTGAAACCAACAAGGAATTCTACCAAATTTCCAGCTGGTAATTCTACGAATATAATTATTATTTATTGTCAAACTAAATCTGTGTCAATACGAATGGTAAATAAAATTAGAGATAAAAAAATAAAATGTATACCAAGGGTAGATAATGTGTTATAGATAGGTTTAGTAAATAAAATAGTTGTATCTGCATCAGTGGAAGCATTAGTCGTTTCTTCTTCTAGTTCATCATCAGTGATGATTGTATTGTCTTCTCCTTCAACGTCGACTATATCATCAATATTTTCATCTTCTTGAGCATAAGCTATGCCAGATCCTGTTCAATATAAGAATGGACGAAAATATTTATACAACATTATTATTACGATATTTTCTTTTTTTCAAGTAACATGATCAAATCAACATAAAATTCTTATTAATAACTTATGGCAAAAAAACTTATTCAATAATTTTGATATCTGTATATGAAAATATGTTATGAGTAACATATGATGACAAATTCTTAAATTAGGTTATGAAAATAAAAAAATAATTAAAAATAGAATCTGTCAATAATCCTCATCAAATGTCATATTTGAAAGCTGTTAAGTGAAATATATTAAAATGCAAATAAGAACAAATGGTAAAAATAATTAAATACAGTACAGATGGAATATGAACATTGTTATTTCTATCACTTTAACATCATATTTATAATAAAGGAATACACATTTTGAAAAATTAAATATTTCGTTATACGTTACCTCTGTTCGCACTTAAAATGATCAAAGGAATGACTAATAAAAGGAAATAACTGAAATTCTTCATTTTAATGAACTATTTATTAAGTATCTTTTCTGTTATGTGGAAGGACTATTTTGATTTCACATATACTTGGTCACTGAGTCTACGATTGAATAAATCGACATAACGCGACCGCTACCATTGCCGCTTGCTACGTGGAAGGTCAACAGCGTCGCGTCAATTCGTCAACGTGGAACACGAAGTATGTAACCATTAAGTATTTATATATTTAGAGAAAGTCATTTCCATTTGATTTCTCTACGTTATCAATGATATTACTCTTTAGCCCTCTACTGAAATTTTATTCAACTATTTTAACATAACCCTTTTCAATATTCACTTTATTATTTTTTAAATATATATATTTTTTTGTATTGGTTATATTTTATCAATATAGAATTTAATTATAGATTTATGTGTAATAAAATGTCAGAAGCATTTTTTTTTACTTTTATAAAGTTAATATATATATATTTTTTACTACGAATAACTTGACATCACGAAATTTAAAGATGGCGCTCACAGCTCTTGTATTAGACGTTTAATTATCTTTTGTATACAGATATTAGTTTGATCAAGATCTGGTGTGCTTAGTTAATTTACGTACATATAGGTAAATTTTGGAATATCCATATTATTGGAATTAATCAATATCGTAATTAACAATAAATTCATATTATATTTACATATCATTTATGTTCATTTTTCATATTTTCCCATTAATTTAAAATTTGACATGTTATTTGTCACTGATAATTTGACTAACATTTACAGAAATAAAAAGTTTCTATCACTTTTTACTCGAAGAGTAAACTCGAAGAGTCAATGATGGATTTTGAAGATGACTTCTTCTTCGAAGAAGATAAGATGTTGGTTTTAGATTGTTGATGAAAATTATTTATCTTTGTTCTATGTTTCGTTACAGTTTTCAATGTGCTTCCTTTTTCTTATAACATGCATGCTCTGATACAACACGGCGCGGTGGAACAGCTTATTATTGGATGATTCGTTGATACCTCATGGCAATGCTTCTTCAAATTTAAATCCAAGCGGATTAACCGAGGATAAAAATCTTGCTCCTGCAACCACCGTGCCACCAGCTATTGTTGAATTGCATCAACTAGTCATGATGGAAGATCGAATGTATGCACTAGTAATTCTATGTTATACAATTTCTTAATCATTTTTTTTTTATTCCAAATCTTTTTTCACATTTCACTTACACATTATCGCTTTACTTTTTCTTTTTCCTATTATTTACTCTTGTGGAATACAGACCAGACGTAGAATTGGTCGCACAAGATCAATCTATATCGCAGTTACCCAACATTCAACTGTGAGTGTGTCTCTTCTTTCATCTATTCGGTAGTCCAATGGATTTGATTAATTGATGCTTTATTAAACAATTACATATGCATGTATTAACTGCATATTTCTTTTCTAGAATGTATTATATTTGTAATTAAATATTACAGTGAATAATCTATGTGTATATTTGAGATGTATAGATAATTTTTATTTTTCAACACGTTCTCTAGCGTGCCACGAATAGGAGATTTCAATTACAACTTAAAATTTATTTGTTACTTTTATTACGATCACAAATGTGTGATGCTGAGTTCTTAAGTGAAATCTGTGTGTTACAGATATGTGACACTGGTAGCGAACGTGTTAATAATACATTTGTTTGTAGAATTAGTAACAGTTAATGGAATATTATGAATACGTGTATTAACATATGTTTTGTATTGTTAATATATTAGGGGTATGACTATTACTTCTGGAAATGTAGTAATACAAAAAGACAGTAACAATCTCATTGGTATCAGCATTGGTGGTGGATCTCCTCTTTGTCCTTGTCTATATATCATACAAATTTTTGATAATACACCTGCCGCATTGGATGGCACTCTCCAATCTGGAGATGAACTAGTAGCTGTGAATGGGGTCTCTGTAAGGGGTAAAACAAAAGTAGAAGTTGCCAAAATGATACAGTCTTGCGATTCCCAAGTTAGCATTAATTACAATAAATTGCATGCTGATCCTAAGCAGGGACGTACTCTCGATATTGCTCTGAAAAAGGTGATTAGTTTATGATATACAAAATATAGATTGTTTGGTAATCCGAGTATTACCGTATTCATTAACGATCATAGGTTAAACATCGATTAGTAGAAGGAATGGGCAGTGCGACGGCAGATGCACTCGGTTTATCGCGTGCCATTCTTTGTAACGATGCTCTTGTTCAAAGACTAAATGCTCTGCAACGAACTGAAAATTTATATAGGGGTCTGGTCTCTCATGCAAAAGCTACATTGCATACCTTTTTTGATCTCACTCAAATTTATAAAGGCAAGTATATATAACATTTACAATGGATTATTTAAGAAATATAAAAATTTAATTGATAATAACAAATATTTTTTATATTTTAGTATTTGGAGATACGTTCGCTGCAATAGGCGTTAGAGAACCGCAACCACGTGCCAGCGAAGCATTTAGACAATTTGGAGAACAACACAGGCAAATGGAAAAATTTGGTGTGACTATGTTAAAAACCCTGAAACCTATATTAAATGATTTAGGCACATATCTTCATAAAGCAATACCAGATACACGTTTAACAATAAGTAAATATGCAGACGCAAAATTCGAATATCTCTCGTATTGCTTAAAAGTTAAAGAATTAGATGACGAAGAACAAAGTTATGCGGCATTGCAAGAACCTCTTTATCGCGTTGAGACCGGTAATTATGAGTATCGATTAGTACTACGATGTCGACAAGAAGCTCGCGCTAAATTTGCTAAATTAAGAGCAGATGTTCTAGTCAAATTAGAATTGCTTGACAACAAACACGTTCAAGACGTCGTATGGCAATTACAAAAATTTGCTTCCGGATTAGCAAAATACTATGCTAATACCGCTGAATTATTATCGGCGGTTACATTATTCCCCGTTGAAGTTGACTTGTCTAATTCAGCGTTTCAATATAAATCGACCGGTCCTCAGTCCATGCAAGAGGACGAAGAAGATATTGAAGAATTTGAGCCAGAACAAAAACAAGAGGTCAAGGAAGAAGTTCTCATAGATACGCAAAATCCTCCGTTGATATGGATGGATGAAAATAATATGTAGCGATATGTGTTAAATAATAATAATTGATCGAATATTTTTGATCGTATTATTGAAAATTGACTTTTTAAAGTTTATAACGATAAATTATTGATGGTACAATAATAAGCCTACAAGTATAACATTCCATAGAAATTTGTCATAAAATAATATTTCTACTTTAACTTAAATTCATATTATTATTATTTAATAAAATTTAAATCTTATGTATTTTACTTATTTTATGTTATATCGTGTCGAATATATATATGTGTATGTATATATATGTAAATACTATATTATATTTTTTAAAAAAAGATACTTTCATTTTTTAAATTTTTTATAGTTATATTTAAACGAAAAAATTAATCTAACGAATCTATATTAGTTAAGTAGTTTAAGATATATATATATATATATATATATATATATATATATATTATAATACTGATATAAATTGAAAATCACGTGACCACCAATAATAAGTAGGCAACCAATTCAATCATAGTCGCCATGACACCCTTCGTGTTTGCTCATTGTTAAGGTAACTTGTGTATTTTTAAGCTAAAACTGCTCTTAGTTTTAATTTTTACCAATATTAGCGCTATAATCTGTTAGCAAGGAGAAGTGTTGGTAACGTTATTAAAAATATATTTTCTAACGTAATTATTTTTGTGGTTTGTTTAATTTTTCGCATCGGATATAAAACAAAAAACAATAATTACTTGTTTAATTTATAGCGTGATCGTATTAAAAAAAGAGAAGAAAGTATCGTTCGAAAATGTTCTTTATAGGCGACCGTCGATAAAACAGATCATTGATCAATATGTTGGTAATTTATGGAGTGTATTCATTCCGTCACGTTTAAAAGAGGAAACAAAGTTTATATTTGTATCTATCTCATGTATGTTACTCTTAATTTAATAGTTTAAAATTGAAGAAAAAGAAGAAGAAGAAGAAAAAACAAAATGTACTTGTATTTATGTTTGATGCGTACAGATTTTTTTTCTTGTTTCTCTTTCTTCGTGTGTTTATATATATATATATATATATACGTATGTAAAAAAAGAAAAACCATAGATCGCGAAGAGAGAGAATCTTTTGGTTACGACGGAATGAACCAATCGAACGTTAGACTTTTCCTACCAACGCTAAGAATATAGTAGATAAATTGGTTAAACTGCAGTGTCGCGTATCGTTCAATCTGGCGATCTGTCAATTACTCCTAACGAAGAAACAGCTGATCCTTATGATCGAGATATTGATAGATTTGGTCCTGTCAAGAGAAATTACATGTGATACTTGCAAAGTAAATAACCGTACATTTTCTTACTAGTACTCCTCGTATTTTTTTTTACGAATGATAGCGTAGGAGCATTATGGTATACGCAATGACTTTTATCCTATCCCAAAAAAATGAATGCAACTCTATGGTGTTACTGGTTGCAAGTATGTATGTAAACGATTGTTGACCTCTTTTGTTATTGTTTTTAAATGATCCTCTCGGTTTTCATAATAATGCGGTGATTCGTGAGAAGTACTTTGACCATTTAATAATCATATTTTTTTTTTTAATCAATATACACTTAACTATATATATATACATGTTATTACAATTAATATTACTTTTTCTTTATCTTTTTTCTTTCTCTTATCTATTTTTCAGCAACTATTTTTATTTAAAAAGTGCATCACATTAATGCAACAATAATATGCTAAGGTCAAAAGACTCTGAGAGCGACGGTGTTACAACTAATACCGTAAGAGTCCAAGAAAGTTGTAGAAGTAAAAAAGGTGAAAAGGGTCATGAGGAAAGTAGCGGATGCATTTTGAAAAACGCTTTACTGTCGATACAATCCGACGAAGAAGATTTCTTGGATAAAGAAGCATCCAAGGTCTTACTTCTTCAAAAAGGATCCGATGTTGACGGTGAGTCTGCAACTAGTTCTTGGAACAATGTAAACACAGACTCGTCTGTGTCATATGTAACTTCTATTCCAAATGGAAAAGAATTTGTCATTTTAACTGGTCTCGAGCAAGTCAATGATAAAGCTGTGACTACAACCAAGGGGTTGAAGCTTTATGATAGTTTGATCCCTTTTGAAAAAAATTCTAAAATTCAACATAGTTCAAAACAGCACAATAAGATTATACTGTTGGGTGAATTTGTGTCAGAACAAGAGGCAATAATTGGTATTAAGAACGGGGAACAAACAGAAACTACGAAAGAAGTAAAAGAAAGTATGGAACAGATTAATTATAATAGCAAGACGTTTGATAGTAGTCAGTTTGAGAAAAATGAGGCCGATCTTAAAGAAGGTAACAATTGGTTGAAGAGTTTCCGACCTCTTCCCCTTTATTATACTGAACGAGGTAAGCCTTATTTGAAATGTCCAGCCTGTGGTGCTATGTTTTTTACCTCGACCTCTTTTCAAAAACATCTTTTCACGCATATGTATAAGGAAAGAGAGACATATACTTGCTCGTTTTGCGAATATACTAATGAGGAACCTGGTATGTTGTTCGCCCATTTGTCCAAGCACCAAGATCAATGCGAATATTGCAATGAAAATATAATGCGAAAAAGTAATTTTGAAAAACACTGGGGTATTTGCTCTTTAAGTTTTAGTATAAAGAGAGATCGTAGAGGAAGATTCGTATGTACAATGTGTAAACTAGTGTTTGATTTATTGCCTCAATTAGAAAAACATTGGTTTAAACATGCTTGCAAAAAAAGGCGGACTTACCAGTGTAAGGAATGCGGAGGATTGTATGGGAACAAAACAATATTGCAAAATCATAAGTGTTTAAAGTGTCCCGTCTGTGGTGAAGTTTACGATAGTTTACATAGATTAAAGGCACATACGATGTGGATGAAGCATCATTTGAAGTGCCTCATTTGTTCCTATGAATTTGTTCTCGCTATGGATCATGAAAAACATTTGGCTATGCATAGACAAGCTTATTTACCTATGAAAGAACACGCTCATTGTTTGGAGGCAGCCGACGGGAAATCATATCAATGCGATCTTTGCGACAAAATATTTTATGCTTTAACACGACTGATATTACACGTAAAGGAAGATCATGGAATAGAGGATGTTAAAAGAGAAGCTATTAAAGAAGAAAAGGATGAGAAGGAGCATAATGAGGGTAATGGAAATAAAGCTACATATCCGAACCTATGCCAAACGCCTATTTGCTATACAGGCGGTCAAAATGTCAGTTTAATTAAATAACAATAATTACTTTTAAAGCAAGCAGCAGATTACAAGTCGGTACAACAGTGTGGACAAGTACTTTGGCTGTGAATCGCTACTAATTGCTCCTGCGAACTACAAACAATTGGAATACAAATCCGTAATAATTTTAAACACAACATTTTATACTCTTACGAACATATACATATATACATACATATATATATATATATATATATATGTATATATATATATATATAAACACATAATATGTTATAGAAATTGAATCGTACTGTTGTTGAAACTCAATATATAAATGTCTATGTTAAGAGTTAGTAAGTTCCCAAATTTATGATAGAGGCACACAAATTATTATATTATTATTATTATTATTATTATTATTATTATTATTATTATTATTATTATTATCATTATTATTATTATTATTATTATCATTATCATTATTATAAAGCATATTAAAATGATATATATTAAATTAATGACTCTATATGCTTACAAGCAATGTATTTATTTTGTAAAATTTTATTCGGAAAAGAAAAAGAAAGAAGGAAGATAATATTATAAGAAATTCATTTTATTAATTGTTCAAACAGGGTAGCTTGCACAATGTCAAATGCTTTTTAACGATGCTTTTCTAATTTTTCTGTACGCTTTGCGCGCATAAAAAGAGTGGGCATTAAAAATTTTTGATTATTAAATAATGTACTCTCAAAATAATATATCGTTATATTATTCTTTTTCTTTTTTTCTTCTCTCAATCCATTTGTTTTCTTTACAATATTATAGAACATTTAAAACATTGTATAGAGATATATAATTTTCTGTATAATCAATCCGCATTTCAACATACGTACGTAGTCCACAAGTATATTCCCACAATTTCTCGTATCGTCATACGGAAATGCAAGATATGATACAATTTTAAATGATTAGGAAGCATTTGAGATGTAACGTTATATTTTCTTATATTTTTTTTTATTTTTTTATTAATTTTTATCACTCAGTCACGTGATAATAACACGTTCGCAGAAATCTTTATATTGTACAATTTAATTGTAATTACAGATCTATATATATATATATATAACGTGTGTATATATATATATACGGTAGTATATGTCTATGCCATAAAATATTTGATGATACAAAGAGTTTTCTTCTTAATTATTCTCTTAAAAAAAAAATGAAAGCTTATTTATTTTTTTTTTCAATTATACACTTATTAAATATAGCAACGAGTCGTCGAACTCATAGTTATTGGTAGATCATCGATCGATTGATCATTAACTATCAAGATGAACGGTTCCAACAAGAACGCAGTATACAAAAGGCAATAAGAAATATAGTTTATAGCATTTTGCAATTGTTGTTTTTCTTTGAAAAAATAAAAATCAAGGTATGTTCTACATATGCACATTAACTTTTGCAATAAAAATTAGTGTTTTCTTCTTTTACATATATAGCATCTCTTTAGCTTTATTTTGCTTTTATTTGTTTGTTTGTTTTTTTTTTAAATTATTTTTTCCTTTTTAAATGCATTTATCATTGATTTTCGATTTCACTTTCTCTCTGATTTATTATCCTAATTTTATGGTATAGTAAAGATTATTTTCTCTTGCTTATATTCGGCTTTTACCAACACCGAAATATAAGACAACTTTTAATTGTAAAAATAAAATTACATTCTTCGAGAGAAAGAGAGAGCGAGAGAGAGAGAGAGAGAAAAAGAAAGAGATTCCTTATAGGACAAAAAGTAGAAGACAGTTGTTTTTTCATTGTCATTCTTGCGTTCCCCATTTTTTAGACTTTTAACCATTGCTTTACATAATCAAGTGCATTTAATAGAATCTTCATTTCAGATACTCTTAATTGCACGATCAAGCGTTGCCTTTTTGGTAATCTGGTGTTGAGTTTTTCTAAATCCTCCTACGTAATAAAATAATAAAAATAATTTAAAATTGTAGTTCATTCAATTTATCGTTCAATTCATAATTTTTTATATGTAATATGACACTTATTTACCTCTAGTGTCGAAGGATATTTAGCGAGTAGTAATTTTAATCTGTCTAACAAAAATTTCATCACATTTTCTTCGACGATGGTATCTAAAGCGCAATCAACGTGTTTTAAGTCAGTAACTTTATCCGATTTTAACCAACGGGTAAGATCAGCCTTTCGCATATTAAATACACGAAGAAATGCCAGGAGCGAATCGGATATCGGCTCAGTGCCAGCCTCTAATAAAAATTTACCCGTCACGGGTAGTCCTAATTTATCTAAAAGTTCGATACGTTCATTTCTAAGAGGATCTGACGCGCTAATACCAAGAGGGATTCTGACTCCATCCTAGAAAAAGATTAATATTATTTAACTTTGTTTTATATTTCAATAATCATTTATCATTGTCAATTGTGATATACCTTTTTATTTTCTAGACAAACAAAACCAGAGTGTACTAGAAAATCCGAATTTGTTCTTGAACCGTAACTGATAAATATTTGTTCTCCTTTTTTAAAATTTCTCATTGCGTAGCATTCGCAACAATCGGAAGTTGTATTAAAACCAGTAGTTATCTGAAAAAGAGAACATTTTTTTAAGGTAAAATATTATTACTATATTGTATTTATTTAAAATAAATATATGTACCTTTCCTTCTTCATGATTGCACATATCCCACATAGGTATCAAAGCATGAATCATGCTGGACCCGTCTTCGCTTGGAATTAAATTTTGTCTTGTCATTACTGTAGAAACGGCCCAGCTGAAAAAAAGAAAATTATTAAAATATAATTAATATTTATATATATATATATATATATATTTAATTTGTATAGTTATATTATATACATATATACTAGGACTTTTCAAAAGAAAAACCTAACGCAATCTTGGTGACTCCATAAGGAGTCGCAAATCTAAATTTTGAGGAAATATAACAAACAGAAATTTGAGTAAAACTAAAAATAATATATTATATTAAAATGATGCCATAGATCTCTTTATAATCTTATGAAAGATTAAAAGATATTATATTTATAAATGAAAGGAAAAAACCATATACATGTAAATATGATTTTTTTTAAAGGAAGAAACAAGTAAACATTTGTTCTCGAATTAGCAGAGCGAATTACTATACTTTCGCCTTCGAAACGATCGCGATCACAGGAAAGAGAATAATAATCATTTTACTATCTTACAAAAAAAAAGATGTGTTTATTTTTGCTTGCACTCTCTCTCTCTCTCTCCCTCTCTCCCTCCCTCTCTCTCTCTATTTCTCTTTTTTAGGATAAGAACTTGACCTAGATCGCCGGAAATGGAAGTATATGGTATATACATAAAAAGATTCATTCCTGTTCAAGTGTTGTTAGCTTCGTTGTCGTTTCCCTTTCGACTTTCTCTATCTCTTCAGGAAAAAGAGGCTCTCACTTCTTCGATTCTCATCCTAAGGTTTCCATAGTACTTACATCTATACATACATCCATAAATATATAATAGAAAAGTATGAGTTAGTTGAGAAGACGAAGAAATGATACACATTACATTTTAATAAACACAAATCTATTATTAAATCTTTGATTGGCAAGTAATTGATTTTAATATACATCTTCTATGATTTCTTATATTAAAAAATTAATAACTTTCAATCACACAAATATTAAAACCAAATTCAGAAAGTTTTAGTTATTCTTAATTGTAATCTTATATTGTTGATTTATATCATTTAGTTAATTAATCATTATTAATATGTAGAAATATGGGGGCATAATAGTTGAAGAGTTTTAATTAAATTAGTTACGAATGTCATAGAATAGATTTTAAGTAATTAAGACTTTCTTCGGTAAGATGAGGATGCTCAATGAGGAGTAGGAATAAAAAGGCGGAAAAAAGAGAGAAAGAAAGAGAGAGAGAGAAAGAGAAAAAAAGGGAAAATTGTAAGAACAATGTTGAGAAAAAGAGAGAAGAGTCTCGACGTCATCAGTTGGTATTTGCAGCAGGGATAGGATGGGGATGCACACTTGAGTGCACGTGGGAAGGTCGTGAGATCTTTAGTACGAGTACCAACATGCACTTTCTACTAAGGAGATGATGCATCATCGACATCAATGATACTGAACTGAATACGCGAGTCTATTATAAGATAGCAAATTCAAATATCAATTTTTGATTATTACTATTTAACTCCTTTAATTAAAAACCTAGATAATCTATATATATTGCAGTTTGTTGGAAAATGTAATTATTGTTGTAAACAAAAAAATTATTTTATCTACAATCACCAATTTGTATAACATTTTTATATACAAAAATTGGATTCAAACCATGTTAATTTAGAGAAATTAAATTACAAAATATATTACAATTACTAAACGTATTAAATAACTTTCTTTTCTTATTTGAAATTCACATTAAATTCAAATTAGATATAAACAAGATTAAATCAATGTTTTGAGAAACATTGCTTTAACACACAGTGCATTTATATTTTAATATTGAAAGATATTAAATATAAACAATAAAGTATGTTAAAATAATAAAAAAATATTTAATTATATTTTGAGGTAACATAATTATTCAAAACGAAAATCATCTTTTATTAGTTTCAACCAAAAAGGAAATGAGAAGGTCCGTTAACTGCTTTATTCTCATCCTCTTTTTCTCGTAGCTTGCAGAAAACGTGTGTGAAAAGTGAAACTCGGTATAAGTATGTAATAATTAAGTATATATAATGAAAAGAGAATTAATAAAGAAAGAAATATAATATACGTATATTAAACACAAGAGAGAAAAAAAAATAATTAAGTCGCTCGTTTGTTACGACGAAAATTGAAGTAATTCGTTCATATGTGTTACATTAATTAATTTTCTCTTTTTTCTCGAATTGTTTTTGATAATTTTTTTTATTTTAATCTGTTCTGATAAATAAAATTTTCCCATTATAACGAGAAATGAATTTTAATTAAAAATAAAACAATATTAACATCGAGAAAAAATTCTGAACATACTTTGTAAATAAAAGATAAACAAATAGTTTAATGTTATAAAATCAAAAATGAACATTTCCTAACGAATTACTTTTTATATATATTTTTTTTTTTAATTGAAGACAGATTAAAGAAAATAGAATAAGATCAATTGATTTGTTTGAGTAGCAAATATAAGTATACGTTGGTAAGAAGATGAGATGAAGAAGAGAACGTTTAGATACGAGGCTCCTCTCCTCTCGAATTTCACCGGCTTACTTAGCGGCGAACGCAGAGAAAACTCTCGTCAGTCGACAAGAACTATTTGTCCAGGGTGGATGAGTCTCGTTTGTAGGGGGAAAAAAAAAGAAAAAAAAAAGAAGAAAAAGAAGACAAGAAAAAAAAATATTAAACAAACGTATCCATTAATATACACGTGCAGTATTATAATTCGTGATATGAAGATTGCTAAGTAAAAACTGGCAACGAGTTTCTCAAAGCTTTTTCTTTTTTTCTTTTTTTGCAATCGATCAGTGATAAATCCACAAAAAAATACAAAGAAATAAAAAGAAAGTGTTAATTCAATAAGTGATCTACATATATTTACATATGCATATTGCTTATACAATTAATTAAATAATAAGCAATCGAATAAATGTTTGAAATATCAAGTTGGTCTTAAAATCGAATGGATAATATTTTGAGTTTGTGTAATCGTAAAAACGTGATATTTGTAATACTGTGTACATTGGCTGTAACGATACACATCTTGGACTATGCAGAAAAGGATAATTATATTTTTATCGATCGCAAACATCCTGTATCTTTCAGGTTGTCCTTTGGTATTCGGAGAAACTATACTGAATAAGCCAGGATACGAGGAGGATATTGTTATTGAGGATCGTGCGGTAAGAAAGTTAGCAAAATATTAAATAGATAATATATAAAAAAAAATAATAATATGAAAAGAAGTGGAACCAATTCGCCTAGATTCACCGAGTGTGAAGTATCTCGAACGGAAGTGCTCGTTTATTAGGAACACAAATGCGAGTCCTTTGATGTGTATTCTTATTCTCGAGAATGATCTACGAACTCAAGACAAATTACACGCATATGTGTCGCACACACTATTGAAATTTCTTTTATAGTTTCTTACTCATAATTCAAATTGTTCATTGACATTTATTTAAATATATATTTTAATGACATTTATTTAAAATATATTTTAAATAAAATATTTTAATTTAATCGAGATATTGTGAGATTTCCTTTTATCATGTCAAATAGTTTTACCAATGATCTTTAATTTTGAATGATGATCGAATTGAATGATAAGGATGATTATTATTGTTATTATTATTAACATCATCATTATCATTAAAGTTTCTCGAACTTCACGGGATGGTAGAAAAGCGAAAGGATACATAAATATATTTTACTTACATATATGTACATAAATATGTTCATGCGTGTTTGTAACGTACGTAAGAGGAAGGCATCGCTTCGTTGTCATCGCGTATCGTAATTAGCAAAGAGACGGCTTGAGAAAGTGTAGGACAATGCTACGATGAGTCGAACAACCGCTATATAACAATCGGTAAACCACGAGATAGAAAGATTGAAAGATAGAAAGAAAGAAAGAGAAAGAGAGAAAGAGAAAGCTGAAATCTAGTACCATTCACAGAATGTTCGAGACTTTACGAGTATTTTGTCACCATTTAATGATCACGAATAAAGTGAACATATTAGGGATAAAAAACAAACCTTTCCCATCTAACACACTTTAAGTATCAGATCATAGAGAAACTTCGTTTAAAAAGTTCGCCAAATTTCTTTACCGACGTTAGACTTAATCTCATTTTATCGATCGAGTGTATAATCAAATTTTATAAAAAAAAAAAAAATTGGCCTTTTACTTGAAATAAATTTGAAAAAGGATATATTAATTACGTTATGACTTATAGAAAATTGGTATAAAATATCGGAATATATACTAGTTTACACACTTTCTTGGCCTTTTCTACGCATTTTCGGCATCCGATCGGCCGGAACGAAACAAACTGCTAAATAAGAATAAAATAAAATTAAATAAAAAAGAAATATAGGTGATCGTAGAAAGAGAATGTGGTAAGATTTTCGTTCGTTACGAAAATACTGAATAAAGATCTCTAAGAAGAATCGAGCAAAACTATTTTTTTACTCTTCCTTGTCTTCTTTCCTTTTGATCTTAAGAAAGAAAAGATAGGACGCGTTCGATGCGTGGTTCCGCTTTAAACAACAACAAAAAGATAAATAAATTAAATAAAAAAAGTACATATGCATGTAAGAACGAACGTATACATCGTCAAGCGTGTTAACGATTGCACTTTCTTTTTCCTATGGTCGTTGAACTTTGATCGTTATTTGCGTTTGCACGGCTCGTTTCGCCGCACTTACTCGCCTGACTTACAACGCAGTAATTGGAGCTCTAATTTAACCTCAAAAGAAAAAAGTTATTTAAATAAACCTTATTCTCGAACCGCTTTAATTAAAAAAAAGAAAATAAAAGAAAAGCGAAAAAAATCCCATAAAAATTGCGTCTTTAATCAATGATATCATTTCAAATGTAATTATTTGATTTAAATAATTATCAGATATTTTTTGAATTTATCTTGTTCTCTTATAATAAAAATAAAATCGAATAAAATCTTTTGATATTACACAAATAACGAAAGAAAAAGATTTACTACAAAAATGTATTATATACGGATTGTTACAAAAATGACTATGATCATTATTCATTAAGATGCTTTGGAAAATAAATTCTTTGTATATCATAAAATTACGTTAACAAGCAAACTAATGAGTACAATAATTCTAGGGTAAATCTGTTGGAAAAGACACGGTAGTTGACGGCGGCGTGTATAAATGGACGTGCCTCGATGCGCATATTTCACTTTCTTAGGGCGAAATCGCGGAAACGAGAAGATCTTGAATAAATAGACGGAAGAGAATTTATTTTTAGATTTTTCGAATTTGTATAACTCATTAACATATAAACAAAAATATATAATTCACAATAATTTTTAAAAACATTGACAAATTGGAGAAGTTTATCAAATAATCAAAGAACCGTCGTTAAAATATTCAAAACGAATGATTACTTATTATATTAATAATATTATTTAATAATATTTATTATTTGTTGTTATTTTCAGAAGGCGGCAGGGTTGCGTAGTAATAAAGATTTGTATCTTCGTAAAGAAGAGTCGAGAAGCGAGTTACTCGGAAAATGGAGGAACAATGGCGAAGCTTTGGAACCAAAATGGCGTGATGGTGATGCTGTACCATTCCTACCCTTTTCTCAATTCACTCGAACTTATTCTCAAAAAGATTCCGATTTGATAGGAGATGATAATTCCTATGACGTAGTTTATCGTGATAATATTAATTATCATAGACTTGACGAAGATCGTAAAAACCACTATATTGATTCTCGACAAAATAGACCATTTTCTCTTTCCGATGATTCTTCGACGATGCGATTGGAAGAAAAAAAACATGGAAGACAATTGCGCGGGAAAATTGAACAAGTACCAGTCGAGAGTTTTCCGAATGATAAATTTCTACGAAACAATCGAGTTGGTTCTACCAATTATCGAGATACTTTTCAGATTCGTCCAAATGAATACGAACATGAATTAACCGACGAAGAACATTTGAAACCTCGACCAAGAAAAAGACGTCCACCTCAAAACGAAGAATTCGTTTTGAACGCTAAAGAAACTTTGCGTCACGATAGAACAAAAGCTTCTTCTACTTTACAATCTAATAATAAAATGGAGGAAGTTTCTCCGAAGAAAATCGAAGCTATTAAATCTTTATTGAAAATGCAACAAGAGGAAGGTGTTAGTCTTTCAGAAATATTACGTCGGAAAAATTTGACTTTAACAGATCTGTTGAAAGGTAAGGCGGATGTAATCAGTGCATTAAAGATGGAGGAAATAGATGAAATCGGCGATGATATTGAACAAATTTCTATGGTAATGACGAGTACGTTAGCTAAATTATCGTCCACGACTTTTCCAAGTATATTTAACGTTTCGTCTTCAAAATTAAGCAACATAATGACGACTGAAAAAACTACTGCGATCGATCATTCGTCGACGAAGGTTGCACTGTTAAAAGAAACTACTACAGAAGCTGTTGCAACAGTTTCTGCCTCAGAAATCTCTATTGATTTGAATAATAACGACAATAATGCTGATCAAAATTTAAATTCTATGCAAGGAGGAATCTACAGCGACGAGAATCACGATGAAATTATGGAATTTTCAGATTTTACAGATTATAAGAAAGGAAGGACTACCGCCTCACCAATTTGGATTTCTTTGGTACCAGAAAATAATGGTATTGCTCGTTCTATGGAAAATATTAATGTAAATCGTACCAATAGTGATTCTACTATGAGTATCATTAAAATTCTGAATCCAACTGTTGAGCCATTTATCGAGAAAACTTTTGAAGAAAATGAATCATTTAATAAAGCTTATACTGATGCTGTAAATAAGGAAGGTAATTCTAATTTAGCTGTTGCAGAAGATCACTTTGATAATATTTCTGAAGCAGATTATCAATATGATGCACCTTCGAACGATATGAAACATGATGATGAGGTGCGTGAATTCTCTTTGATGGATAAAAGTGATTGTAAAAATGATAACGATAAAGATAAAACTATATATTTAGAAAAAGATAAAGATCATTCTGAAGAATATATATCAAAATCCAAAAACGATTCATCTTTCGAAGAAACAATCAAAACTTTCTTCAGAGATCATCCCAACGTAGAAAATGTGATGGAAGGAAAACATTACGAAGATATCATATCGGAAATAGAACCGGAAGCACGGGCTGAAATTTTTGAATTATTTGCCTCTGGATCTGGAGGTAAAAATCTCGAACGTTTGTTAAAATCTAGGAATATGACCTTAGAAGAACTGATTGCTTTACGTCAAAGAGGCTCCAGTAAAGTTCATTTAGCAGAAGTGTCTCGTCTGAGAAATCATAAAGCTTTAAGAATATCAGAGGATAATCAATTATCAGAGAAAAAGTATCCTAACGATCCTGAAGAAAAAAGTATCATTCCTGAACCTCAAAATGAAACTGTTGAGATAAAGAAATTGATAAATAAAATAGAACATATTAGTACTTCGCAGATTCCTCCAAGACTCGATAAGGAAACAACAGAGTCTTTTTTTACTACAGAGATTAGTTTTAAGAATATTAAAAATCATAGTAAAAAAGAACACGAAGAGGATCCAAATCGTTTTATAGAGATCACAGAATTATTTAATACCTTCACATCTTCGTCGTTTGGTAAAGATCAGGATCAACGATTTTCTGAAAATATTAGAGAAACATTAAATAATAAAGAGATAAATGACATTAAAAGCGATTATGCAACAAAAATGATTCGAAATGATACAGAAGCAGATGTAAATGTGGTATACGAAGGATCTAGGGATGATGTGAAATACGACGATTACGATGAAAACGAAGATCGAGAAAAAAGTTTATCAAAAATCAAACCAAGTATAATAGCTAGTGGAGCTATACTTGGCGTGACGATAGTCGTATTTCTTGCCATCTTTGTAGCTTGTAGAATACGTCATAAACAAAAGTATAGATACAGAAAATCCTTCCCTCGAACAGTATTTCAAAGTCCGATAGCGACAGCCAGAAAGTTGTCCAATACGAGTAGTTTGAATAATATAATGGTGAGTGTGGTTGCCACTTCGACAACAAAGAGGACAGAAAAAAATGATATGCAGCAAACTAGTAGCAATGACTATGATCCCAAGTGCGATATTGATAATGATTCACTCGATGCTAATGATAGTTGGGAAACTATACCGGATTATATGAAATGAGACAACATAGTTTGTTTGTAATTGAAATAAGCACTTTCATTCGAGATTCATTAGTGGTCGAAGATCTGAAATAAACATGTAATGGGCATGTATACTCATTAAAAATTTATACAAAACACTTATGAGCAATAAAGCAAACTCGTATCAAATGTTTCTGAAAGAATAATAAAAACATCGAGTTCATTAATATATTATAAATATGATCACGATATCAATCTCATCTCTCTTTTCGTTTTTTAGTTATAAATACATGTAGATGTAATGTATTTATTTATGATTTAATTATTTAATATAAAGTATTTTTGTAAAAATATTAATCTGTTGAAGATAATCACCCTCTTTGTGTTGGTACCTAAATTTAAATAATGTGTTTAAATAATTTACTCACATATAATCGTCGTATGCAAACATATCCTTGAGCATATTAGACACTGCGTCGTTACCATTTTGAAAAACTCTATAAAAATAAGTGTATTGTCGTGTAATATTCCTGACTTGTCTCAAGGCAGTTTCTGAAAAGAAAAAAAAAACAGATCAAAATTTTATATGAATATTTGATTATTTAATTGCATATTGAAAGTGCAGAAAATTTACCTAGTGTTAGAGTGCCTTTAAGCTTGCTCATTTCAGTTAGGTTCATATAAAGTACCGTATTATATCTAGTAGGAAGAATATCAATATACGGTTTCCATTTAGAATTTTCTTTATACTTTTCGATAAGCAAAGCGATAGCTAACGCCACTTGTGGCATCTGTTGTATCAAAGGATCACGTTGAAAACTTTCTAACTCGGGGGCAGCTGTTTGCGTACTAAATATAAGTTTCCTAGGTATTTCCAAAATAAGTTCATTCTCTATAAAATCACGCTCTGCCTTTAGACCTAAATCGTATCCTGTAAAGCCAACAATACTTGCTCCATCGACATTAACATCGTTCTCTTTCAGCCATTCCATGAATTGTCCTACCCCCCGAGATTGTTTTGATTGATTTGTCTTCATTGGTAGTAAGCAGGCACTGTAGTAGCTAATTAGCATTACATTTGGTGCGATATACAAACAGTAATCCCATAGTTGTGTATTATACGCAGGATCGCAGCTCACTAAACAAATAATACAAATGAATATTATTAATTTTAGTTTGTTATAGAGTTTATACAAAATAAATAGAGTTAATTCATCATTTAAAAGTATAGAAAATGTAAACAATTTACAAATACATAATAAATAAATATATATATACACATATATATATGTGTACTCGTATGTCAATGAAAAGATACTGTATGTAAATAAATGATTAACTGTCAAGTTAGTAAGAGGAAAAAAAAAGTGAAAGTTGATAAAAAAGTTGAACAATTTGAAATACTTTAGTTGTTAGTTCAAAATATAATTTACCCCATATATCGGACAAGAAATTGCTTAATCCGACGATAAGTATATCTCAATTGCTGATCCCCACCCCCTTGTGACCTGATAAAGTAGACTCTTTATCGCGATAGAGTCGTAGCACCAAATGCAAACTCGGACAAGGCTCTTGGTATTCTACTCACTGTGAAATACTCGGTCGCACAAATCATTGAGCTGTTTTTTCATTTTCACCGTCGATGTTTGTCTTCGATGATGGTTCTGCTTTGACGACGAATGGGACTTCTTTTTGTTCATCTTCAGAAGATTTCACAGCACTCTGTTAAATCTACTTACATTCAGACGCATTATAAACACGAAATCTGCCCACCCACTTTAGGTAAGAACATACACACTTTACCCGTTCGCGAATACGAAAATAGAACGCTGCTTCTTCGGTAGTTTTGAATTCTCTCTGATGTACGGTCGTTAGAAAACAACCATAACCTAGAAATTGTCAAACCCACTACAAGAACACCAACGACCGAGAAAATTTCTGTAGGATCATGGAGGGTTATTAGGATATATTGATTTTTATTCATAACAGGGTGAACCTATTGTTCTCAAATTACTTTTGACGAACGTTGTTTTTAATTTTAGCTTATCTTTTTCTTTTCAGCATAATATAATTAATAATATCATTGTAAATGACAGAGAATATCGTTAATAAATTATAATTTTTTATAAAATTGACTGTGTTCGCCATTTTTAAATTGTATCATATTAATCTTTTGCTGTATGAATTAATTAATTATTTATGAATAAAAAATTATTGATATTACAAGATTTATACAATATTATTATTAAATATTAACATTTTCACTAAAAATATATCAATTTTATAATTTGTATGAATTATATGAATTTTTTTGTATGAACAAATTCAAAGGGTTATAACTGCAATTAGTTGAGTCCTATTGTGCAACAAAATTTTCTTTTAAAAATCTTCTTATTTATTTCATATAAATGAAATGAAACATTATCATTATTTTTTGTTCTTTTACATTATATTATTACTTGTAATAATTTGTATAAGGTTGTGCAGATAAATGTCTTGGTGGTATTACTTTTTTCCTCACTTTGTATATACAAAATTATTTTAGAAATTTATATCTATTATTATTAATAATAAGATAATATTTACACTAAGGGGTCTCTCCTAAAGATTAATATCTTTTGTTTTAAATAGTCTTATAATGTATCGTCGATAAAATTATACTTAAAAAAAAAGCACAGCATTTTCTACTCTATATTATGCTTACTATTTTACATTTTATTATTATTATTATTATTATTATTATTATTATTATTATTAATAAGTCTATTCAAATAGTTGTTAATATTTTGTACAAAAAAATGTATATTATCGGGATCACATGATGTATTTTTTGTTTAAAATAAAATCTATTAAAATATGTAATATATTAAACAATTGTGTATGTTTTATTTACATTATTAAAATGAAAGAGAAAAAAAACATTAATAAGTAAAACTAGCAATCAAATGATGTTGAATAAATGTAATAAAAGAATACAGAATATTAATCTTGTTACATGTAATATCTATAATTTTGTTTTGTTAAAATCTTGGGGTCTATTATTACTTTTTCTTATACATATATCTATCAGTTCGCAAAATCTTTCATACAAAGAAGAGCATACCTAAAGAGCCCCTTTAATGTCACTCAATCGTTAAGATTTCTGTATAATTAATTAAACTGTTATCATAAAACAGTTAATAAATTTGATTTTTCACGCTGCAAAGCAAAACAAATTCGTTGCAATGAAAATAAGAGAAAAAAACCAGCAACGAATAACACAACAATCATCTACCTGTATTAATACAATAACCAATAATAACATTCAACTGCAAACCTTACGCATTTTAATTTAATTTAATTAATCTTTTTAAAAAACAAAAGAACACAATTTCAAAATCGGTATATGCAGTATTCTTTGCAGAAAATAAGCAACACGATATAATATTCTCGAGTTGCTTAGTACTAAGTACTTGATTTTACAAATTAATATTACTTATTGCTTATTTATTTTTTATCGTAATAAAAAAAAACGAACGAATGAACAAACAAACAAAAAAATAATAAAAGTAGATTTAACACCCACGATCTGTAAACATATTTAGATATCCAACGGATGAAACTTATAACTACGTAATTTGTACTAGAGTACAGATCAACCGCGATAAGCTTCCTTTATGTTATTTATATTGCTTATGCACAGTGAAACAAAATTATAATTATATTACACATCTGCAGCATTATTTTTTAATTTCAATCGTAGACTCTTTGCAGCGGAAAACTAGTATCTTAATTATTAAAAATACAGATATAGTTATGGTAATAATAATAATAATAACTAATAATAATAATTATTAATAGTAATAATATTATTATATATACCGTTATTTTATACAATTTAATGACTAAATAGTCTTATAGATTAACCATAATGATTAGATTTGTCCTTCTACCCGAAGTAAAAAATCAACATTATATTTATATATTTTGAAAGGAATTTGTTTTTCTTTCTTTAACAGAAGCGATCATATTTTATTTTATATAGTTTCACAATATTTGTAGAAACAAAAGAAATTACTTTTCACTCGGAGCAATTTTAAATTAAATTTGTTTGTAATTTGATCATTCTTTGGGCTCCGAGTGTATTTTCTGTAACTATAATCAATTGAATATTTATTCAGAACTTTATATAAATTAACTTGGATGACATGAACGTAGATAGGTACATATCACAGCACCTTCGAGATAAATTGTTATATTACTTAAACATTTTTGTACGGATAAAAAGTGCGATATATAACTCTAAACTATAAAGGCAGAATTTTGTAATTAAATTGAAAATATTTATAACTAAAGTATCATCATCACGTACACTTAATATGATTTTGTAATTATCACAAAATCTTTACCTGTGGCACTGTGCCATTGATAACTAGCTGTACAATGTACCAATACGTTGTGAAAGAGATAGAGAGATAGAGAGATAGAGAGAGAGAGAGAGAGAGAGAGAAATTGTTGAGGGCTATAAAACTCACAGTACATAAATATATAAATTACTTCTCATCCAAGTTATAAACATTGTAATTGATTGTGCAAACACTATAAAGTTAAATTTACAAAACTTTAAAACACGTACGCGTGTCGAATAATTTGTGATTTCTTTTACATTTAAATTTTTCTTTGATACACATTTTATATATATGTATATATATATATATATATATATATATATATATATATATATATATATATATATATAAATCTCTTATCTTTTGTTTATTGGGAAGTTGTATCAGAAATGCTCTGTCGCCATGTAGCATGGAAAGGAATTTTCAATATTTTAACACGTGTCTTAGGTAATGCAGTCAAAAGAAGTTTTTGAAGTTGCGGTAACGGTAAAATATCAACCTGCGGACTCGCCATATTTAATTGCCTATCTTCACCTGTAAAAATAAAATGAAATAGGGTTTTATTTTATTTTAATTAAGACTTATTTGTATTTGTCAAATAATTCAATCAATTCAATCTCAGTAGCATAAACGATAGGAAAATAAGCTTCGTAATTATTAAAGCAATTAAATATACCTCTTTGATTATCATTTTCATCCTCAACTTCTTCGATTAATCTCAAACAGGGTACTGGTTTCAAAACTGGTATAGAATCTCCAATAACCTGTTTGTTCATCAAATTGCATTGATCGACAAATAATTCAGTAACTCTTAGCAATTCAAGCGTAACGCCCCAAACGAAATGTGTTAAATTATGTGACAATTCGGTAACACCGCCGAGAACCATGTTATTAGAAGTAGCCGATTGTGATATGTAGGTAGGTATGATCAATAACCTCTTGATATTTCTGCATTTGGCAAGACATTTATCGAAACCATTTTTTACGTCAAAATTAACTAGTTCCATTTGGTTTAAAAGTGGCAATTTAGAAACACCTTCTAAGATGTCAAATGTACAACAAGAACCTTGACCCTTTTCAAGCCGTAGACGTTCCAATTTTTGCAATTTCATTAAAACTGATGTTCCAAATCTATCTGGAAAATCGGAGCACTCTCCCAATTCCAATGTTTCTAATTTTACCAATATCTGTATTGTATCAATTTTCTTTTTTCCAAGTTCTTTAACCGATGTTAAACTCTATAAGTGATAGTAACAATTAGTAAAGAAATGGGTAATTACTCAAGTATAGCATCATAATATATTATTTTATTGGAAGATAACTTACCAAATGTGTCAATTGTGTTAATTCTTTTAACGATGTAAGATCTTCTGGCAAAGACATTCCACTTATTGCTTTGAATCTCAATTCCTGGCATTGTTTAATATTACCAATAGATTTTAGATTCAAAGTATCACATTTGATTGACATTGCGCTCAATACTTGTAATTGCGGACAAGTTCTAATAACTTCTTCTACTACCACGACAGGACATCTACACAGCTCCAACTTAACTAGGCTGGTAACTCTGGGTATTACATTTAAAAACTTTCTCCAAATACCATCAGAGTCTCCTGCTACAAGCATTTTCCTGAGATCCAAATGCTGCGTACCGTGTCTTTGTAGCGTATCTGCTAAACCATCCCAATCCGTCACTTGGCTATTCTTCATTCTTACAGTTTTCCATAAAGAAGGATGTGCAGCTAAATCTCGCCACATTTTACAAACACGAGAAGCGCGTAATAATTCTTGCACTTTTAGATATTGAAAAATTCGTAGCAATGCATGATAACCCGCGCATACATTGTCCATGAAGTGATGCTGTATGTTTGACTCTTGTTTGTTTTTGTTTTGTCTTCTGAAAAAAACAAGGTAATTATTCTGTTAATTAAAATATAATATGTTCGTCGATACCGTTTTTCATTATATATATATATGATTTGAATACATTATTATATAGCAACTTTATCATTCGCTAAACTATATATATAAATATATTTTTTCATATAAATATATACTATACATGGATATAAAGCAATAACAAATATGGCAAATACCTTTTGTTATTGATATATTCTGATATTTTTTATTTATTTATTATAGGATTTGTGAAAAAATTTGGACCGTTGGACTGACTGGATCAGTAATCAAATTTGGGTCTTCCGTTTTCCAGGCGACTGCTCTAACCTTTGAGCTATCCAATCCAGGGTCCTCCGGTCAACTTTCTCACAATACCTATTTTATTTGATTTTTGATTCCACATTATTTATTTACTTATTTAATTGTTTTTCTTTTCATAGATAATATAAGCAGTTGCCAATTTGTAAATATTTGTTTCAAATATAATATAAGTGACATTTTATGCGTTAAGTAGATAAAAATTGGAAAAAAAAGATATTAGAGAAATATAGACGATGAATCTAATTATATATTACATGGTAGTATCTTAAAATGAATGACGATAATATAATAAATAAAAATAGTGAAAGAAAAGAAAAATATGAAATATACAGGATAGAGGAGAAGGACATATAGGACGATTTTGTTGGGAAAACGCACTAAGATTTTTTTTTTGATTTTCTGCTCGCACATGTCATTATATCTGTAAATATAAAAAGTAAAAATGAATTAGATTTTTTTTAATGAAGCACTTATCAATAGCTGTATCTATAATTGTAGTATTAATATAAAGAAACGTTATCAATATTATCGAGTTATACTCTTACAGTATTAAAAACAATTTCTTTCGAACAAATAGAATAAATTTTATTATCAACACAATGACAAATTATGTTTTTAACATTGCTTAGATATTTACCAAGTTTAAATCTTTACTTTAATACTACAATTACAGATAACCCACAATGATCAGAGTACATAATCATTGCTTCTTTTTTCTTTCTTTTTTTTTTTGACGAATATTAGTCAAGATTTTGGCTGCATTTCTAAGAAGCTAAGGCAGTGTGCTTCGATCATAAGATAAAATCAAATTCATTTTTTTATATATAAATCTATATATATTATATATATATATATATGTTTTATATTTGCAAATATAATAGACACCAGTATATATTGCATTTACAATTCAAAACAAGTATCTCCCAAATGTATTCGTATAATATAGTATGCGTATAAATAATATAATCTACTTTTTATAATTATTCTTTAAAACATAATTACATTATGAATAGTTTCTTCTCTCGCTGCATTATTATTCATTATTTCGCGATGCACGTTAAAGCTTTCTTTATAAAAGCAACTATAACATATAATATTTCATTAAACTGTTGAGAAAAAGAGAGAGAGAGAGAAAAAAAAAGAAAGACAGAGAAAGAGGCTACTGATGCCATTATGTTCTTATTATTTTTTTGTAAAGGCATAGCATACTGATCTTGTAAATACAATATGTACAAAGCAACTGCCAAAACCTCAAAAGAGAGTTGCCTTAAATTAAAACTTATTCGTAGAACAAGCTTGACAGAATAAAGTAAAATAAGAATGCCTATGCTCATATGTTTTTAAAAAACACTTACCTATTACCCATCCTCACTACATTTCTATTAATTGCTATTTTTGTATTTGTTCTAGTTACTTCACTGTCCAGATTCAATGTATTATTTCTATTATTTCGTGTTGTAGAAGACATTGTCTTTCTATACGGTGACCTAGTACTCTTTCTTCTTGTTTCCATAGACGAATATGCCTTTGCACTTGAAGTTACATTTTCTGACACAGGTACATTCAAAATATTTTTATTTATATTACTGTCCGACGTTTCATTCGTGTCGTCAGAAGATCCGCACGACATAGAAACGTCTTTCGATAATTCTTTATCATAGATATTTTCAGTCATATCATTGGAGGCACCGGATATTTTTTTGGAAGATGAAATACCTAAATTTGTAATAGTCGAATTTTCCATTGTATTGGATAGATCAATTAAAGAGCTTTCTTGCAACATTGGCGGTTTGTCACCAATTTTATCAGGTTTTACCGTAATAGCGGGTTGAACCGCCATAGAGTTATTCTTTGGTACAACTATATATTTTTTCCCTCCCATTAAAGCAATGTTTTGTGGTTTTGGTAATAGTCCTCCATCGTGATTTGGCAAAAATTCATTCTCTGATTGAGGAAACCAACTATCCTCCTGTTTATCCGACGACGAAGACGAACTTGTTGAGGTAGCTGTTTTTGAAAATTTGTTAGTACTACGCGATTGTATATCTGTGTTCTCTGACTTTGGAATTCTTTGTAATTTAGGTGGAATTAAACCTGTTTGCGACTTTTGTTTTGCATTTTGTGTGCCTAACAAGCTTATCGGAATTAATGGAGGTGGTGTTAAAGACGGATTCATTGATTGATGTTGATGACTTTCTGTAGAATCTTGTTGACAATTCTACAACACAAATAGAGTTAAAGTCAATTAAAATAGAGAAAATATATAAATGAAAAAGAAATCATTCTTTGTATTTAGAAACAATTATATACTTTTCCAATAATACATGATCAATGTAATATATATAATACCTACCTTGCAAATATAATCATCACTTCCTGAAAATTCCAAGCCATCTACGCACTCAGGATGATATAAGCACAGGCATACGCGACACTGTAAGCTGGGAATCAGTCCCATACTTGTTGAACATCTTATACTGCATGGTTCTTGAACTTTGGGCCTGTAAGATGTGCGTTGATAGGGGGAAAATAGAAAGGAGAATTTAAAACAGGCAATAAGGATTTATGGGATAATAGAAAGAATTGGGTAAATATGTAGTGTTATGAAAATTATAGAAGTTAACTGCTTCTAAAATATATGTGTCCTGCCTTATATATATATATATATATATCCACGATCGCCTAGTAAGATGTTAATTAACTAAATTATTATAGCTGTAATAAGTTTCTAGAAAAAGCGAAGAAAAATATTCAATTGTATTTTCTATTAATCCTAAATTCGCAATTTCATAGGAAATCGAACCAAAAAAAGAACCAAGCGCTTCCTTCTATAACACATAGCAATTATAAAAACTGCATCATATGATTTTCCTGAAATTTTGTAAAAAAATTCACTTCTTCATAAAACCCTGTGTTATTTACATTGGATTCATAAACAAAACGGCAAACATATTTGTTGGCTAAATATATACATCTCATTCTAGAAAAAAAGAAGAGACAAATTAAGTACTTACGTAGACAATCTTTTGCTTTTAGCAGGTGTTGCTTTCTCAGCTGTATGTTGACTTCTTCTTGTACTCGTTGCATTTCGTTGTGGAGGTAACATTTCTTTTTCCTCTGTTGATGGTTTTATTTCTGCTATGCATTGTTCAAAGAGAACAATTATTAGAATATTTTTATGATACTATATATAAGTAATAATATTTATGAGCATGTATAAACTAATATATTCATAATACAAGAAAAAACTAAAAAAAATTTTAATATCTTATACAAGTGGATACATACTTATTTGAGGAGTTTTCTTTGCAGGCACTTTAACTTTGAAACTGCTAGATGTTTTTGGTGATCTAGAAGAAGTTTTCGCAGGTGTCATTGATGCTGTCGTTTGTGGAGCTGTTGATGCCGGTGATGATGCAGAAACTTGTTCTTCAACCGGTTTCCGTGAAGATACTTTCTTAGTGTTGAAAGATCTCCTTGATGGCGTAGGTGAAAGTCCTATTGAACCCTATAATGTTCCCCCGTCCCCATAATTATATATAGTTTAGCTCAAGATATAAACATAATAAACAGTTTAAATTTGAAATTAAATATATATTTAAAAAAACAAATAATATTTACCCTTATCCTTTTCGCGTCTCGAATAATTTCTTTTTCGGGATCATCTAAGCCAATAGGTTCTTTGAAGAATGTAAAATTATCAATTGTTAATTCTCTTGAATGTACTACAATAAAAAAAAAAAATAAAGAAACAAAAAACAAAAAAAAAGAATTAGTGAAAAAATTGTAAATTACAAAGTGCATCATTAATTTATGGTACACAAAAAAAAAAGATATATATTGATTTAGTGAAAAGAAAATTAACTTACGAAATTCGGCTACTTCTCTAAAACTTCTTACTTTTTTCCCCTTTGGCGTATAATAATAAATATCTGCCATTCGCTTAAGGTTAGAATCATTACTTGCTCTGTAAACCAATTCACGTTTCCAGCCATACTTGAATGGTTCCTTGAAAGCGGGATCAGACATATCTATTGTCAATTTTTGTTTCATAGCACTCCCAGGACTGGCACCGCGTGACATCCGACCCCCTTTAGATTTTAGCGACATTCCTGAAGGACTACTTGTACTAGACGATGAGTTGACCGACTTAGTGGAAGATTCTTCAGCTCTTTGCTGTTCCATGTCTAATTCTAAACTATTAGATAGACCGATAGAATCTGAATCGGATTCTCTTTCTTTTTTTATCTTGTCCATATCAAATAATGGGTCCATTTCATATATACGCATTTTATTATCATCCGAGTCTTGATCATCGTCTTTCCTACCATCATAACTCTTCATTGGTATCATATACCTATAGCGTTTTGCATGCTGAGCCTCTGCAATTTCTGCTTCAGCTATGGTCAAAGAAAAACATAAATATATAATAAAAAAAAGACTAAAATAATAAAATCTATATAAAAGATCAAATTGTAAAAATACTTTTAAATATTAATGACTGATTACTATAACTATTTGTCCAAAGTTGGGACTGAATTTAAACAGATAATTTCTAAATATTAAAATATCATAATAACAAGAAAAAAAAATAAAAAGTTTTGCTTTTTTACCAATAAGCTTTCTTAAAACATGACTTCCTGTGTCCAGTTCATCTGCTCCTTGTAAATCGAATCCATTAAATCCAGTGGATTCATCGGAACTAGCATCATCAGGTTCGGAAAGCTTACGTTTGCATCCTCCTCTCGCAGTGGAAAGGTTTATGTCGTTATCGATGCTACTCGTTGAATTGGCCTTAAACTTGCGCAATTTAGTTTTAACCGTTGTAGGAGGATTCTTATTAACAGAATCCTTCAAATCACCGTTCACTTCTTGACCGTCCATATCGACATCCATGGCGGTGTCAGCAGCGTTACCAGGAACAGTATCGGTAACGGTATCGATCGCAGTATCGACTGCTGTATCGATCGCGGTATCGACAACAGTATCGGCGACAGCGTCGTCGAGGGTTGTCTTGTTTTCAGATTCCTGTAACTCCGGCATACTGGTAATACTGTCTAGGTTAGAAACGTCGCGCGCCACTTTAGCGTTCCCGCCATTCGCATTGGTGCTGTCCATTCTGCGGTCCCCCCCCACCCGCGGGACCAACCACGCGACACGTCCTTAGCCCTATCCTCGTTTATCACGAAGAACGCCGACAGTGAGAAGGGGTAGACGGAGTAAAAGAGAGAGAGAGTGACAGAGAGAGAGAGAGAGAGAGCTAAAGAGAAGGAAACAGAGGAAAGAAGGGAGGAAGAGAGAAAGAAAGATCAAGCGGGATGAGAAAGTAAAATATCCAAAAGAGCAAGATGACCAATAAAGGAAAAAAGATATAGATGTTCAATATTGCCTTGTTATCCCTTAACAAGGTTCCTTCGAACGACAATTATTTTCAATGATGTATATAAAAAAAAATGCAACGTAGAAACAACAAAATAACTTTATACGTCTAGATAACGCAAAGCCGCGCTCATCTATCCGAGGATGCGCAGAACGGGCGCGCACACACTGCCACTACGCGCTATTTACACGAACACTAGGCCCCGCCGTCCCTCATCAACTTCTCGACTTCTCCACCTCTTTTCGTTCATCACGTTTCAACAATTAGATCGTTTATATCTTAACACTCTTTCTCACTTCATTCGTATTAATACGTAACTTTAAAACTATCAAGTTGAATCAATGATGACGAGTTTCTTACGGCCGAAAACCACGACAAAGGGGAAAACGAAAACTTTCAGGAGGTGCGGAGCGTCCGTGTAACGCTAAACCGGAAACAGCACCGAGGAACTGTTAACACTTGGGTCGAATTTCTATGGCAACCCTGCTTACTGCTTTTCCAATGCCAGTCATCTTCCAATCGACCAATCAAAACTCGTATTTTCTTCCTACCCTTTTTTCTTATGTGTCACATTCAATCATCTCCCAATGTCCAATAAAAACTCTCCTTTTTTTTCTACCCTTTATAATTATACTTTGTGTTCTTTTATAATGATTAATTCTTTATTATTACCAGCGCAACGTAAGAAATCTTGTTAGTTATAGAATTCTTTCTTTTTTTTTTTGTTTTATTCAAATGAAAATTTTTGTATTTTCAATTTTATCCTATCATGCACGTAATTGGATAGCATTCCATCTTCTTCTTCATTGGCTGCTATCTAACATTTGCAATTTTTGCATTATTTCGCAAAATTAAATGAACCTTTTCGAAAGCTCGTTTATGTTCTATTGGCTAAATTCAAAGTTTTATTTATAAAAGCAAATTATTAAAATATTTATATATGAATGTATGCATGATGTATATAATAACAGTTGTGTAACTTATATGTATACGATAATTATGGAATAATTATGTTACATATTGTGAATAAAGTTATTGAAAAATCAAAGAATAATTAATGACAAATTTTTATAACAATTATATTGAGATAAAAAAAAAAATATCGGCAACATACCTGCACATATTTGTCTATTAACTTGATTTGACTACTGCGCCACACACATACCTGCATCATACAATCACGCGACGTATACACAGAAGTATACGGTCATTATCCTATTTCCCCTTATTACAAGTGTGCACCACTCTGAGTTAAAAGATAGGAGACTAATAAGACGAATAAAATTGACTGGTTCGACATTTGTCTTTCCTTTTTTTTTCCTTTTTGTTTTCTTTCCCCTTTTTATTCGACCAGAGAATTAAATTATTGTTTTACGATGATATTAGTTTAAAGTTCAACCAACTACTTGCAACTTACATACAAGGTCTGTAAACGTGACAGTTTATAATATCATTTAAATTGCATATTGATTGAATTTATTGAAATACGAGTATTTCTTGAGTATTTAGGTGTACATGTGAGAATTTATTTACTATTGATATAGAAAATATGCATACATTATTTTATTCGATTTTTGATATTTTCTTATGTAGTGTTAATAAATGACGTTAGTAAATAAAAATTGTGTTTTTTTTAATATGTTATGTGATTGATAAAACAAGTGTGTTCATATAAAATTTTATTTTTTATATTGAATAAAAATGAAAGAAAAATTGTATGTGTACAAAGGTATAAAAATAAGTTAAAAAATGATCACACTTTACTGCTGCATTTTGTATTTAATATTCAATTAATTTTCAAATGTTTGTAATATAACTTAGTTGCTTGTTTTTTTTTTTTTTTTTAGAATTAAACGCATCCTTCAAATGGAGCGTGTTCTAAAAGCAGTACCAGCAGGCTTAAGAGTAAAAATGGAGGCACTTGTGCATGATTTGACCATTGCGCTTGAAGAAAGTAGTAACAGTGCTAATGTCAGACGTAGATGGGGTATAAGGAGGAGAGCTCGTTCAACGGGAAATATCCGTAAGTGCAAGGGTATATAAAGCAATAGAAAGTAATTAAAAATTTTTTAAATGATAGAGCACATATATTTTGATTTTTTAAAATTAAAAGTTGAAGATACGGAATATCAATCAATCTAATTCTATGACAACATTAATTACAGTTTGCTTCTACGAGGTATACAGTGGATTGTTGTCAAGATTGTCTTTCTATAAATATCAATGTACAAGAAGTTGAATTACATTTAAATGTAATCTTTGAATAATAGTTTATTCAAGATTTGAGATTAAGTTGTTCGATAAGAATCACATTTTCTTTACAGCCTCGCTGAATATAAGCAAACACTCGGATGATAGTTCATCTTCCGTTTGCGATATTCGTATTCTAAAAAATTCAACACCTTCTAAATATCAGTCAGACAGCGATGACACCAATCAAACTAAAAGATTTGCAAGGTTTTCCAATCTGAATAATGTAAGCAACATAGAGAGCGATTCTGTCAATGAAAATTTCATACCAAGGACTAACACCAGGCGTAAAAGGAAATTCAAGAAGATGGCTGTCGATTCTGACTCTAATCCGTCTACATCTCAAACAGTTACCATTATGTCGACCTCTTTAGGCGGAAAAAAGCGGGTTCTTAAGAACGATTGTAAAAATAAATACGAAGCCATATGGTAAAATAGCGATTTTACAAAATTTATTTGCACCAAAATAATTGTATTACAATTAATCTTGATCAAGTTACGTATTAAATATTTTTATTGTTAGGTGTGGAAAACGTAAGAGATCATGTAGAGAACGTTCTACTGATTGTGAAATGCGTTCTTTAAAACCAAACAGAACATCAAAGTCTAAAGTTCGGGGGAAGATACAAGGTGAAGAGACTGTAGATTGCTCTCGTATATCGAGTTCAAGTATTTCTTCTAGCGATTCCGAAAATGGTATAATCACAAATGACGAAGATCGCGAAGGTAAATATTGGTCGCTTTTCGTTAAACGTATGTATTTGATTTTTGTTTGCTTTTTTTTATCTTTTAGGAGACGACGAACAATCTGACTGGATAGTGGAATCAAATTGGTGGGATGATGGAGACAGTACGAGTGAAGATAAAATAGGAACAGATTCGACATTCCAAATGATATTACACGGTAGCTTCGAACATTCTACCGACGAAAGCAGAAAAAGGTATAGACAAAAAGTGAAACGAATTCGCGAAGGTTTTACTGGTAGAGAAATTCGAGCTGGTCGTCGTCACGTAGATAATAAACCTGGATATTCCATCATTACGTCAGCGAATGAAAAAGTGTCAAGATTTTTACAAGATCCAACTCAAAGCGAACTTAAATTACATCCTATGCGCCAAGCTGAAAGGGAGAAGTTACGTCGTCTTGCCAATTTATATAGTTTAAGTTTAAAAGGCGATTTAGGTTGTCCAATATTATATAAAACATTACACACAACTCAAGCTGTATGCGTGGATCAAGTGTCTTTAAACAGATTTTCTGATTACAAAAGATTAAGAAAGACACCTCCTAACTCACCTAATCCCGATTCAATGATGCAATGTCACGAACAACATATTTCTAGTACAAGTTTTGGTACGCAAATTGTCCAACAAACACAAGATACTATGCCGCTGCAATCAATAAGTTTTCCACAATTTGATTGGGACTCCAATAATATGGAAATTGAAATACATGGAAAACCAAAATGTCAAGATTTTGGACATTCAAAATCGAGTTAAATTATATGGATCACTTTGTATTAGTTTGTTTTTTAATATATAAATAGACAGATAACCTGCTTACTATTAATAAGATTAAGTAGATATTTTAGAATTGATGTATTATAATAACGATTTAATACCAAAATTGGGATTTTTTTTCTAGATTTAATCTCTACTATAGTCCAATGCAGCTTTAAAGTTGGTACAAAATATAAAATAATAATAAATAAGTTCATTAACACGTTCCGTGTGCCACGTGTACCACCGGTTGTACACATTAAACTTGTTCTTCAGGCCACATGTACCATCGGTGGTACACTTACTATTACACATATTTATTCAATGCGCTGAAAATATATGTTTATAACAAATTTAATTCTGTAAAAAAGTATTCCTATTAAAATATTGATGCATTATACAAAATGCAATATAGAACAAAGCACATAAGTTTGTTTAATTGTTATATTTACAATAATTTATAATTACATGTAATGTGGTTGATTTTGTTAAAGCAAAATTAAATGGCTTGAGTGACAAGTCAGGTAAAAAGGGCTTGGCACGGAACGTGTTAATGATAATAATTTACTGTGCATAGAGTAAGTTTTATGATTCTGAACGTAAATAACAATTTGTATTTTTCTTATTACAAACAAACCGTACATTATCAACGTAGTAAAATCACGTCGATTAAGGTGGGCTGGTCACGTGGCGAGCTTGGAGGAGGATCGAACGGCGCACAAAATATTGGTCGGTATACCAAACGGGAAAAGACCACTAGGTAGACCGAGACGTAGATGGAAGGATAATATTAGAAGGGATCTAAAAAAAATACGATACGAAGACCGCGAATGGTAGGATCGCGCTCAGGGACGGGAACAGTGGCGGGATTTGGTATTTGCGGCAATGAACTTTCGAGTTTCTAACGCCAATTAATAATAATAATAATTTTTCTTATTAGCATAGCATATTGCATTATTTTGAATGATAATTAGTATACGTGAAACATCTATTAATACTATATGTAGATCATACAGTATATAAATTTGTAAAAACTCATAACATAAACATGTATCATTTTTTCTTTGGTAACAATTAAACACAAATAAGATCGGAATGGTTTCTTAGAATATTATTTGAGATTTCTATAAATTTAATTTAAACACCATACCTTACATTAAAAATCATTTAAATTATCCATCCATAATGGGTTAATTCTTTTATAAAATTAGAGCAAACCCATATTTGAGCTTATATTTGAAAATATTAAATTTGTATCTAACTGTCATGATATTTAGTACAAAATAAATTCAATACAATATTTTAACATTTCATTTAGCGAAATCATATAATATTTATATCAATATGCTTTATACATGAAACACACATTTTTCTTCGACATTATATCCGTCCAAGTTTCTTTTCAGCCGCAATTATATTTTCATTGGCAAGTATTTGAAATTCTTGGAATCGCTGGGAAACTCGTTGGTTCATTTTCAAATATTTTTCCATACAGTTAAGGGCACACTTTTCTTCCTTTGGTTTAACATCACGTGTCGTAAAATCGGTTATGCAGTCAATAAAACAAATCTCGGATAATTTGTTGTAAGACGTTATGAAGTTTTTAAACTAGAAATATATAAATATCAACAAAAATAATAATTGTGATAACCTACAAATAGAATATCAATTTAAAAGAAACATTTTATATTGATAAATACATACAGTCTGAATTTCATCTAACTTTACTTCAGCAGGAACTTGCATAGCCATTTTGTTTAATAAATTTATTCCAATGTTTCGTAATTAAAAATTAATATTGTCACATAAGAAAACTTGAGGTTAGAATTTACATATAAGACTAAACAAATTTAAATGCAGTCTTTATTTAATATTGCTCTCACTTCCATATTACTAAGCGAGTTAATCGTTATCATCATATAGACTAGACAAGGAACACGATCTCAAACGTATTAATTGCCAAAATCTGTCCACTTAAATTTTATATTTAAGTTTTCTTGTTTCACCACTAGTGTCGCTAATATTCCTTCTGTACTGTTTTGAATATAGTAACATACCGATGCATGAAGTGAGCAAATAGTTCTTAACCCTAATATTTGTATGTAAACAAAAAATAATAACAAAATTAAAATATTAAAAATAAGATTAATAAAAATTATAAATATAAAAATGGGCAGGGTGTGCGCAGTTAAAAATTGCAATAGTGGAAGTGCAACTGATCTCATACGAAGACGGGAATCGAATTTTAAAAAACCTATGTTTTTTAAAGTACCAAAGGTATTAGTTCGTGCTCCTTATTTAGTCTCCATGACTATTAATATTAGTATTTTACTTATATTTTTAACTTTGTATAGTAAATAATTATTGAAAAAATACAGTAACCATTACTTTTATCTGACTGAATTTTATTATCAATAAAATTTACATTTAATACTATATTTTCTAAATGATTAGGATTTAATCTAAATTTATTATTATTATTATTATTATTATTATTATTATTATTATTATTACTACTATTTACTCATTTTTTTACGATTATTAAATAATTATTTATTTAATTTTAATTATTTATACTTGAACAACCTAAATGATTACCCTTAGTTTCGTATTATAATTTTTTTTTAAACTGCCGCCTTATTCCCCTTCCATTTTGATACAAAGAGAACACGGGCGCCCTTTTATTTTCTATATCCTATTTGTATACATGGAGATCGTGCTCCTTGTCTAGTCTCCATGGTTATCATTGCCTTATACCAAGTCAAAAGTAATAGCCAATCAGAGTGATCCTTATAACAGGAAAGTTCCTATTTGTTTCTAAACATAGTTTCCTGTGATATTACAGAATCAACTAATCAGAAGCAGGAAAATAATAGAAAGAAAAGGAAAGAAAAAATATTTTCTTATTCGCAGTGCTGTACTACGACTGCTTCTAAAATCGTGTCAGAAACTAATCCAAGCTTACAAAGTGAAGAAATTTTCTTAAAGTGAACAAAATCAATTTTGCAAATTATTATTATTATTAGATATAAATAATATATCAATATAGTCAATATAAAAGAATGTGAATAAAAAGTTCTTAGTTTTATTATTTATATTCGCATATTACTATCAGGTAATGAATAAGGGTTCTCTTTTAAAACCCAAATAATTAATTATTTGAATCGTTCCAACTGTTAGAAAAAACAAACAAAAGTGTCGATTAAATATTTATGTTCTTTGTTATACTTTCTTATTTATATCAACGGAATTTTAATAAAATCATATAATTTGTTTAATGAATTTGTTAATATTTTTGTAAAACGAATGAATAATGAACACGCGCGTTTTTCATTAAACACTTCTTATAAAGACAGATGGCGCCACCAATGAGTTTATTATTTGATATCTAAATTTATTATAGAAATATCTATGCTTGCTTAACAAATAAGACTTTGTTTATACAAAATATTTTTCGAAATTACGATAAAACATGTGATTCAGCTTAATCTAGGTGTTTATCTAAAAAAAAAAGAATATAAAATATTTTGTTCATTCGTTTATCGGTGATTCGGTTGCTTCTTTTTCTACGTCGGTAAAATAGAGATTACCAATCTGTTACAATTTTAAACTTTCTTAACGTATAACGACCTTCGTCGGTCCGATCTTCTTTTTTTTACTGTTCATTTATTTTCAACTAACATTGTTCCGTTTTTAAACTTTTTAAAACTTTTTTTAACTAATAAATAAAAACATCTAGAACGCTCCAAATTGTAAGAGTGTAAGAATGTTTAAATGTTTTTCAGTGAATTTATCCAAAGTTTATATCCTCGTGTTACGAGTTTGAACAAGAAGTTTGACAAGAGTGCAATTTTATAACCGGAAACAAGTAAAAGAAATCAAAGAAATGTCAAAAAGAAGTGTGAAAATGTTTGCGCGCAAAGAAATTAGAACGCTAAAAGAAAAGGAAAATAAAAACTACGTTGTATCAATGAACAGCGAAAGTTACGAGGAGCAAACAGATCCTATCGCGATTTTACAAAAGGAAATTCAAGATTGGAGGGATCATAAAGAAATTAATATTATGGAAGAGGTTTATACTACGAGCGACCGGAAAAATGATTCGTTTGAATCACAGAATGAAAATTTTTGTTCCAATGACGATGATGACGATGATGACGAAGATGAAAACGACGACGTAATGTAAGTAATAAAGGAAAAAAAATAGTTTAATATTTTTGTTTGTGCGGAGCTTTTTTCTTCTTATTTTTTTGCTGCCACTGTTGTATATTTGTTTCCAATTTTGTCATCTTTTTTCTACCGAAGGAGATAATCCGTATAGAAATTTACGTATAATACGTACGATAATAAGATTATGCAAAGAGCATTAATTTGTATAAAGTCGATCACTACACACTTACTATACATATATTGTAAAAAAATATGGCAGCGTTCGTTGCACTTTTGAATGTGTGCCAATTTTCTTGCGTATTTCGATTGTAGCACAAAATTCATAACAAATAAATATATTAATAAAAATAAAAATTTTACCAGATCAATTCGTTTCGATACATTTCTGCAAATTACAAATAATAGCTCGAAAAATGCTAATAATATGCTTAATGATATACTTTTTATTATTATAACAACATATGCACGTTTATACATATGTATACAACTTATACATAATACTTTAAAGGTGATAATAATAGTTCTAAAGATATTAACAATAGAATATTATAACAAGAAATGCAATAGTGCAATCTTATGTTAGTGCATTTTGAGTGTGGTAATTTATTTTGTAAATAAATTAAGGTAAGTACAAAAAATATATAAATAATCCATTGAAATATATACTATTAGTATTAAAAATATATATATATATACAAATCAATCATACATAGGTAGGTTGAATAATTTTATTTTTTGTTAAGGCTCAAACTCGTCAATCACCCCTCGTACATATAGAGAACAGCTTATTTTGGAGAAACTTATTTTATATTATTAAATTATTTTTGAAAAAAAAAAACAGAAGAAAACAAGGAAAATAAATTATTAGATGAGCCGTTCAGTGCACACATCGATTAACTCCACTTTTTGAAAAATCTTAAATTTAAGTGTCAAAGCACTTGGTATAATCATAACTTTTTATATTTATAATAACTTTCCTGAATAATAAAGATTAACACCATTAAACGGAAAAATTTTGTTAGCCATTGAATACTAAGTAATACATTATTTATGACACATGACATTATTTCATCGCATTTCTCAACTTTTTGTTTTATGGAGTTAATCAATGTGTGCACTGAACGGCTCAGATATAGAATAAGGTAATTTAACTTTCGAAGAAGACAAAAACTCGATCAAACTCATTAATAGCGTCGATAGCCAACTGAAAGAGAGTTCAAATGGTAGTAACTCTTACATAAATAAAAAAAACCATTCAGAAAAAAGCAAGTCCGTTCGTCTCGTCGTTTGATTATACGTATGTACCTACATATGTATGTATTTATAAAACATGCAAGAAAAAAAGAGAAAGAGAAAGAAAGAGAGAAAGATAGAGAATTACTACGTCATTCCGGAATTTTCGAAAGTTTTGTCGAACCGGTTTGTAACTGCCACACGTATACTTGGATACCATCGTCTGCGCGTTCCTGGCGTGCACCAACAGTCTTCAAATCCTCGGTACTTAACATACATACTTGCTTTACTTCGATTTATTTTTATTTCAACCCACTCTTAAAAAAAAATCTACAACATTTGTTACAATTTAAATTATCTTCAAAATGATGATAAGTAAGAATAAAATGATATATTTCATTAATTTTTATGTATGTCCTATGTCGATTATTTAAAAGTTCAAGAGAATTGAGTAAATGAGTTAATACATTACAACAAAATTAAAGGTTGAGTCAGTTTATTTTTGGAGTTATCAAAAGCTCTCACCTTCGTTCAAGAGAAGGACGAGGTGGATGAGTAGGAAAGGGGGAGGGAAAACATCACGAATAAAGCATGACAATGAGCTAAAGTGTTGTAGGTTAGTGAGAACAATAGTCGCGCTAACCGCTAATGGGCCACATGCGTATGCCGTACGCATTACATAGCGTAAAAATATTTTCGGCGATGCATATGCGCCTTGAATAAAAAATAACCATCAACCTCCCTCCATTTCTTCTCCTCCTTCTCCTCCTCCTCCTCCTGCAGACGACAGCGGTGCTCGATTCGACTCATGTTTCTGTCGTGACTAAATTTCATATTGGTTCCTCTTATCCGACGACCTCTCTTGTACCCTCCCTCTTCACACCCGTCAACCAATTTTACACATCCCACTCTTTCTCACACATTCACGAGATTGGCACGTGTTGCATTCCCTATCGCAAGTACTGATATATGTACATAAATAAGTGTGTTGTGTTATATATCTTTTAAATTTGTTTATTCTTGTGTTTTTCTTTACGCGTTTTATTTAAAGAAAACAATAGAAAAAAGGAAAAAGAACGAACATATATATTTTAATTTCTTTTTATAGCAAACATTTAATTAATCAGTGCTGTTGATAGACGTATATACATACATATGCATGCACATATAATAAAAAGCCTTCGATATATTCAAGGTCTACAGGGTATCGAAACACCAAGCACCATTTTCAACTCACTCGAGTAACGATGTAGGTTAGGTTCCCAGCGGTATATGTCGCAAAAATCAACATTCTCGCGAAGCCGGAGTTCGCAAAAAGTATAGAACCGGTTTGCCTCGTAAATGGCACATGAGCGTGTGAACAAGAGATAAAAAGAGAAATAAGCTAAGAAAACAAAAGAAAGAAAGAAAGAGAGAGAGAGAGAGATGCCTAGAAACCGAGTAGTTGGATAAATATTTTTGTCATTGTCATGTATTTTTTTTAATAGCATCTTTGTTTTTTTCTTCCGTAAGGAAAAAGCAAAAGAAAATAAATAAAAAGAAACGAATGGTAAATAGATAAAAAGCGCTCGTGTTATTATCTCACAGTAATATTGGTTATTATACACGAAAAGATACGCTTTTATCGCGTGTATTATAATCGGTATCGTTCGGAAAGTATTCGTCGGTGGCGCTGACATCGGCAAGATAATACATTTTAAAATAGAAGTCGTTGAAATTACAACAAAAAGAAAAGAAATAAGAAGAAAGAGATTCTCGAGCAAAGCTGAAAACGATACTGCAGGACGTCGTCATCACGTTAACCGATATAATAATCGCACAATCGTGCACGTTTCATCGTAATCGTACCGCGTTATCTACGCTTTTCGCATAATATTACACGGTGAGTAAACGCGACTGCCGCTGGTAACGCGCTCGCGCGCACGTGACGTCACTTTCTGCGTCGGCAACGTTGGCGGTAACGTCGGCGGAAACGTAAGTTTTACAAAGAAACACGCGGTACCCAATGGTCGCTCGCTTAATGGCTGCTTGCTTGACCAAGGTCAACGTTCTCTTCAATCGGACGAAATTTGTCACGTGCGTCGAAGGGAACTTGTAGTATATTGTTCTTGCATCCAAGTTTTTTTCTCTTTTTATTCGAATGCAAAATTAATACAACGCACCGGCTATTTTTTATTTTATAATGATCATTCTTTTAAAAATACCTATACAGAGTTACAAAGCTATGATCCCGCCAAATTGACAAAAAAAAAATAACAAAAGAGAAAAAGATGTTCATTCGAAGATGTAGTAAATGATTATCTTTTTGTTTGATTTTTTACATAACGATGTCCCGCACGCGTCCCTGTTGGCGTAACGCTGATGTCAGCGGTACTCGGCGTCGCGCCAGTCAACAACAACGCGACGACGAAGGAATTCCTTCTATTATAAATGAAGAAAGTGGAAACGAAACGAAGCGAAGTGCCGAGGATTGCCGACTATGCCCGATCAAGAGGACGGCGTGAAGGGGCGCGACGAAACGCGACGCGATGCCGTCTTCTTGCAAGACCACGGCAACGCTGCGCAACGTTCCTCTCTTTTCTAGGTTCAAGGGTACGGAACGGAGATCTCTCGTCCTCTTCTTCTTCTTCTTCTTCTTCTTCTTCTTCTTCTTCTTCTTCTTCTTCTTCTTCTTCTTCTTCTTCTTCTTCTTCTTCTTCTTCTTCTTCTNTCTTCTTCTTCTTCTTCTTCTTCTTCTTCTTCTTCTTCTTCTTCTCTTTCTTCTTCTCTTTCTTCTTCTTCGTCTTCCTACAATCCATCTATGTGTATATGTGGAGAGAAAACAATCGGAGGAGTCCGAGGAACGTAGGGATGCCGAGTCAGTCCGCTTTTATCCAACGGGAAACTTCTCGAACGTGCTTGCACTTACGTGAATTCCTTCATTCCTTTTTGTTTCCTTTCGTTTAAAGAAAATGTAAAAAATAACGCGGGAAATATCATTTCTGAAGGTTATCATTGTTTTCGATTCGTTAACATTTGTTAATAATCGATAGCATCGGTACACCTTTGCATATATGTTTATTAGGGATTTCTTAAAAGTAATCCATTGAAAAGAAGATTTAAATAGCACGATATGTCATTATTTGAACGACGATGTACATAGTACATAATGTATATCTACATTCTGCATACTTGATCTAGTTACGTTTGGCAAAAGAATAGAGTCCGTCAAATGAAATATGACATAGGATTATGTTAAATTGAAATTGAACAGTAGAAGATTACAGTAGTCTTCTTGATGTAACGCGTAGAATATTTGTATGGAAAGAGGCAATGCGGAGGAAAATGCAAAAATGCACATGGAACCCTAGGTAAATCGATTCCTTTGTTCGCGAGTCTTACGTTATACATTGCGCATTCATAGTATAACATCTGCTTAATCGTACAATAGTCCCAGGAAAGAGAGAAAGAGAGGTAAATGCGTTCCGTTGGATCCTTTATTGCGTCTCAAAGAGCTCAGAGTTTGGAACTGACTGAAAAGAAGGGGTCCCCTGAAATCTTGAAGACGGTAGACAACATCTGTCCCTTTTCCGCACTCGCATAGAGAAAAAAGAGGGCTCACGCGTGACCCTTCCCCCTTTTTTTTCTCAAAGGAACTCAAAAAGTGGGCTTTCATTGTGATCGACGAAGTAAAACAGGAAGCGCGATGACTGACATCTGCTTTACGTCACGTACCATTTCTTAAAAAGGAAGCCTAAGAGACTGCGCCATGACAAAATTATTTTTAAACACTATCATCCAAAGAAAAAGAAAAAATCTTAAAAAACATTTTTTTCTAATTAAAACAAATCCATTTATAGTTTTAGCCCAATTTAAAAAATAATTATGTCATTCAGTGATCGATCGATCGATCGATCAATCAATCAATCAATCAATCAATCAATCAATCAATCAATCAATCAATCAATCAATCAGTCAATCAATCAATCATTCAATCAATCAATCATTTAATTATCAAGTATAATAAGCTGATAAAGGTATTTAAAAATGACGTTGATAGAAAATTGTTTTCAAGCGTAATATTTAAAACTGAATCGTTATTTTGTTATAATTTAGAATAGATAATCTTTATTTGTAATAATAATAAAATGTTTTTTTATAATAATAAAAATATTTGATAAATACCACTTTACATTGTGAATTAACAAATTTATATCATCAGCCTCTTTAGCTCAGTGGCAGAGCACTGGTCTCGTAAACCAGGGGTCGTGAGTTCAAACCTCACAGGAGGCAAATCTTTTTTTTCTTATTTTATTTGATACGTTGAAAAAATACGATATAAGAATAATAGTCTTTCGAGATATTTTTTCTCAATTTTCTTCCATTGAGTATCCTTGAAATGTTTTTTTTTAATAAAAAAAAATATTCATTTGTAAACTCGAAGGACATTTTGTTTGTTGTGTCGAAGAACAATCAAATCGAATAACGGAATAAATAAATAAATAAAATAAAATAAAATAAAATAAAATATTTTTCCGACGGTATAAAATTGACAAAAGAGAAAATAGAATATATAGAAATATAGGAATAATTAAAAAAAAGGTCTTTCCTGGACATACGGTGATCTAAAATTCTGTGCGCGCACTGTAGTCTACAAATGCGAGCCACGTAACGCGAACCCGTGCGTTCTCGATATTCAAGAGTTACACCCGCCGGCAGTGCTGATGGGATGGTGGTGTGTTGGTAGTGGCTAAGAAATGCTGAAAAGGCTCCAGAGCGAATAGTTTGGAATTTTCAAACGTCTCTCTGAGAGCTAAGTTTGTATTAAATTGCCAAAGATTACGTGACGTTTTGGTTGGAAGTCAAATAGAGAGACTTATATTTTTATTGTATAAAATAACCGATGATATATATTTCACATAAGTTAACACGTTGTGTTGATACTACGTGCCTGAGAACGAACGTTTGACAATCAATTCTCTTGAAGAAGGAAAAGATTTAACGAGAAAAAAAAATAAATAAAAAAAAAGGATAAAAAAAGAAAGAAAGATATCCACGTAATTTCCCATTTGTTTGCGCTTTCCGTGAAAAGCTTACGTCGCATCACAGTCTCGCGTTTTACACGCGTTTCTACGCGCGTACATTTACCAACACATTTAAACGCGGTGAGGTTACGTGCACACACATACACGTAACAATAAAGACGCATTACGGTAGCGCGTAGTAGAAACGTGAGATGTATATTGTCGTTCTCATTCACGTCGAAGCATTCGCTGCACATTCTCTCGCCACTAGTATTCCAGTATTCCAGGCCGTGCTTGGGCGCCCTCGGAACTACGGGTTTACGTGACGAGCATCACCGTCGATGAGTCTTTTGAGAAAAGCGCCTCTCTTTCTCTCTTTTTCTCCATCTTTCTTCCACTTCGCTCCACTCCAACGACTGCTCAATTTTCCACAATAACACTGACTTTCTATCTCTGATTCTGCCAATTCAAAAACAACAAATCCCCTCCCCCATTTTTTTTAAACTAAACCCTCATTAACCTCCATTTTAATTTTTCTTGCCTACGTTACTATATTCGCTATTTTGTTATTAATATTTTGCTATAATATAGTATATAGATAAAAATATATAAATAAAAATTTGTAAATTCGTATAAAAATCAGTTACTCTTTAAAACTTTGTTTTATAAAATTTTTTTGTTTTTTAATTTTTTTTTTTCATAAAATTATAGAATATGTGTAGAACTTGATTAAAAAAAAACACAAGAACTTTTTGGGACGATCCAATATGTTGAATTGATATTCATCTAACTCTGATATATATATATATATATTTATTCGCGTGAAATTTGGAATAAAAATAAAAAGTATATAACGTAGATGAGAAGAAAATTAAAAAAAAATTAAAAAAAAAAAGCAAAAAGAAATCCCATTAATTGAACATAGAAAAGAAAAATTTAGAGTAGCGTAAAACATTTCGAATATTCTAAATCTTTGTAGAAGTCAAGTTGTATACTCGTTCATATCGCAAGGTAAGCGATAAAAGTCTTATCTGAAAGAGTAGGACGGTACCACCACCCTCCCTCCACCTTCTCAATCCCTCTCTTTGCCACCCCCAAGCCCCTGTGACTTTGATGGCGCGTTAGGTTCCCGAAGTCGTTTCTAAAGTCTTCCACAGTCTGTTTCCTGATGTCTTCGTTCTTTCCCGAGGGGAAAATTATCGGTATCAACACGCGAGGACAACGTGACTCTTTCTCGCTATCTCTCAACCGTATTTCTATCTTTTTTGCTCTTTCTTAGGAAACAACTCGATCGATACGAGTGTTCTTATTCAATGTACGTGGATAGGTTTCATATGTATTGCACGAATATGTAAGTATGCCACTTACATATCTATATGTACATATGTGGATGGGATGATTAATTTTGAGTCTACAACATTAGAAACAATTTTTATTATCGCTAAAACTAATTTTTATTTGTCGACATAAGAACAAAACTTGTCAACCAACCTTCGTAGTTAATTATTTATTGACTCGTGTATAATAGTTAGTTATTCATTTATAAATCTAAAGATTCTTCGTTCTTTCTTTTTTTAAAATAGGAAAAATACGGACTTACGTTTATGTGTGTTTATATATAACAATGTTAATATTATGTAATATTTGTAATATTTATGCAAGTATAAATAATATATATATATATATAGAGAGAGAGAGAGAGAAGTATTTAAATACTAAACATTTTTGTGAATCACTTATAGCAAAAGAATTGTTTTCAACTGGCACAATAAGATAAGAAGCTACGAAATGTGCTTCGTGTTTGCGATTATCGTATACTTGATAACGCCTTATCTATACTTATGTATAAATGTTAACGTTATATTTATACATATGTGTGTCTTGCGTATCAATTCTATCACATTCATAAAAATATTACGAAGAGACTAAACGTCTGTTTCCTAAATCAACGATGTATGAATAACAATGGAAAAATTTGCAAAGATAAACGAATCAAGAAAAAAATATAAAAAGAAAATGAAAACATTCTTGCTCAATACGTTATACAAATAAGAAGAAGAAGAATAAATGTCGCTTCGATCGTTATGAGATGACATAAATATTTATCACTTGGGAGCAAAAGTTATGATTTCGCGAACGAAATATTCCCTGGCCTCTGTCACCCGATTAAGTTAAACCGATAAAATATGTACGATCGAACGAACGGATGGACGTTCGCGGGGATATACGGTCTCTATGCATATATCCACTATATCGAGCTAGTACGTGCGATATTCTATCAGCTGCATTGGCAAATAATTTTTCCGCTTATGTTTGCAGCTGTCAAAGATAGTATTGAACGCATATTAGGGTTGGACGGCTTTCTGAAATTACTGGTTAAGTTTTTGCAAATTTTGGGGGCAGCTTCTTCGCGTGTTCCGATTATTTTAACACATTCGCGGCTGGTATATTTTTTCCTTCTTTAATACTGGGTACCTGTAAAAACAATGAATTATTTAAATTTATATTTAAATAATAAAATATAATAATATAATAAAATATAATTATTTAAATATTATATTGAAATAATTAAATATATATTTAATATATAAAACTAGGAATAGAACTTGAAAAGACGTGAATTCACGTCAGCGGTCGCGAATGTGTTAACACGATGATTGGAATGTCCAAATAGCAAGAAACAAATTGATAAGATATTTTATTTATTCGTCAAATTCATACTATATTGTTCTCGTTGATAGCAAGATTTTCATTAATTTGTTTCGTGGCCATTTTCTCGAATTTGACGATAGTCTTTGAATAATAGATGAATATTTCATCAAAAATATACTAATCAGTTTACGTTCCATAGTCTCAAGGTAAAAGTGTTAAACTAGTGCAAAAATTTATCTATGATAATCAATAATCAGTACAATTAGTGCAAGAAATTGATACCAAATGGAATGTGACACGTATACAATGTTTAATTTGTTTTAATGCTCCATTGAATAAACTGTTGTTGCTGCTGCTGCTCGAAGACAAAAAAAATTTCCCCGAGAATTTCAATTTAATAGAATGGAATTTCATAGAAAAAACACGATAACAACTTTTTTAAATCCCATTATCCGGCATATGCTATGGAAATATGAATGATGAAAAATATCTCTGACCGGTTCCCGATATTTTTTCCATTGTGTTTCGGATTAATAAATGTACTCAAAACCAGGATTAGAAACGAACGCTATAATTAGAGATATGTGCAGTTATTTGCGCGACACGTTGAAGGTAATTTTAATTGCTTATCTTCCATTAGCAAACGTACAAAAGAATAACAAAAGAAATGATGTTAAAACAGAATACAATATTTTAAACATAGGAATGCGTACGCTGAATGAATATGTACTGCACGTATGTTAATATACGTGTAAAAATATGTACACGGAATGTTTCTTCGAACAATCCAAGTTCTTTTCCATCTTTCCTATTTATAGTCTTTCCAATTCTTATAATTGTTCGCATTTTGTTGAGAAGAAAGGAACAACAAATCGAAATGACAACAGGTTCGTAAGGACCTCGTTCAGAAGGTGAAACAGAATAAGCAATATGGCGGCGTACGTAAAAGAATATGCGCCTTTAAAGTGCACGAGAAATCACGATGATGATGAAGATGATGACGATGATTTGCCGTCTACGAGGGACGGTGCAGCAGTAGTAGAAGAAGAAGAAGTTGACCTTGAATTGGTATCCTTGGTGTTCGATGGTGGAAGAAGAAGGTAATAAGAAGAAAATGATTCGACGAATAACATCGCAAAGATAGTCAGTCAGTTCTTTGAGAAATTGATCGCTTTCGAATGAAAATATTGCAAGATTACTTTTTGAAGTCCAATTCCTAATGTTCGTTTCTGTTCAATTTTTTATCGATATACGAGATAAGAAGTGGCAGGGGAAAAGAAAAAATGTTTGGTTAAAAATAGACATTTATTACGAGCGATTAGTTGTCGTATGTTTTTCTCTCTATCTTTTTTTTTCTCTCTCTCTCTCCTCTATGCGTAGATATCTTCTGGTAAAAAAAAAATAAAATAATTGACCAACGTCGCAAATAAGTTCTCTATCAACGGCAGACGGGCAGACGGGCAGACAGACAGATAGACGGACCGGTACCTTTGTTTTATTACGCAGAAAGAAGAAGAAAGAGAAGGAAAAAGAGAGAGAGAGAGACAACCATCTAACAAATAAGAAATTACGGCATAGGAAGAATACATAATCGCGTCACGTTTTCATTATCCCATTCTTAACACGTGACTGTAAATACTTGTTTGTACTCATAACTCACGATGCGTTCGGTCTAACGTAAATGTATGCGCTGATCGTACCACGTGCCGAGGAAAAATAAATAACGAAAAATCTACATACTCAAGTACATACGCGTTGGGTAGGAACTAATTTTCGGGCCATCGAATAATTTCAAGTACGATTATTATTGTTTTTTAGCTCGCGATACCTAAACTTCTTATGATTCTGACTATCTTATGATTCTTTCATCATTCTTCGAACATCATTAATTATTGAAATTGATATGTGCACCGACTTTGGAAGATTTTCAATATACAAAAAATTGTACGATGATCGATTTGGCCGAAAAATTAAACGATATGTGTGTGTGTATTTGTAATAAAAAAAGAAAGAGAGAGAAAGAAAAAAAAACGATAAAATATTTCACTGTCTTTGAGAGGATTAGTCATCGCTACTAACCCACATTTATGATAGACCGCTTTTATAACGCTTCCTTGAGTAAAGGCACCCATCTGTTGAGGCACCTGACTCGATTCACCTGCCGCAGGTACGTCGTTACGTACGCGGTCTGCCTGTACCTGGCCGTCTGCTCCGGCTGCTTTCGTCAGGTGCTTCTTCCTTTAATGTCGCCCACTAAAGAACAAAGAAACCTACTTGCTTCGATGTCTTACCTAGAAAACTATAATACTAGAAAATGTTTTTATTTCTCTACTACTTTTCTCTAGAAACGTCATAAGTCAATCAATTCAATTCACTTCCAATCTTTTAGACTAAAGATTATAATATTACTATAGGATATAGTAAATATAAGACAATATTTTTATACAAAATATCTCTTTTTTTTATCATTAATAATTAATCAGAAAAAAATAGGTACAATTAAAGATTGCATATCCTGTAATAAAAAGCATAGAAGAACAAATAAACATAAGAAGAATAACCGCATTATTTTCTACGATCAAATGTCGATGAAACAAGGAGACGGCGACTTGGAACGTTCTTCGAACGTGCTGCTGGATGATCGTCTAAAACCACATACACACAGACAGACAGACACACACACTTTTGTTGTGTGCGCAGGAAAAATGTGGCTACGATGTTGCGCGAAAAAGGAGACCAACCGACCGGCCGACCAAACGAATGAGCGAGTGAGCGAGCGAGCTAGAATGGACAACGTCGTTGTGCGCGGATGAACGAAACGAGAGTGAGAGAAAAAGATAGAGAGAGGGACATAAAAACGTACGAGGGTGGAGGAGGTCCACTCGATCGACGGGAGTATAGGGGAAGAAGGGTAGGGGGTGAGACCGATATAGGTGGGGAGGAACCGGTTGCTGCGCGACCGACGGGCAATGTAGTAGAGCCTAGGAGTGGGTAGTAGAATGGTTCGGCAAGAGGAGTAAAGAGGACGGGAAGGGTGTGGGGGGCAGTCGGCTGAGCGTCGAACCAACGACTACGCGCAAACGAGCGATGTCACTGTGCGTCGTCGTCGTCGTTGAGCGTTGCATCGTTGTGCGAATGGTTGCGGCCGGTGAGGGGCCAGAGGCGGAGACTGGTCGCGCTACGTTGCATGCTTCTGTCCCGTCTCCCCGCTTACTTTAAGAAGAGTTCCTCTCTTTGGAGACACAGGATGACGTCACGTTAGTCACGAGAAAAGGTGGAAGAGTAAGAGAGATTGAAAAAGAAAGAAAGAAAGAAAGAAAGAGAGAGAGAAGAGAGAGAGATGGAGAAAGAAAGGGCATATAGGAGCGGTGAGAAGGAAAGAGCGACGAAGCGTGAAAGGAGGAGGGTTTTGCAGAGCACACCAGACAAACGAAGCCTAACCGAACTCTCTATGCAAGATGTTGTTGCATGTGAAACGATTAAGCTGCCTTTCTTCAACGTTCTACCTCTTCTCTCTTTCTATTCCTTATCTTTTTCTTTAAAACTATATATGCCGTTTCCTTCCTTCCTTCTCTTTCCTTTCTCTCGCGTCTGTTTACAAACACCCGTAAACTCGGTCGAATTTATGACACATAACATAGAGTAGTTGTCCGTTCCGTGTCGCGTGAATAAAAGAAAAAGGAAGAAAAGAGGATTGAAAGAGAACGTTGTTGCTGTCCGTCATCGTTTTCTTTCGAATCGATTCCTGAAAAATGCAACACAGCCCAGGCAGACAGGGACAGACAGCATGACCTGTCTGCTATTACTTTCGTTTTCTCTTGGCGTTTAACGACGCCATCTTGTATCATGGTGACGGGACTCTTTCCGACCATGCCCTCTTTCTTTCTCTTGCTAGGAGAATCTATAAATGTATAATTCGAATACAATAATTATCATTTAAAATCCTACAACGTTATAATTATTAGATTTTTGTTTGAAAAGTATTGGTATATTATGTTTAGGATGAGAAGACAATTTAGAAATAAATACATTAGTAGTAAAAACAAAGGACGAACACTATTAAACATGAAAAAATCAGGTAGTCCCTCCATTTTAGCTCGTACAATATTTAGCGACGGACATTATCTGTACATTATTTTCGTTTTTACTTAATTTACTTATTATAAATAATTCTTTCAAATTAAGTTAAGAAAAAATGTGATAAAGTTATACTGAAGTATTTATTTTTAAATTGTCTTTATCTTAAACACATTGTACCAATAGTTTTTAAGCAAAAAATCTAATAAGTGTAACTTTATACAATTTTAAGTGATAGTCACTGTATGTAAGTTAGGTTTGAACGTCACATACTACATAGAAAGAAAGAATCCTGTATAAACGAGTAAGACGATGGTAGTAGTGAATGTCTTTCTCGCTTGTGTCTCGTCACTTCGTGGTCGTCCTCGATGTGTCGTTGCATTGTCACGCCGTGACACCGCAGAGCGCATAACGTAACGTATGTATAACGTATTTACGTATATATGTATATATAGATATACACTGCGTACATATGTATGTAATACGTCGTACGATATCGTGTGCCATTGTCGGGCGCCATTGTAGCTGCAAGCGCGTCGCGTATGATCGGACAACGCATCGCATTTGTAGCCGTGACTGCTTACGGAGATCGACCGTCCGTATGTGACGTCATCGTATTGTACTTGCTAGTAGGTTGCCTACCGAATTAGGTCGACGTTGTACCCAAGTCTCGTTGTATACCTTGTATACCTTACTACTTACTACGTTTTCCCAAATTTCCAAGAGCTACGACGCGTTACCCTTTCGTTAATCTAGAAAATATATTAAATAAAAAGAAGAGAATAGGTACGTTCTACTTGACTCTTGATAGTCATCGCTTTAACAAATCAACGAATACAACAACAAAAATAGGATAAGAAAGAAAGATTTGTAGATAGGAAAGTAAAAAAATAATCGAACAGAAAGGAAGAAAATATCCTTGGTCGTTGTCGTTTGTCAACGATACGAGGCCAAGGACAAGAGCAAAGGGGGACAGGGTTGATACTCCAAACGGAAATCTCATTAGCAACAGTTATATCTAACGATCCGACTTGCGTTAATGTTGGAAAAGAACGATAGAAATGGATAGATGGATAGATGGGGTATGTATAGAAAGAGAGAAAGAGGGAGCAGGAGAGGAAAAAGAAGAGGGGGAAGGAGAGTCGTTGGGATGGTATTCGCTTGATAGGTACAAGAACCTCGGCGGGAATAACCTAACGCAACCCCCAGGTCAATATCGCGTCGAGATCCTTGAAGCAGCAACGACGTTTTCGACGGTGATAGTAGCTGAGTCGTCGCGGTTCTACCAGAAGGTTAGTAGTGAACGACCGGATTGATTTTCTCCGGCCGGCTTGCACCGTGACGTGACGGAACGGTATTATCTCTCCCTCTACCCGCCACACCCTCTTATTCCCCTTCCACTACTACGCAACACACGGAGTCGCCCGAAGCGCTTTTCCATGAGAACCGAGCGACGCGCGAACGCGCAAGGGTCTCCTCTCTGCTGATGCTGCTCCTTCGCCATCATCTTCTCTCTCTTTCTCTTCTTCACTTTTTCTCTCTATATTCATCCTTCTTCTACTCTCGTCTACTACACACTACGACGTTTGTGGTTTCGTCATCACTTCGAACCACGGTTGAGGGAGAAAACTAAAGAGAGAGAGTAGTAGCTTCTTCAGATCGATACTGTCGACTGAATCGCGGCATTACATATTATATTGTATATATATATATYTATATCCTCTTCTCCCTCGCTCTCTTGATAAATAAATAGGAGTAAATAGAAAAACTCAACAGAGAGAGTTCTATTTTAACGGAAATCGTTGACGAATTATATTGTATAGACAATGATGACTCGACGAACTATGAACGACGCAATCCAGAAGCTTCGTACTATCGAGAGCGTGTAAAGAGAAAGAAGGAGAGAGAGAAAGAGAGAGCTGGATTGGCAACGTCGCGCTCGTACTCTTGTTGCGACGTTGTCACGTTCTCGCGCCGGTGACGTCATGAGACGCACTAAGAATCATGCGAGTACGTAAGGATAGCCGGCAGCCTGCTCGAGTGTGTGTCGAAGACTCGCCTCAGCTACTCGCGTATACGTAAACACTGAAACTCGACTTATGTTTGTAAAAAAAAACGAAAGAAAGAAAGAAAAAAAGAAAGAAAAAACAATCATTACGACGACACTTTTTTTTTAGTAGTGTAAACAGATTAAAATCTCCATTATCTGTGTTATCTTCTTCTTTTTGTTTTTTTTCCCTTTTTTTTATTTAGAAATATTTTACTTTTCTTTTCACTTTAATCTCTCTTATCGTGCTCCTTATCTTTCTATTACGTCAAACACCGATAACTTGATGTTTTTGTTTCTGCATAAGGCTTCTTCTTGTGCAATGGAATTTAAATTTGTATGTTATATTTTTTCTTTGATATATTTTCGGTTAAAATATTATTATAAGGTATAAAATGCGGAATGAAATTGAATTCTTTTTTTGTTCCCTCTTCTTCTTGTTAGATCGATTAAAGAAGACAAACTGTTCAAAGAGTTGTTCATTTTGGTCGTCGTCTGGCGGTTAGTCTCGACAAAGCGGAAGGAAGTCATTCTGTGAAATGCATTTGCATTGATTAAAAAAAAAAGAGCAAAAAAGGTCGACCCTATCAGTTACCCCTATGCGCAATGTAGTGACCCAGTGACACGCAATGAGAACGTGCTATATACATGCACACACACACATATAGCGCCTGCTGCAGGAGTAACTTACTCTACACACGAAACACGATTCGGCAACTAACGATTTTACTGTTCACGTTTAACCTGCAACACTAAAATTCATTGACAGAAAAATGGGTATACATATACATATATGTATATTCCTACATTTCATAATATTAGTTTGTAATGTTTCCTAAAGACGACGGAGGACGATTAGATTCCTAAATGTTACTTTTTTTTGATACGATGCAGACGTTACGTGACAGGTTCATGGACGCGTTTTGAAAGACAAATAGAAAGGAATAGTAAGCTCTGTATTTAAAAGAAAAAAAAAGTAACAACGAGAAGAATTTTCCAACATGTGGGCAAGCTTCCAAGTCATACTCTTTTTCTCCCTTCTACCGATAGAAAAGATAAAATATAATTTAAAAAAAAGTGGAATAATGTTGAAAGTTGATGATTTGGCCGGCTCCTCTGGTGTTAGTTGGATTCCTTTTCTCACATCTAACCAAATCTCTCGCACGTGCTCGAGTTATCCAGAGGTCAAACCAAAATTATCGATCGATTCTACGCGAATATGTGTATGTGAGTTTACATACATATATACGCGTGTTTACGACTCGGAACGATTTCAACGTTGATTCAGCCTTCGGCCTCTCGTTTATCTCGAAGACTCCTATCGAGTATCCGATGATAAGCGCCTCATGCGATTAAGTTCTACGCTTCTTTTGCCATCTTGAAGATAACCGTGAAAATAGACTATGAAAGAAGATGATGTACGCGTAACACTCCTTAAAGACCTCTCTCTTTCTCTTTCTATTTCTCTCTCTTTAACCGTTTGATGTGAGTAGCAAACTGCGCAATCAAACTCTTCAGAATTCATGTCGGAAGTTCTACAGCATTTGATTGTTTTGGACAGCTATAACGTTGCTTAAATTTTCTCGATATAATCCGAGACCAAGCGTTATAATCGCGCTGTTTTTGGGTCTTTTCGTCAAGACTTTTTATTTCACAAGGAACCCTGGGACACTTAAAAGGGTTAATCGTGATCTTCGTTTGAAGCAATTCTATATTATGATACATCGCGTGCAAGTATGCACATAATACGTGTCTACGCACACGTACAAATGTTTTGTTTCGTATGCAAGAAACGAGAGGATAAAAACACCCGTCGACGTCGAACGATCCTTCGTTTATTTACGTCGTCACGAAACGAGTAAGAAAAATTGGTGGTAAAGAGGTGGAGGGAAGTCAAGAGGAGGTGGTAAAAGGTGGAGCAGGAGGAGTAGGAGGGTCAGAGGCGGACAGGAAGAGAGGCGTTCGAGAGGGATATTATCGGCCTCTTTTTCCTCCTCCTTCTCCTTTTGCCCTTTTTTTCTTCTTTTTTTCTTTTCGATCCTAAGCAGCACAGCTGCTAGCAAAGTTCTCTTCCTTACGCGCGATACCGTATCGCTGAACCAGAGAAAAAGATGAGAGTGAGAGAGAGAGAGAGAGAGAGAGAGAGAGAGAGAGAGAGAGAGAAAGAGAGAAAACCAGCACTACTAGCGCCAGCAACAGGAACAACAGCCTTCGACTAAGAAACTTTCATATTGCTAACTCGTTCTACGACTATGATGTCACATTGAGAGTGATGTCATTCTAAACGAACCGATGACGGATGGATTTCATGGAATATTCCTTTCAGAGAGTATTTATATTCGTACTTGAAAAAAAAAACAAACACACACGTGCAATCGATTTATGTATTCACGTTAGCGATAATTATATGTGAAGTTGCATAATTTCGAGAATTCTTAATCCGCCAGGTTTGTAATATGGCGATGATGTTAATGATAATAATAATAATAGTAATAGTAATAATAATAATAATAATAATAATAGAAATAATAATAATAATACTAATCTCACAAATGCATTTTATCGTAACGGAGTCTTAATCTCCATTGATCGCTATCTTAAGCTATTCTTATCTAATTGTAAGAAGAAAAAGCAAACAAACAATCATTCTATAAAACTCGTCGATATAATATTGCAATGACGATATTAATTTACCTTGTATATAACGGAGATATTAATTCGGAAAAACGGATAAAGTTTTGTTAGCATCTATTAATTAATTGATATTATGTTTTATATGTTTGTTATAAATCGAAAGGATAAATGGAGTAGACTTGGGTAAAGGCTCGTAAAAGAAAAAGCAATAACAGATAGATTCCATGAGGTTTCCTCGAGTGCGTAAAAAAGACTTCTCTTTCTTTTTCGTAAAGAAGTCTCGGAAGGTAGAGCGCATGCGCGAGAGTATGTCGCGTCCTCTCTCTCTCTCTCTTTCTCTCTCGCGCGCATCTTTTCGTATCCCGGTCGTGCGGTGCCGGCTACGTGTCAGCCTAGGGCGCTTGATGGCGCGCCTGCGCTGCTTTGCGATTATGACGTCACGGAATGTGACGCCACAGCGCTCGATTGGTGGAGCGCGTCGTACTCTCGCATCGTGTCGCGTCGCGTTGTCGTGTCGTCGTCGTCGTCGTCGTGTCGTGTTGTCGTTGTTGTCGTCGTCGTGTTGTGTCGAGGAGTCGTGGACCGGTCCGACGAGGTGGGTCGCGCCGGTTAAGCGCGAACGTTTCACAAGTTTAACGAGAGGTGGAGAGAGGAACGGCGAAAAGAATCGGTAGCGCGAGTCGAGCTGAATCTCTTGTGTGGTTGTGTCGGGTGAGTGAAAGAGGGAAAGAAGAAGGATTGGCGGTGGTGGTAGGGATATAAGCAGTGTAGCGGTGGTGGAGGAAGACAGAGCGTGCGCAGCGTAGAAAAGCATCGGTGGCGCGTAGGTAGGGGGATGTAGGGGATTGTAGCGGGGATTGTCCGGAGGAAGCGACACCCGTAGCTCCGTTTTACCACCGCATTCTCGAGCGTTCGTCTCTACTCGTCTCGTCGCGTATTAGCAGCGACGACGGAACAGTGTCAGTAACAGAAAAGCGTACCAGGCAACATAGCAATCGACAGACGAATTGCGATTTACGCGCACGTACTCGTCGCGCGCGCGCGCGATATCCCAAGCTGCTCGCTTTTACATTGTTTTTTTTTTCTTTCGTAAGCTTATCGAGTGTCAGTTTATTGCAGTTTGTTCGAGAGCAAAATATTTGCACCTCTTCTTTGCGATAGTCGCCATTTATTTCGACGGTTACTGTTGGTGAAAAACTTTTCTTTCGTTGTTGCGTTCCCTCGGTCGACTAGTAGTCGACTCGCCACAGCTAGCGATCCACGCTCGAAAGGAGAAAAGAACAAAGAGACCAGCCAGGAGAAAAGAAAAGAAAGAGACCGTTCAAAGCGGGAGGGGAGGAGAGAGGATCGAAGTGACGTTTCCGTGGGAGTTCCTTCTCTCATAGAGGTGGAATCCTTTCGCGAGTGCGTAGTGCGCGTGTAAAGAGGCTTTTTAGTTTGCTGCTCCTCCGTTCGAACGGGTCATGCTCTAGAAACGCTTTTCTCTGGCTTACTACCTATCAACGTGCGTTAACGCTAGATTATAGTTAACGAAGACTAAAAAAAATCAAGAGGATTTCTATTTAAAGAGTAAAATATAATAAAATCTGAAGAGGAAGAGTGAAAGGGAAAGCGGAAAGTGTATGTGAGTTGTGATAGTAGAGGAGAGGAGAGGAGAGGAGAGGAGAGGAGAGGAGAGGAGAGGAGAGTGTGTCTGGTTGGTTGGCTGGCTGAGTGGCTGGCTGGCTGAAGTTTATCGATATCTGGAAGATCGACGAATCGTCAAAATGATGGGAAAGAGAACGCAGTGTTACTTGTGTGACTTACCCAGAATGCCCTGGGCAATGATCATGGACTTTTCCGAGCCGGTATGTCGTGGTTGCGTGAATTACGAGGGAGCGGATAGGATAGATCTAGTATTGGAGTCTGCCAAACAATTAAAGAAGGCGCATGGATTTCAAGATGCCAGGCCGTCCGCTTCTAAGGCTTACAGGTCGGCTGGTCACACGGAACACAATGGTGGCCCGAGTTTAGACGTTCTACCAATTCAGAACGCCGGTCAAACTCACTCGAGGCATCACAACATAACAAGTTACTCGCAGTTACATCACAGGAACTCTATTACGGAATTTAATTCGGGCACAACGAGACAACAAATATCGCGACAACACGAGGATAATCATGATCTTGGTAACGGATTGAGAGGTAACAACGTGAGAATTCCGAACGCCCACCTTGCTGCTGTGGCACATCACGTGAGCCTCGGTCACAACAGAGGAATGTCCCAGTTGAAACGTGGTATATCTGCTATCGACGAGGAGGAACATACGGAGAAAAGACTTTCTTTGGAAGATCAGCATCCGGTGAGGCCTCCTCTCACAAGGGGCGACTCCTTGCCTGCCGTCAGCTTGGCCGTTAGCTACGTCCATGATAGAAATAAAGAGAAACACCCCGTCAGGGCGCCGAGTTTCGAAACCGCGACCACGTTCAAGGCCAACGGTGAGTCCCTGTCAATGTCCTCACGCTACCCTCCTGTCTTTTAATTCTCCTCTCGACTTACCCAACTTTCTACGTTACTCTTGTTGCGAACGTTAGAGAGGGTCAACTTTTCCTTCCTTTCTTTAAGTTTCCAAACGCTAATGACACAAAACACGCGTGCGCGCATACACATATACACTTCAAATCTCAACGTACGACTTCAATTTTAGATTCTTACGATAAGTATAATAACATACCCAAGCCATCTGCTACAGGAGTAATGGGAATCATGTATTTATGCACGCAGAATCATGCGCGCTATTGGATTCTCAGAGAAATCCTGCTTTTTCTTTCTCCCATTCGTGCTTTCTATTCTTCCTTTAGTTTCACTTCTCCCTTCCTCTGTTTTATACAAGTTCTCCTGATCGCGTACATATGCGGCAGTCGTCCAAACGCGTATAAAAGAGGCAGCGTACGTTGAGCACGTGATAGGACGACCGTAAGAGATACACCGAGTATATTCTCCTTCTCTTTCTCTTTCTCTTTCTCTTTCTCCGTCTCGTTTCGCGTTGTGTGACGTCCGACAGGATGACGTCACGGTGTATATTTAGAACCAATGAATGAGAACGCTGTAGCTCGATATACGAATCTTTTTGGCCACGAAATCTACGCTTCGATTGCGTGAACGAAATGAAACGAAACGAAACTTTCAACCTCGATATATATACATATATATGTATGTTTATCCATACGCGTATGTTTATATATGTCGAATAACATTTTATACCCTACAACTTTATCAATTGGTAATCGCTGAATCTATGTTAGGATTTCAAGATTATTCTTGCCTCTTCCTTTCATTTTGGTCTACTACGTTTGGTAGTATTCAAATATTCCTTTTAATCTGAATGTTTCTTTTACAAAAATCTTTAAAGTTGTTTTTACCCTTCACGTTGTTCGTACGTACGAAAGCATTAATAATTTTTTTATTATGGAAAATTATTACAATTGTTGTAAATGATGTAAATATTAGGTAAGTAGAAGGATGTTGTAGACGGACTCCCGAAAGAAAAATATTTTGTCTTGGGGATGATCGAAAATACATTGGGCGACAATGTACGCGCAGTTGTAGTTATAATCGTGCGAGGATGCGCCAGAAAACCGGTCCACGTCTCTCTCTTTCTCTCTTTTTCTCGTATACCCTGATATTTTACCAGGCGTCTCTCTCCTGTGTCGGGATAACTGTAATGCGGCCTCCTTTTCTTGCGCTCGTTTCATAGTGCGTCCATCGCACTCGAAACTAACCGACTATAACCGAACAAAGCCGAACGTGTGGTTGTAGTAAGCACGCAGGGAAGTCCCTCTCATTGACGAAAAGTACCGAAAACGGGGCTCCCCTTTCTTTCTCTTGGACCCAAAATTCCAACGACCTTGCTCTCCCTCTTCTTTTTAGCTTCTTTTTAGGATTTCTACTCAATACGATTTCGACAAAAGAAATTCCTTTGGTTTGTAAAATATACTTCTTGGGAAATGAATCGTGGATAAATTTATTTAATTTTATTCTTTTCCTTTTAACTGGAAGGATTTATTTGAATTCTCGACATTCGAAGAAATCAATATTCCCAACTGATCTTTAAAAAAAAAAAAAAAACATTAAGTTAAATATTAAAAATCTCTTTTTCTGCATATTTTTCTTTTTTTTTTTCATTTGAAGTTTTCTTTTCTTTTGTATTCCTTCTTTTCAATCTGATGGAACGTCTTCAAATAACAGGTATTTCATTCAGATGTTAGAAGATTTGATGCATAACATTTCTTTTTTCTCTTTTCTATCCTTTGGTATTTTTAAAGTTTCTATATATATATATTTAAAGGGGAAATATATATATAGAAGAAAAGAGATGTGCCGTTAGATAGCTCCGACCTTTCTCTCTGTTAGTACCTGGCAAAATTTTCTCCACGTGACGATGCTGCTACCCACGCCAGTGTCGGACTTTAAAATTCTCCTGTTCTCTTCAACTTCCTTCTTCTTCTTCTTCTTCTTCTTCTTCTTCTTCTTCTTCTTCTTCTTCTTCTTCTTCTTCTTCTTCTTCTTCTTCTTCTTCTTCTTCTNTTCCTTCTTCTTCTTCTTCTTCTTCTTCTTCTTCTTCTTCTTCTTCTTCTTCTTCTTCTTCTTCTTCTTCTTCTTCTTCTTCTTCTTCTTCTTCTTCTGCTTCTGCTTCTTCTGCTTCTGTTTTTCTACATCTTTTAAATATAACCGATGATACGGCTAAGTAACTAACGGTTAATGCCATTATCAAAGATCGATAAACATTCTTATTTACAATTCGATAGCTTAGTTTCTAGTTGAAATGTTAGAACTTGTATTCACCTATACCACGTATATATATTTACCTGCACGCATACATACCTCGTATATACACATCTGTACGTTCGTAGATGAATACAACGTCGTGTATCGATTAAAATAGATCACCAGCTGGCGAAGATCGTGATCTGGAAATAAACATGGAAACGTGAGAGAGTATCTTTTAAAGATTGAAAAGATTTGTTTTCCCTCTCTTCTAACATATACGTATTATAGTACATTGCACTGTTTTGTAAAGTTGAACCAAACATTTATTCCGTATGTTCTTCAAATGAGAATCCATTTGAAGGAACCATTGTGTGAATATATTGTATTATATCTTGAAATATCGAACTAAAACATGTAAAACTTGCGTGATACAATTAATTCATTAAATTTTGAAAAAATAAATAATTAAACATTTTTCGTATCTATCATAATTTAAAAATAAGGAAAAAAAGAATGAGAGAAGTTGAGAGACACTTAGCGATATTGGCTCTACGTCATCATCGTGGTTAGGACGTTGCAAGCGGTTGCATGCGTGCGTGCGTGACAGAGGAATAGAATTGGGAGGGGAGGGAGAAAGGGCGGAAGATGGCTAGGTAGAGAGAAAGAGGAAAATAGGGAGAGGGGGAAGTCGTATGTATGTGTGTACGTCTGTTCACCACGTCTCACGATGGGAACGTACTTTCGAAACAAGGCCGCTACTACTACCACCGGTAATCTCTTCGTTCGTTGAATGTCGCCTGCGATGACTGCTACGACTATGAAGAGACGAGGAAAAGGATAAGGAAGAGGAGGAGGAGAGGACGACGACGATGGCGACGTTGATCGCGTCGAGCGTGACTAAGCCTTTGACGCCTACGTGCGTGATGTGATATCTCTTTACCTAAGTGTTTATATGTATGCGTATATATATATATATATATATATATATATATATGTGTGTGTGTGTGTGTGTGTGTGTGTGACACTTAACGAGATGCGCACGCGCTTTTTCCTTTTTATTTCGTTTATCTTTCCATCACACATACACAGAGAGAGAGAGAGAGAGAGAGAGAGAGAGAGAGAGAGAGAGAGAGAGAGAGACTTCATTTTCGTCTCATAACCTCGCATTGTTGATCTTTCGCATCTTTTTCAACTTGGCTGAATTCTTCGGTTTCCTACATAAAAAAAATGCTCAAGGGAGAAAGAAAAAAAAGATGCAGAGAGAGAGAGAGAGATAAACTAACACGACCGACTCTCTTTGTCTCTCTTATAATAACGTCTTTGCCATTCTTCCTATCGAAGTCGTCGTGGAAAAGTACTAGTCACAAGTCTTCTTGATGCCTTCGCGAAAGCGTCGTTACTCTTCTTCCAACATGTTTTCTTTATTTTCTTGTTTTCTTCTCTTCCCCCTTCTTATAGATCCTCTTTCTCTTCCCCCTTGTCCAGGAATTATTTTTACGAATCCCACTTATCTTTGAACTAACGTTCGATTTTTTGCGTACAATATTTTCCACGGGGTTTATTTTGAAATGTTAATTTTTAAACAAAAAAAAATGTTGTTTCTTTCTATGAGGTTGTGTTGTTGTTAACGTAATTATTATTATTATCATTGAAGATGTAAGGAATAGATTAGTTATTAATGTATATCTGACCTTACTTAGCACGTACGTTTAATCAATGTGTGTGCGTATTTCGAGTTGATATTTCTCACGTTAAATCGATATTATTCGATCCCGAAGAGTTGTTTTATATTCAAAGTCATAAGAAAGTATACGTTTTACTGGGCTCTCACACAGTAGGAATTATTAATTACTTTTATTAACCGTCATATATTGATTGATCTGCCGAGTAACGATCGACTGGAATGTTTTTATCTCATTTTTACGCAATATGTTCTTATTTGCTTTGTTTTCTTCCATTTATATATTTTTTTTCATAATACGAGATATCATTTTCTATCGGACATAGTAATCAATAAAATCGCATAAGAAGGTAGATGCCAACTATAATTACACTTTGATTTATTATTAAAAACAAATATAAATAGAAATAAATGAAATATTGTTCAATGAAATTGCAGTTGCTTATGTTGGCTCGTCCATTCCGTTAGCGCCCGCCAACGTAGCTGCAAATGGCGGAGGATCACCTCTTCGTCCTAGGACGAGTCCTCCGCCCCCACCTCCACCGACGCAAGAAAGCGCCAACGATAATCCACAGAATAATCATCATCAGGTAAAAAAGTCTAGAAATAAATATGGAATAAAATCAAAGATTTCTTTATATTCCGTCTAAGAGAATATGTTTGATCTTATCAAAGTTGCGATTTAATTTTGTAGGGATCGACAAACGGACCTTCACCGATGGCCGCCTTGATGTCCGTTGCCGACAATCTGACGTCTCCAGAACCCGTACCCCAGCCGCCAAACAATCCAAGTCCCACGAGCAGAAGCCCACCAACTACAGCAACTAACGTTCAACAACGTAGCGCTTCCAGAGGTTCTCAACACAGTCCTAATGGTTCAGGTAAATTTCTAAGCTAGCTCGTCAAAAGGTGTGGATCAGATGCATGTTAAGTGTTATCAATTATTTTTTACAAACATATTTGATAATTCTATACATTTCTATCTTCGGTCTATTCGCACGGGGGGGAGGTACAGTTCGTTCTAAAAAAAAAATTCCCTGTTTTATGATGTCTCAAACGAAAATTATTGTCAAGTTCATTAAAAACATTGTAACACTTAATATGATGTGGATCCTTCTGTATATACGAGGATGAATCAATAAAATAATTATCTGCAATGTTATGATATATTAATAGGATTAGGATTATAATTAGAAATAGGATTTTTTGTTCTTTATTTCTTTATTTTCTATATAGAAAAGAATAATGTGAAGTAAAACTGTCTATGTTAAAACCTCGCGATGAACAAAATATGTACAGTATTAATAATAGGAGGAAAACCGCAAATATTTATGCGTGGAAATTTGACCACAGAGTTACCCAACGTAATGACAGAAATATCACCATTACATTGCGGATAATTATTGAGTCATCTTTATATATCATATATTATAAATATTTGTGAATATCTATTTGAAAGAATAAAATTGGAATGACGAAAAGTCAATTTTCTCTCAGGATCGGGTAGAAGATCTAGCTGTTCCAGGCACGTATCTTCGACGACGGTAACGACGTCGTCCGAAGGTGCGGTGGCTCAATCAGCGGGTGCTGAACCTGTGTCAGCCCCAACCCTTAAATGCACTCTTTGTCAAGAACGTCTTGAAGACACGCACTTCGTTCAGTGTCCGAGCGTTCCTCATCACAAATTTTGTTTCCCCTGCAGTCGAGACAGCATAAAAAGACAAGGGGCTGGTTCGGAGGTAAATATTATATTACTTTTTCTTTTTTTCTTTTTATTTTTATTTTGTTATATTGTAAAAAAAGAAAATATTTTCGTAACAACTATCATTACGTTGAAAAAAAAAAATTTTTTTTGTTAACCAAATATTTATACTTGTCTTGTTACTCGACCATACAAAAAAAAAGAAACCTTATTAGAACAAAATCTGTTCGAAACTATAACAATGTGAAATACATTTCACGATGTATATCTTTGCAAATCGATTTGTTAAACTTTATTTGAATAAACTGGAATATAAAATAACAATACAATATTTGTAGGTTTACTGTCCGAGTGGAGAGAAGTGTCCGTTGGCAAATAGCCAAGTACCGTGGGCGTTTATGCAAGGAGAGATTGCAACGATTCTTGGTGAGGATACTAATGGTTCTGGACTTAAGGTCAAGAAAGAAAGGGAAACTTAAAGAAAGTACCAAGAATTTTGACCGTGGCTCCAATTTTTCGCCCTCCCATTTAATTCAATGGGTGGATGTGTTAATGGTGAAACCGTGAAGGTTTCACCAAATATTTTTGGTAACGGTGTTTAAACGTTGGTTAAATAATGAAAACCAACAAAAACGACTAGAGCCAAAGACGCATTGTCGATGTTGTATCGAAATTGGGTTCCCATGAAAAACAACGATTAAAAATGTTGTTTGTCAAGGAAAGTGGACGGCGATTTGGCGTTTTAACTCTAATATTGTTTGTCTTCATATAAATATATATATATATATATATATATATATATATATATAWATATATATTTTTTTTTTTTTTTTTTAAATACATCGGTTGAAGCCAATAGAATTATTCATCTTCAGATGGATTATTTTGTTCTGATTGATCTTTATGGAATCGCGTCTTGAGAGAGAGAGCTCAAGGTGAAGAAGTTTTTGGCTAATTGTGTAAGCTGATACCGATTCTGTCTTTTTCACACTGAAAATACATACACTTACGATAAACAAAACAATAATACACATACACGTACACACGTAATTGTACATGCAGTAACATGAAACGTTAACAGACGTATTTATATACGAAATATTATGGGGAATAAAACAGGTAATATCGCGCCATTGAATCATTTAGTTATTATGATTTCTCGTATGCTTTTTTTTCTTTCTATCTCTATGTCTTTCTTCATTCGCAAACTATTTGTTAGGAGAAAGGATTTTGTCGATTTTTTCTCTGGCGCGATGGCAAGAAGAGTTAATAAAAGTAAGATGAAGAGGAAGGAAGAAAGGGAGGGAGAGGGTTTTAAGAAACGAGCTAATTTTCTGCTCATCTTCCATTTGTAATTTACATTGGTATTTTGGGAGGGGGGCAACAATAATCGCCTTCCGTTTTAATTGTCGTTTCCTGTTTTAATACCTTTATACATTTGTGCGCGTAATTAAAATACACGCGCGAAAGGTACATACATGTAAACACGCAGAAAACACTGACACACACATCCACACACAGGGATGCTCAAGTATTACGCGACTTTCTATAAAAAAAAAAGTAATTATTAAAAAAAATAAAAAAAAAAATAAAAATATCCTACAAACTTGTATACATGTACGACGAGTATACGTATATGTATTTTTTCGTTTTCATTTTGTAAACATCATCGAGTATAAAAAAAGAAAATGGAACAAGTAATAAATTTTCGTTGGTCCATTTCGTGGGGGGAGGGGGGAGAAAAGAAGAAAAAATGGAATCGTGCGAGCGGTTGATCAAACATTTCTACTTTTGGTCGTAATCAAAGAAAAATAGAAAATGCGAAAATATAGAAATTTTCGAGCCAACGCGTGCGCGCAGGATTTCTTGTACATTATGTATATGTGTATATATATATATAAGATTATATATATACTACGTAATTAGGGAAGATGAAAGAAGATAAAACACACCTTCGACTAAAGGAGTACCATTCGTTCTTATGTGTACAAACAAACTTGCATTCGTTTGCATTAGCTTGCAATCGATTAATTATCCTAAATTATTTTTCTTTTCTTTTTTTTTCTCTTTATTTCTTTATCTTTACTACTATTGTTATTATAATTTTGTCGATAATTTTTTTTTCTTTTTGTTTTTGTAGTATTTAACTCGATTTTCTTTGTTTATTTGTATGCAGGGGAATAATCGAGGAAAAGAAAAAAGTATCCGTGACAAAGTCATTTTATGATTACGAAAGAAAAGAAAGAAAAAGACGAGAGACGAAGAAGAAATAAAGAAGCGTATCTCCGTTACATTTCTCAGAAAACAAATTTATGTGGACAGAAACATAATTAGTGACCTTTTACAATGTCCATTTTTGCCTTTAGTTGTTGTTTATCTCTATCTCGCCTAGACTTTAAGTAAAAAGAAGAGGGGCATTTTTGGTTTTTCATTTTGCCGATGAAAACGAAAAGAATACGCCCGTCAAATAGGAACCATACACTCGCTAATTGTCTCTAAAGAAAAAGAAAATGAAAATAAAAAAAAAAAAAATGGTAATGACGACGAAGGAGGAATGAAAAAAAGAAAAATTAAAATAAAAATAAAAGTTAAATTGAAAGAAAAAGGAGGGGAAAAAAGGGAGATATATGAAAATATAACGCTAAGAATATAACAATTAAAAAAATGGACAAAATGCAGGCTGACTTCTTCGCTTAAATACCGTCGGTGGAATGGAAAAAAGATAGATAAAAAGGGGGGGGGGTTGAAATTAAAAAATAATCATAATTTTTTCATGATTCCCGTTAGTGTGATCTTACGTGCATAAAAAAAAGGAAAAAGGTAAAAAATGAATTAATTAATAAATAAGAAAAGAGACCACCGAATGTAAGAGCAGCTCCTTGTTGTTGTTGTTGTTGTTGTATATAGTTGTACAAATTGTGACGAAATTTAAAAGAAATAAAAAAAAGAAAAAAAAAAGAAGGGACACAACGAACGGAGAAACGACGTCTCGACGAGAGAGAATATATATTTTTTTTAAATTATTATTTTTTTTTATTTACATCTTCACATATATAATTTGATATGCCTTTGTATTATTAAATTAGCGCTGTATATTTTTAAGCGCGCTTTACTCTCTCGTTTATGATTATCGTGACTTCCGCCGAAGTGTCTGAGACGAGAGAAGCGGAGAGGGGAGAGAAATGATAATGAGTGAGAAAAAATGCAAGAGAGAGAAAAAGAGAGAAAAAGAAAAAGATATTATAATTAAGAATGAAAAGAAGGAAAAAGTAGGTGGAATCGATGAGGATAAAGAAAATAAAAAACATTATAAATAGCAATACGCGATATCATCGTACACATACGTGATATATTTCTTTTTCTTTCTTCATTAATCTTATACGAGTCAAAACGGATCGATATCCTGAATGGAAGAGTGAATGAGAGAGAGAGAGAGAGAGAGAGAGAGAGAGAGAGAGAGAGAGAATCAAAGTAAGACAAAATATGCAAAAAATTTTACCACATATTGTCCATAAAATTAATATATTGTATGTGTGATAATAGAGACGATTTAAAAGAAAAACGACAAACGGATAATTCGTAAAAAAGATAATGTAAAAAATGATAACGTAAGAGAATGATTTGTCCTTTGTACGAAAAAAAAAAGAAAAAAAATACGAAAAAAAAAGAAAAATCATGTTTGTCCTTGATACGTAACACCAACCAAACCCTTTTTAAATAGCCAAGATTGCAAGGATGTGTATAAATTTATATATATATATATATATATATACACATATTGTTTTCTTTTTTTTTTTAAATGGGAAGAACAAAATTTTTGTATCTTGGCTAGGATCGTCGCCATTTTTTCGTATCACGTAAATTCGTTTGTGAATATTATTATTACAATAATGATTATTATAATGATAATGATGATGATGATAAGAATTTAAAACCGTTCAACGGTTGACTGTCGTCTTGTATCGTCGATTTTTACAAAGAAAAGAAAATAAACAAAAAATAAAATAAAAAATGAATTTTGAAGACGACGTTATTTTCGCGTCGTTCTTCGAGTTTTCTTTTCACAATAAGATGAGTTAATATTAATCCGAATTTCGATAAGAGGAAGAATTTATTAGAAATAATTTATTCACATTTTTCTAATACTTCGATGCTCGGTACCAGGGGATATATGGACAGTTTATTATGAAATTTTTGTGTATAAGGCTATTTTTGAAGAAAAATTAAAAAGAAAAAAAATGAAGAAAACGCACATAATTTGAATGCTTCATTTGTAGCTCATGAAAATCGTTTGCTCGACTTATTTTTCAAGAATGGACTTACCATTTTCCTAATAAACTGTCCATGCATTTATATATATGTACTCCTACTACTATTACTAAGTTTTTCGGATTTAATACTCGTTCTTATCCTTTCTTTTGTGCTAATTTTTTTTTCTTTTTCAATTAGTTAATTAATTTACGACTTATCTATTCGATGAAATTTTCGATGTTATTTGAAGAACCAAATGAATTTTATTTATTTTTTGTTCTCATTTTTCTTTTTCTTTGGATGTGAAATGAGACGAATACAAACAAACACGTGTCCACGCCATTGTCGCCGAAAATTATTTATATATATACGCGCGTATGTGTGCGAGTATGCGAACGTTTGTGCGATAGAAAAAATGATGAGAAGAAGAGAGCTTACCACGTGAGTTTTTTTCACCAATAATTTTTTTAAAAACTATTACTTTTATCCACGTCCGTTCTTTTGTTTTTATTTTTTATTTGTAATTTTTTGTTCTCAATGATTTTTTCTTTTCCCTTCCTTTTTTGTCTTTTCTTTTTTTCTTTTTCTACGACTTCTGTATAGTTTAACCGCAGATACACGAAAGCGCAAACACGAGAGAGAATAAATGAAAAAAAAAATAAAATAAAAATAAAAAAACAATACGTCGAATAGCAATTGTAGTAGCGAATAATGAAAAATTTTCTAGTACATATACCATACCTCGAAGAAACGCGTAAACACTGTACTCTTTATCGTATGTATGCAGCAAGCAAAGGCAAAAATATATGTGTTGATGTGTAATCATCCTCTCTGTGTCTTATTTTTTTTCTCATTTCTTCCCGATATCATTTTTATTTTATTCGATCATCTCGTTATTTCACATATTTAAAAAAATATACGTGATCAATTAATTTTCGTTTTACTCTATTTTTCAATATCGCTTCAAAAACATTTATCACAATTTCATTTTGCAACATTGTCATGAACAATCGTTGCTAATGACTTTTATTTTATTTTATATTTCAATATTTTATCAAAAATCATATTAATTTATTTCATTTTTCAATACTTTCAGGAACAATTCAAACAAATTATTTTTCAATTAAATTTTACTTTATATCAATGTTATTAGCAATAATTTTACTTTTCAATATTGTTATCAAACGACTGTGATATGAATTGTATGTTGCTTTTTTTACTTTGCATTCCAATATTCATTATAAATAATTTAAACGAAAAATGAACGTTCTAAATAAAACAAAAAAAAAGAACTAAACCCTTACAAAAGAGAACGATGCAATTTGAAATAGCAAGTGAATTTGAATTTTCATTGGCGAACGTCGCGTTTCCCATTAATTCGGTGGTGTCACCCGTATTCAATTAGAATTTCGCGAGAGATTACGTCACAAATTTTCAAATTTCCTAATCAATTTTGCTTACGTAATCGTCGTCATAGTCGTCATTGTCGTTCTCAAGTCGCGGGAAAAATTTTGGACATTGAAAATCAATGCCAATGTTCAGCTGTGGGGTGGAAATTACTGAGAAAGAGAGAGAGATGGAAAGAGAAAAAAACAAAAGAGGGGAGGGGGTTAGGTAGAGAGAGAAGGGGTGGTTACAGGACAAAGAACGCGGTACCGGCATATTGATCTGTCGTTCCCAGACGGCCTGAACCCCGTCGTCTGCCACCGAACGAATCCGAATTTAAAGCGAGCTACGATGGTCACGTTACTTCGCTACGAAAAACATTTCAACAACAACCCAACCCAGACCGTTCGATTCTTATTCCAACGATTTGTAGAATCATTCGCGGATTCGCGGTATAAATTTCAATCAAAATTACTCACAATCAATTGAACTTATCTTTTTTGTTTAATAAAATTCGAACTACGATAAACGTAGAGATAAACTTTTGTAAAAAAGGAAACATTTCAACCACTACATTTATTCATTTTTTTCTTTCTAACCATTAGCGAATGGTTAACAATTCGTTCAAATGAAAAATAAAAAAATATGTAATTTAATTTAATTTATAATTTACGTTTTGGCCGTATTGTTTCAGCAAACAAATTCTATTGAAATATGTTCGATAAAATGTAACATTTTTCGCAAGACATTTCTTTTCCTATTTAATGTTCGTTAATATTTATGAAAATGAAAATTAATACGATTAACGTTGGATATGAATGTTGATTTGAAATAGTCATAATTACGCTTAGTTTTTTTTCTTAAAATATATGAAGAGTATTTGGAAAATGTGCAAAATTGATGTAGCGTGACATTCTTTTCTCATTCATGTTCATTAATATTTATTAAAATGAATAATAATGCAATGAGCATGAAATATACTGATTTGAAATGATCAACGTATTCTATGTGCATGTAGTATTTTATAAAATAAAAATACTAAAGAGAATTTCCCTCTCAAAAATTCCGCCATATTATGGCGCTTCTCGTTTTTTACATTAAAATTTAATCTAAATTCATTACAAATACAAATAATATATTAGACATTTAAATATACTAATTAAAGGCAAGATTATGCTCGTGTTTTTGAATAACAAACTTAAAGGTAATTTTGATAAAACGATTCATTATATGTACCGTGCTTCTTTTTTTTGTTTAATATTCATTGACAAGAAAGTAAAGTTCGGCAATGCAATTTTGTTCGATTGTAAAATTCGCTGAGGACTGCATATGACTCGAGAAAAGGATCTTTCACCTTTAAGGGTCAACATTCGCGATCGTTACCACTTAAGGAGTATCGTCATACGACAGTTCGAACTACTACGTATTTCGTCATCGTTTCTACAATAACTTCGTGTCGTGCATTGTCACGCGACATTTTTATTTTTATATTTTAATTAAAATATTTCCATACGTCTAGCTTTGTCAATAAAATAAATTATTTTTACTTTATTTCTCTTTCTCTCTCTCTCTCTCTCTCTCTCTCTCTTTCAATCATTTTCTTTGTTTATTTACAATAATTGTATGTAAATAAATAACAAATTAATCATTCAATATTATTTCTGACAATTAATCAAAAAGTGAATTTTCATTAGTTGATTCTTATGAGATACATGAAAACCAGCCAATGAAAACTCATGACAATTTTCTGCTACTATTGTATAGATTTTGAAAAATGAATTTTATGTATATTGTACAAACATAGATATATTTGCATATATGTATATTTGTATGGACATTGGCGATGTTCCATCGTCTTTAAAGCATGCCGTGCATGTGCGTACCTTCGACGTACTGTTATTGATTATGGCGCATTAAAGCCGGGAGATCTCTTGGAAGTACGTGGAGATCAATGACGTCTACTTTAATGACATCATTCTCTTATCGAAAAATAATGTAATTCTTAAATTTCAATTTTATATTTTACTATTTACTTTTTCCTTTTTGATTTTAATCGAAAATATAAAAAAAAAAAGAGAAATAATAACAAAATGCAATAATCAAATTCGAAATGAAACAAATTCTTTAAAGTTCATTTTATTTTAGAAAAAAAAAATCGAGAGAAAAATAATTGATAAATTATATGTAAGAGCAGCTATCTCTTGTCGAATAAATTAATTTTTAAAAGCTTTTCTATAGTCTTTTTATATTGATTCGTAAAATATTTTTTTTACGTTCACGTTAACTATGAATATTCATACATATTTGTATATATATGTATATACAAATAATTGATAGAAAATTATTAACGCGACGGCCATTTTATCGCACGAAAAATAAATATCAAATATTTCAGTATTCGTTCATATTAATTTTTAAACTATTTTGTTTTCTTTTTTTTCTTTTTTTTATCGTTTACTCAAACTACATGAATATTCGTAACTAAACAGGTCATTCCCTTTAAGGATCGATATCAGCGTGCATAGAAATCTTACGGTGCAGAGGTAGAAGGTTTCGCGACGTCGCAGAACATACTGGATCGTTCCGTTTCCGTTTCGAAAGACCGCAAGAACATTCAATCTTGTTATTTTGTTATCTTATTATTATCATGTAATATATAATATTAGTCATTTTATATATTTCTATGATAATTTTTAATCATCCATGCGATCGTACATTTATATATATATTTTTCTTTTTTCGTAATAGAATTTACGAAATTTCACGCAGTATTATTTTTATAATTGGATTAAAAAAATTCTTACGGATACTTTGTAATTATTTGTATAATAAAAAATTTCTTTTTTATTAGAATTTGATATATTCGTAATATCTCTTTTTAATATGAATATAAATTTTATATAAATGTTATTATTATTATTTGTTTTACATATGAATGATATATTTTTTTCAGGAGACGAAAATACTTGGGAGTTGGAATAAAAGGAAAACGAGGATTAGATAATGAATGTTATTGCAAAAAACAAGAAATTGCAGACAAATCTCAACATTTCCATCTTAGCGCAACGAGTATTATCGATCATAGTTCTTTACATTCTTCGCAGTCTCGGAAATTCTCGGAAGTGGTTGAAAATACAAATGACAAACTGGTGGATCGAAGATCAACGAATATCAAGTTTGATATCAAATCGGTATATAAAAGCTTATACACATTTTTTTATCTTCGTTATATTATTTATTATTTTAATTATGTATTATTATTTAGCCGGATAAGCAAAGATTCCAAACGAATGATCTCGAGAACCAAATACTCAGCCCTGATACTCAAAATGCAATCGAAAATGCTGAAAAAATACTGAAAGAGATTCAACATAAAATCACAGAAGTTACTTTGATATCTTCGAGAAGTGAAACTAACCGTAGGATTAAAAAGAAGAACTGGTTAGTAGAATTTTACTAAATTAATTAATTTATCATTTATTATTATTATTATTATTATTATTATTATTATTATTATTATTATTATTATTATTATTATTATTATTATTATTATTATTATATATACAAGGACAAGTAGAAAAGTTTGAAGATCATATCGAATTTATCAAATAACAAAAATTGTTTCTATGCTACAGTCAAAATTTTTCAATTTTTATTGAAAAAAAAAAATGTTGTTTTTAAGGTATTTCGATAATTTGCAATTAGAACCACCATTAGAAGATGAGAAAGAAGAAGCTTTATATATACGCGAACTCGTCTCGTCAAAATTACAAGAAATTGATCAAAAAGATTCGGAAAGCAATACGGAAAGAAATGAAATGTTGACTAAAAAAATCCGAGAAAAACGAAATAAAAAAATCTCACGTTTGCTGGATCCAAAATTTCAAACTGTGAGAAGACGTCCCGACGATATTTCTTATCAACATAAAAATCACTGTTATGTACCCAATGAACAAATCGAAACGCATCATCATCTGAAAGATAAGATTTCGAATGAGATGAAAAAAGATGATCCAATTGAAAATGTTAACAGACAGAAGATAAAATCATTGACGATTCAAAAAGGTCCTGCATTAAACATCGAAAGAAAATTGAAAAAACAAAACATTAGGTTCATTAATATTTCACCTGATGCATCTTTCGTTCAAAATCATTCAAATATAAGCATTTACGAATTTCGTCATAAACCTTGTATGAATGATAAATCATTAAAAGATAAATTGATTGATCGTTCAAAAATGGGAGAAACGAATGACGAGATCGATGAAATTTCTGCTCGTTCAATTAACTCAATGAAATATGTTAGAAAAGATACAAAAGAAGATGATAATTTAATCGAGTCGGATAAAAAAGAATATCAATCTATTTGGAAAAACGACGATGAGAAAGACTTAATAGATGAAAGGAAGAATGATCTATCATTTGGAAATGAAATAAATAACGACAAAAGGGAAGGAAATAAAGATCGTGGGACCATTTCGAAACATCTGCCAAAGACAGGTGTTAGCGACCATTTTCTTTCCAATACCGAACTAAACTCTTCTTTTCATTCAGATTCTATTAAAAACTTAACGTCCGAACAAAGACAATTTTCTACTGAAAATGTTCACTCTACCAGTGATACAAATATGAACAAATTGTTAATTGAAAATGATATTAAAGATACAAGTAAATCTCTTGATAATGATAATGAAAATGTTGATAATTATAAAAAAAAAACTACAGGTGATATTCAAGAAGAAATTAGAGAAGATGATATTAAATTATTAAAAAAGAAGAAAACGATAGACTATGAGAAAAGTTTGAAAATGATTAACAAACACGATTTTCTAAGAAATCGAGAAAAAAAGATCGACGAAAGTTTTAATAATATTTGTCAGAAATATAATTTAAGAAATAAATCATCGTATAAATCCAAATACGATAGCACAGTTTCTTTTAATAACAGTTTGGAAGAATTTGACTATAGTAGTTTTAACGAGCTTGAATTAAATGCACCTTCGATTGAAAATTTCGATGATATTTTTGTTCATTATGATCAAATGATTGAATATATTTATAAGGGCGAAAAGAAATTAGAAAAAATGTTGGAAGAATTTCAATTGAAATTGTCTGATAATATTGAAGTCACATCTTGTGACATAGTAGCACTCAAAAGTGACGACTGTAAATTAATGAAATCAAATCCTTCCAAATTTCTATATAAACATAAAAAAGATGAAGAATCAACGTTATCTTTATCGGACGATACGATGATAGTTCTACCCAAAAGAGATAAATTACAAATAAATTCGTGTATTGCAAACGATCATTCGTCTCTGACGAATCAATTTCGTAATTTGAAAAAACGAGATACTTCAATAGTTTTTACATATCCATTAGAACAAAAACAAAATGATCTATTGATTAATACAATTTTGACTCTGAACAAATCTAATTTATCATCCGTCGATTTGAACGTAGAAAATAGTTCCGACGAGAGAAAAGCATTAGAAATATTTTCTAATAACGACAAAGTTATCGCTTGCGTTCCTCTTACGACGAATTATTCGTCCAATCATTCTAATGATCCGGAAGATTTGAGAAAGGACGATGAACCTAATCGAACATTATTCAATAACGACGAAATAATTCTTTCTAGAATTTCGAAATTCTTATTGGAACGTCAAGATCAATTTGTTGATCATTTATCTTCAGAGAGGAAGATTAATTTCGACAGTTCAATGGTGCAAGATTTAATGAAACATTTACAAATGATTTCCAATAAATACAATCAAGATATTCCAACTATTTTACAAACATTTATTACCGATCTCACGAACCAACGAGAACCTGATTTATTTTTGAACTTTTTATCGATACAAAAACACGATTATGAAAACGAACAAATATCTTCATCTAAAACAGTCGTGCGAAATAACGAATGTAAAATACAGATAGATGATATCTCTAATACAAATTGTTTCGATAATACAGAATACATTCCGATACAACATCAAGATAAATCCATTGAAATTCATCCGTTAAATTCTATTATAATCGAAGATACCAAATGTTTAATCAATGAAATAAATCAAAAAGAAGTTCAAGTAGTAGAAAAAAGTACTCAATACGATATTTCACTCGAACAAAATACTCTTGAATGTGAGAATCAAATTATTGAAGATATTCGCACAAATAAAGAAAATAAAGAACAATTATCGGAAAAGAAAACTGAAATAGAAGAATATTCTTTAACACAGAATGAAGAAAATTATTCAAATAGTACGAAAATAGATTCGATTGCAAATGATGATACCTACAAGAGAGATGTGAGTTCTGAAATAAATACAGTGACTCCTGATTTGCATTTACCTGAAAAAATAAATAATAAGTTATCGGACGGTGAAGATAGCAGGTGAGTAAGATATTCCTATTGTTATTTCTAAAATAATTATTTGTTGATAATAAATTTTCTTATATTATTTTATAGTAACACGTCCAACGCAAATACTGAAAATATACCTGATACTAATTTTGCTACGGTAATATATGAAATATATAAATAGTTTTAATACATTCATTATACATTAATAAAAATATGCAATGACTGATTGACATTGTAGACTTCGTCAGAAACATCTCACTCGGAAGGAGAATTGTATTTGCCGAGTTCGTGCTCGTATTCTCTCGGAGAAATTAGAGTTACGAAAAATTCAGCATCTGTATGCAATCGTGCACTTGTTAGTAATAGTACATTAACTTGCGTATACGATACCACAAGTGTAAGTAAATGATAATTTTGATATTTTTAAATACTTTTCTTAATATTATTAAATAAAATATGCTTATATGTATTTTTTACTTTGTCTTTCACAGTTATTACATTACAGTTCGGGTGAAGTAATACAATATACGGACAGCACCGATACTCTCTAAAATACAAATACAAATTGATGGCGATGATCAATTTTTGTATATTTTATTCATAAAAAATATATGTACATACATGTAAATAAACGATTCTTAAAGGATAAATTATTATCATGATAATATAGCAAATGTTATCAGAGATATTTGAAGATTATTATCACCTTGTAGAGACGTCCACCTGATTATAAGTAAAAAAGGAACATACGAATGACCGTGTCAATTTCTAAACTATTTTAAATAACAATTTTTAAATTGAAAAGTAAAAAGAGAATTTTATAAACGATATATATATATATATATATATATTATTATATACATATATAGCACTATATACATTGTTCAAATTAATTATCACGTCAAAAAAAAAAACAAATAAAAAAATATTTGTATATAATAAAAAGAAAAGAGAAGAAAAGTATGACGGTTTCACGAAAAATGCAAAATTGTTGTTTATATACTATTTACATACAAATAGTAAAAAGTTTCTATTGAAGATACTTACAATCACAGTATTCAGTCAGTAATTTTGTTTAGAAAAAAGCTTTTTGTATGTTCGTAAACTATCGGATGATATAAAAAAAAAGGAGAAAGTAGAAAAAAAATATGATTTACTTATGCAAGAATAAAACAAAAAATGATGATTATATTGTCCTTCAAATATCAAAATGATCATTACTATGTTGTAATAAATAGTAATAATAATATAACTTTTGATCGGCATAAAGATCTTTGTACTTGAGATAAAGAAAAAATTAATCGTATATTAAATAAGATAATAATCGACGCTGTTTATATTTTTAATAATTTCATATAAATATAAAAACGCGAATGTTTTTAGAAATACAAGCAAATAAGAGCGGTTTTTTTTTAATTACGTATTTTCTGTTTATTTGGTAGACCATTTCTTTTTCTCGTCGCTTTCAAAACCAGAATCCAAATCATCGCTGTGAGATTTTTTTAACGTAGAACTTTTGCAATTTTGTCTAACGACTTTACGCTCTGTTATTAGTTGTTTAATACTGTCTACTAAATGCTGAAAAAAATTTGGATATCCATCATAGCCAGGAAAAGCGTTGACATCTATAACAGCATATTTCTTAGTATCATTTTCTATCACAATATCAATGCCAACCAAATGAAGCCCAAATATTTTGGTTATCTTTTTAATGATTTCCTCCAATATTTCTATGTTCGGTTTAACAATGGTAGGTATATGTTCCTCCGATAATATAGACCATTTAGATTTAGAATCGGGTTTAGATATATCATGGGAATTAAAAAACAATGTGCTCAATGACGCACAATCATCTGAATAAAAGTTCCTTAAGCTTGGTCGCTCAACAACTTGGAAGTTTTTTCCAACTACAAATACTTTGTATAAAATGGCATTGTGATTGACAAAGTCTTGAGCAACACACGGAGGTTGGCAGTCTTTTAAATCTTTTTTATTGAAAATGACCATCATCTAATAATAAAAATATTCATTAATAAATAATTATAATTTTTATATTTATAGCAATTACCTTATGTGCATCACTTGTTCCATGAGCAAGAAGTGACTTGCAGACGAAAGGAAACTTAATATTATTCTGTTGTAGAATGCGCATATTTTCAAGAACATTTGTACTTTTTAATTCTACAAAATTTGGAATAAACAGATCTGAAAGGAGAAAAAAGTCAAATATGCAAAAATAAAGGATCAAGTGAGATTAAAAACATCTGAATTAAATAAATGTTAAGAACAAAATATAAAGTTATTATTACCATTAATATGTATGCTTTCTTGAATAGTTTTGTAATATTTGTATCGGTTATGCAATTTCTTAACATTCTCTAAAGGATCGATAACAATTAATTCAGGATGTTTGTCGATATATTCTTGCAATTTGGATGTAACAGTTATGGCCTTAAAAAGTAAAAATTTCCATCATTAAGATAGGACATCATTAAAAATTATTTTTTTCAATAATTATTTTAGTCATACATTTTCATCTCCGCCTTCAGCACGTGCCAATAAATCTACAAGTTTGTGTAGAAATACGTGAAGTGGTCCCTGGGATTCTAAATTCGAATTAATATCAACCTAAAAGGAATAATCAAAAATTACAACCATAAAAAAAAGATCAATAAAGTATATTTTTCTTTCCAAAGAATCAATGTGTAAAACCTAATAAAGAAAATAATATAACAATTATAGAATCATAACCTCAAACAGTGTAAAGATTCGTTTCAATATCGTTCATATCGATACAAAATTTTCAAAACTTACTAATTTTAAAGAAAATCCTTCGTTTCTGCATACTTTTTCCAAATCGTCGAAGTTTAATTTCTGTCGTTTTTTTTCCCGCACCCAATAACCGATGACATATTTATTACACATTTTTTTACTCTCCTCTCTCGTATTCTGTAACATAATGTTTTTTTATCTTGTTCTTCAATCAAACAAACATGTTTTCCTCATTATTCCATGATACTACGTAGTTTAATATTAATTTGATATTCTATCTGGCTAGACTGCTAAGACAATTTTTCTAAACGAGCTCATGATGAAACTACATTGAAACAATGCGGTTATCTACGAGATACAAAGGTTGGAAACTAAATTTTGAATCATCAGATTTCGCGCTATTCCTGTCGATAATGTATACAAACAATGTACTTTTATCTACAGATAAATTTACTAATTATATTATACATTTCGAAATTGTACAGTTTGTTATATATATATATATATATATTTATTTATTTTTTTATTCCTATACAAAATAAGTATATAACAAATGTTCAACAACGCAAATCGATTAAATATTTATAAAAATCGTATTAACTTAAATTATTTCTGCATTTTCTTTTCTTTTTCTTATAATATTTGATGACATGATCAATTATAAAAATTATAAAACGATTTAATCTTAAGAATAATGGCTATGTCCATATACATACGATTATCTTAATTTCAAGAGGTTATCTAATAACATAAAAGTTAGCTGGTGATCTCAAAAAGATAATTGAGAATATTTTGATTAAAATTCTTAGCCATTACGGCGATAATTAGGCAATTAAATAAATCGTACATATTAGTTATAATTAAATAAGTTGTAGGTAAAAACATTTACTACTTTTTATTAACATTTTTTACATAATTTTTGTCTTGATAGTTACATTATGATCTGTGCTTCGCATTCATTTGTTTTTTTTTATACAAAGGTAGAGATATAGAAGGTAGACAGTGATACGTACGATCGTGCGTTTATTATCGCACGAGACGTATAATTTTGTTTTTTCTCGGAGAAGTTTTATTTCACGAACGATAACTCTCTCTTTAGTTTTCTCTTCATTATTTAATATACACGTACATATATATTCATACATATATATGTATTTTGACAGTCCTTATATTAACTTTATAATTTCAATTGGAAATATATATTTGACCTAACCGATTTTTGTAGCTCTGTTAAAAAAGAGCCTTTACACGCGCCTTTCATATTTAATGTTTTTTTTTCAATCATTAATTACACATTAAAAGGATGTTGCTTCGTCACTTTCCGCAATATTATATTCATGATTAATTAGAATCTGTTGAATAATGGACAGATTTATATTCATATTTATATTTATATACATACACGTATGTCATGAAAAATCTTGAACTTCTAACGTTTATCAGATCTTCGATAATACTTGGATTAATTTCATTTGCTAGAAGCGCATTAAGTGTATATATTTATTGCTTCAGTGTTGCATACATCCTAACAATGTGCGATACTGCAAAATACATTGATTATTTTCAGTATATATATATATTTTTTCTTTCACAGTCTGGATTTATTCCATCCTATCACTTTTTCAGATTTATGTATAGTCATAGGCTTTAATTGAAATCTATATAAAAGATCAGCATCAATGCCATAGCGATTATTGTTAATTAACGATCTGAGAAAAACTTAAAAATTAACATATATAATAACTTTAATGAAAAGAGATTATCAATTTTTATCAATAATTAAATTATGCCAAAATTTCAATGCTTGGCTAATGTTAAATATAAATAACTTTATGTATATTCCAGTAAATTTTATCGTGCTGCACAATTTTTTTTTAATATTTCTAGACAATGATTGCATAAATACTTATGAAGTCTATTATCATTACTACAACTTGATGAAAAATAAGTATAAAGAAATTGTGCGTAGACATTAATCCCTGTGGCATTATCGCTGTTGTATATCTGACCGAGGAAGGATGCAAATCTTTTGCTCAATAACACTGCAATTATTTAAGTTCCTATTGGCATAAGCACTCTGGCGGTTTTCATCTAAACCATAATTTCAGTCGTAAAGCATCCACTCCATTTAAATAATATCGAAACAATCGTTTATCACGCACAAATCCCAAATTTTCATATAACCGTAGGGCTGGTCGATTAGTTATTTCAGTCTCTAATACTACTTCATCGGCATCGTCCTCTACCATTGCACGTATTGCCCTTCTCACTAAATTAGATCCAATTTTGCGTTTTCGATATTTAACATCAACTGCTAGCATCGCAATATATCCACGTTTAATAACCTTTCTGTGAATGTCCAGTTTGCAGACAATGGCGCCAACACACTCGTCGCCATGCATTGCCTTGATGAACAAAAAGCAAGAGTTTTTCTGTAAATTTCTATACCTGAAAGATAAAGTGAATCCAACCAAAGCTGGCTAAGTTCATTCTATTTGTCTACTGTGTTACTCCGTATTGATGTCGTTTAAAAATACACGATATCTTCTACATGAGTTCAAGTACTAATACATTATTATATCCTATCGCTTAATTTTAAAATATCAGAATAATATATGCTATGGGAAAAAAGTTTAATTTTGTAAGTAGAAGTTATGTTCTTAAATGAAAATACTATCTTAATATATATTTACCAGGAAGCACAATTTCGGCCAGTTATGGATAAAATATCTATACGTGTAAATAGAATATGGTTCACTTAAGTCTTTTTGTATCAATTTCATTATATCAGGCATTTGAAGTTCGCTCGTATAACTAACATATTCAATATCATTATCATTACTTTCCGAGGATAGTGTTTCCATTTCTTCTGTGAAAGAAAGCAAAGATATTTTTATGTGTCTATTATTAAATGATTCTATGTGTTGGCATTCGCAAGGATAGAAATATTTTGATACCCTGCGAAATTAAATCTGATAATCATTTTGTTATTTAAAATTTACATCTGCCAGTTAGATTTGTAGACAGTGCGAATGAAAAAAAGTTACATCGCTACTAATCAAATAACTATAATTATTTTTAACAAATTTCATATGCTAACGTAACAGATTAAATTCTATAATAATGCATTAAATGTTCTCTTATAACTTTATATCCATTTGATTGAACGTACCATGTTGATTTAAATGACTAGTTTCCATTGTTTGAGATTGTGGAGGATGATTGGATGAATCGGTTGTTCTAGAAAAAGAATCGCATATACCATTTTCTTGAGAAATACCATTTGTATGAGGTTCTTCGGAAATTTCAGTTGTTGCAAGAGTTAAGCGATTGTTAATATCTAAGGTCAAAACATCTGTTACACAACTTTCATTTTTATCTTTAATTTTGCTTTTCATAGGATCGGTGTCGTTAGTTTCCGTATCACCTTCTACTTTTACACACTCCATTTCTCAATGAAGAAATTTTTTCAATCTTTAAATACAACTCTAAGGACAAAAGTGTGTGGCAAAGTTCCAGCCACTGTCCCTGGAGAAATAGAATTTTTTTAGTGATCACCTATACAATATATTTATATGACATGAGAATTTTTTCATTGATCACTATGTTTTCAATCGAATTTTCATTATTGTTATTACTTTCGTCGCATTATATTTAAATTCTTATCTTAAATTAGAGAACGGATCCAGAACCGCTCTACAACTGTCACCATATTGGATTTTCTACACTACTGCTTAAGCTACTATTGCATACGGTTAACGTTTCACATTTATTTGCCGCTCCGGAAAAGGCTTTTGCAAATCAACCAATAACACGTTATATGTTTTCATACAATTTTATCAAATCAATTCTTTGAGATTATAATTTTTTCTTTTCTTTTTTATTTATTTATCTTTTTTTAATTTTTCATTTCTTTTTAATTTTACTTTTAATTTGGTTCGTACAAACTTTAATATCTATTATCTTTCTATTCCTTTTCTTTCTTTCTATCTATTATCTATTCAATGATTTGTTCGAGGGTGACATACATTTTCTAATGATTCCAGTTTGAAGAATATATTTGTATATCTATGTTAAAAGTAATACACGACCATAGGTGAAATTTACAATTCGTTTTCAAAACAATTCTTAAAAAAACCTTAACAAAAATTACCTTATTTCGTGGAGGTCATCCTTTTAAAAGCTATGTTTAGGGAATTTCCGAAAATAACTTTATTAGAACAACCAATAGAAATAGAGATTTACAAATATTTTTTAAATCTCCCGCGGCAGTTGTAGCGCACGTTATCAACTGCATTCTACCTTACCAACATGATTAGTAACACATTTTTATTTTTATAATTTATTAAATAATTTACTTATTATTATATAATAAATATAATATAATATTATATAATATATAATATTATATAATATATAATATTATATATATGACATGAGGATTTTTTCATTGATCACTATGTTCTCTATGGCTTTCAATCGAATTTTCATTATTGTTATTACTTTCGTCGCATTATATATATACAGGGTGGGTCACCGCATTTTACCATCTAGATTTACGTTATTATTATTACGCGTAGCAGACTATGTTTCACATGGAGTTAAATGGCTTTGAAAGTGGTTCATACTGATGGTACTTTTTTTTGTAGGTGGACGTGTAAAGGACATATGAAGGTCATTAATGTTTTTTTAAACGGAATCATATATTTTTGATTGCATCATCTGATGCTCTTTCATATTATTTACAAAAAAGTATTAACCTATTCGTGTAAAAAAAATTATTACTTTAGGAGAGATATTTTAATTTTTATCTATTTACAAAAAAGGTTCAATGTGGCGACCATTTGCATCAGAACACTTTCTGAGTCGAGAAATTAATGACTCATTAACGTTTCTTAATGTATCTGATGTTATTTTCTTGCATTTATTGACGATACGATCCCTCATATCAGCCATTTTTCATTTATTTTTAATAGCAGTGTTATTCATAGACATTCCATATATATATTAAAGAAAAGAAAACTAATTATGATAAAATCAAACAAAAATGTTAGAGGGAAATTTTGTAGTACTTCTTCTTTTTTTTTGGACTTCGTCCTGTTATCCCTAATTTCACAGCCTTCTTCAAAGCGTTTTTTGTTCCTGCGACAATGATGTTCAGTTTTTATGCCACCGTTATGGTGGTCTTCTCTCGTTGTTCCTATTTTTCCTGTTTAAGCCATCCTGTCTACATGGTCGCCACGTAGATTTATCCATCTTACCACGTCTTGAACCTCACATTCTTTCCTTATTTCCTGTTTCTTACTGTTTTATTACCTGTACTCTACTGTTCCACACTGTTATTGGACAAAAGTATCGTAAGTAAACGTGAAATAAACCATATAAAATCGAAAGCTTGTTGATTAGTAAACTGCAAGGATTACGGCAACTTTTAATAAAAAGAAAAAAAATATAAGGAAAAGGAAGATTAACATAAATATTTTCATATTTATATAGGAGGAGAAAAAATACTTTATATTATCCAGAAAAAGAATTAGATGTGCAAATAATAAATATAGGTCTCAGAAAAGCAATTATTAAAGTTACAGTATAATGCAGAAGATACATCACTATTTTGTCTAGTAAATTATTTTATTTATTTTACTTTTATTTCTCATTTTACTTGATAAATTAGATCTTTTAATCCTGGCCAACTGCGTGATTATTGTCATACACATAAAACTCGACAAGTTTATTACCAACAAGAGCCAAATTTTTAGATGGTAATGGTAAGATATCATGAAATAATATTATAAATAATGATGTCAAATAAAAACTGTATATTTGATTATTTTTATCGTCAAATTGTTGTTGTACTATAAATCTGTAAAGAAAAGGATGGTAACAAATATATGAAATATCAAAATGATGAAATTTCAAGTAGTGTTTGTTAAGCTATATTAAAACAAACTTATATCATGTTCCGATTATTTATGGGTTCTTTTGAAACAATAATCAATGATCCTGACTGTGGCTCCATAACTTTAAATTACTTCTATAAATTATATCGGTATTTCTAAAAAACAAATTATCATAGTATTTTATTTAATAATCTGTTCTTTTAATGTACAATCTAAGATATAAATATGTACTTATTTGTTTTTTGTGTCTTTTTCCTTTTCAAGATAAATAGAATAAAGCACTTACTCACTATAGGTGAATAGTACTTCTATTTATAAGTAACTTTGATTACAATTGCATGATAATTGATGCGTTAATTTAAGTAAAGAAGAAATTTACTTTTGCTTTTATACTTTTTTATGAATTATACATTGACTTATGATGTAGCGAGTAAAAGTATTTACAAAATTGTTTTCAATTTTCATCCTTTTCGATGATGATTTATAGATAGGCACTACTTAAATCAAAGACAATTGTGTATAAACAATGATATGATTTTTCATAAAATCACAACAGTACGAAATACTTAGAATAATAAAATTTGTAAATGTACGCTTTACATATACACGCTATTACCATTGATTGGTTATACTTTTTTTGTACAAATTTTGTTTAGACAATCGAAAGATTTTTGTCAACAATCTTTCTTATCCAATACACATTTGTGATTGGATAAGTGCAATTTTGTCAATAATGATTAATAGATCAGTGCAAATAATTGAGCTAATTAAACGCATAGTTTCGAATTTGTTAAATAAAAACTTTTTTTTATATATTATATATTATGATTCGTATATAGGCAACGGATGTCCTTCGGAATTAAATACCCATTTGTTTAAATCTATTAATTGTCTGGTGTCATCAAATAACAAATATAAATATTTTAAAGTTTCTGCGAACCAAAAACTTTCCGTCATATCTTGTGGTCGTATATTATTAATACTTCGGACATTTCCAATACTTGTGTATCCGTTTTCCACTTTAGTATAATTTTCAAACGCCTATACATAAAGAAATTAATATAATAAATAATAATCAAATAATTGTCAACAAGATCATCTTTCAATAAACACGTTAAATCTTACTTGAAATATTTGCCAGCCCCAATCTTGATAAGTTTTATTTCCTGTGAAATACCACATATAAAAAAGACTTTCTATAAGTTCAGGTCGTAAAAGATTGTGTGCATCATTCGTTTTCACATACATGTCCATTTGATTATCTCCTTCTACTTTCTGCAAATGATAAATAATATAATAAGATAATTAAATATTCACGTTCATATTTATTGAAATTTTCTAATAAATTAATTTACCTGAATATTAAAATAAGTTATTTCAGGAGCAAGGAAAGTTGGTTGTATCGCATATGTTTGATAACAAGTTTTGACAATGTCATTTGCAAAAGCCATATGATCTTGTGGCAACCCATGATGGACTCCTAAGGCTAATGTACCTCCTAAGTAACATGTTAGATGGTCCTATATACGAAATATTTATAAGTATTTTTTCAATTCTTGATGTCGCTAGAAAGTTAATACGTTTCCAGAATTAAATTACCATCTTTGGTCTTGTATCTTTATGCATACCAACCAATTCCGCTATAAAAAGATACTTATTAATAGCTGTATATTTGACTAGATGTTTCTTAGTTCCAGAAATGCCCGATAAATAGTCATCTCGTAAACTGAAAATAAATAGAAACGATGGTCTGTCAGATACGTTATTATCATCTTTCGCACATCATGAAAGATCAAGAATAACATGCTTAAAAAAAATACAGACTAGTCTATGGTCTTCCCAGTTTGTATCCATTGTTTCAATAAATATTCGTAATAGCTGTCACCTCTAGCTCCTAAGGTAATTGTCGCGTATTCTCTAAATTGTCCATTGTTCGCATTGATAAAAATTGGAACTAAACCATCATGCTTCTTTAACTGATGTATGTGTTCTGAGACTCTTGCAGCAGCTGCCTACGCAATTATTTATTTATTAGTATATTTTGAAAAATAATATTCACTTATAATTATTTTCTTATTACCTCAAATTTAGGTTGGCCTGAACTACGACTTAGATCACGAAATTCTAATTGAATAGAAGTTACTTCGCTGGTACTGCTATCAGGGCCCCATTTAGGACTGTGTGCTGCTCTAGTTCCTAAATTGACATCAGAATATGGGACACCAGATCTGGTAGAAAAAGCTGGCATCATACGATCTCCTACATCGATCTTAAATCATAAAGACTACTTAACGAAAGAACACGTTGAAAGATTACAAATAATAAGTATCAAATTTACCGCTTTATTTAAAAATATTTTTTCTCCACTAAGATGATATGCAGCTAACAATCCTCCTAATACTCTTATCGTTACTTCAAACAGATTAACGTCGCGATTCATAGTAAAAACTAAATTATTTTCGACCCACGATTTGGCTTCTGCAAATTCTACAAAAGTTAAAGATATTAATTTGATGATATTAAAAAAAAATAAAAATGAATATTTATATGATACACATACCATCATCTTAAGGAAATAGGATATGAAGACCGCGAATGGAAGGATCGCGCTCAGGGACGTGTACAATGGCGGGATTTGGTATTTGCAGCAATGAAATTTCGAGTTCCAAATGTCAACAAATAATAATAATAATAATAATAATAATAATTACACATACCATCGTTCAAACCCATCATATATAAAGTGTCTAAGGAATCCACAATAGTAAGTCCTAAACCAAACCATTCATGATATTTTTTGGATATTGGTTTAATATTGTCGTGACCCCAAGCATATTGTTTATATCCCTTCCATGAATGTTTAAATGCTGCAACGACTGCTCTTTGTTTACTATTTTGTGGTCCTGTAGAAAGTAATAAATTAATAATAAATAATTATTACACACACACACACAAGATTATTATTATTATTTAACATGTTAGGTGCTAAATCTCTTTTGTTAATTTTTCTGTTTGGACCATGAAGATACGTTAGCCATAGAAAAGTATAAGAATGCCAGATGAAAAGTCTAAAGTCAGTCCATAAAGATTAAAGTAGTGTTTAACGCATTAAACATTTATAATATACCTTCAAATTTAAGCGCAATTGGTTTTGGCTGTGGTGGTTCACCAATTTGGTCATCGTCAACTTGATTGATCTCTGGTTGAAATTCTGGCTCTTCGATTACATCGCCACCATGATCACCACCATGACCACCACCAACTGCAGGTTGATTAACATTATCTACAACAATATCCTCTGGCACCTAAAGAAATTAGCATTAGTTTGAAACCAGTTCTTTACAAGGATAAAATAAAACTTTGTTTTATTTACCTTTTCATATTTAACTGTTTCTTGAACAACATCGACGCTATTATAGTCGCTGTTACTCTGTAGAATAGCATTTTTGGTTTCACCGGGCAAAAGATAAAATATCACTAATATAACAGTTATAATAGCAAAGTAAAAAATATTTCTTTGAAACCTTGATAATTGTTTCCATTGCTAAAATGAAAGTATTCATTGAACAATTAAGATTTTAATAGTCATCTGTTGATAATGACAATAATTTGATAATTACAAACTAATCTTCGTATATATTGTACGACATAATGAAGATAATTGTTCAGAAAACTAATTACCCTCCAAAGGCTACGGGAAGTTCCCCGTGTGAAAGCCGCACTATCGTAGATATTTAAACTAATGTAATCTGTCGTACTTAAATCCCGGTAAGAAAACATGTTTTTGCTGAGGTTAAGTCGTTCTGGCATACGTAATTAGTTACGAGCGAGCCAGAAGACATTAAAACAATGTGATTACGTTTAAAACCGTTGGACAAAATGGTCCACATTTATAAAATCTTTAAATATTATCTTTAACACATTTTTTGTCTACAACACCACTGCTAAATCCGGCATTACGACTTCAACATATCAATGAGTTACGGCTTTTAGTTACAAAAAGTTAATATAGATAGCGTTCTTAAAACAGCTGATTCAATTCCTCATTGATTGAATTCGTAACTTGTAATTTTAATTTTGTTTTTATAATTCCTTTATTATATTCTTGTTCTTTCTTTTATTAGTAATTTAACTATTGTGGTAATGGCTCTTTCAAATATATCCGGAATACCAGACAAACATTGGCAACCTCCATTTGTAGCTTTTGAAACAACGTATGATATACAAATATACATAAATAAACCATTTCTTGTGTTATTTTATTTTTTTTAATGATATAATTTTCTTTTTTATTTCAGTATGGGTGAAATCCTTATTGAATTGTATTGGAAACATGCACCTATAACGTGTAGAAATTTTGCAGAATTGACACGTCGTGGGTATTACAATGGTACCAAATTTCATAGAATAATTCGTGATTTTATGATACAAGGTTAGAGATATATTTTCTATAATAATATTCTTTTCATTGATTATTTTATGAGATGTTAAAGATTTATTTGTTTCCACAGGTGGTGATCCAACTGGTACAGGAAAAGGTGGTGTGTCTATATACGGAGATTGTTTTGATGATGAAATTCATGACGATTTAAAACACACCGGTGCTGGTATATTATCTATGGCAAACTCTGGACCAGACACTAATGGATCTCAATTTTTTATTACATTAGCACCTACACAATGGTTAGATGGAAAGCATAGTATATTTGGTAAGATTGAAACTTTCTACGAATGTGTTTATATTTTGATTTTATGAATGATTGTAATCTGTGATTGTAAATGAAATCTTGTGTCTTAAAAACAGGGAGAATTCATTCTGGTATGGCAATAGTTAGAAGAATCGGTCTTGTTGAGACAGATAAGAATGATAGACCTATAGACGATGTAAAAATTGTTAAAGGATCTGTGAGAAACGCGTGATTATAATATTTCTATTAAATGTAATTTATTTTTTGATTACCTAATAAAATTAAATTACAAGACATTTATTTATTAAAGTAAAAAATTTAACATTTTATTACCCTTGTATAATGTATTAAAATATAAAAAAAACAATAAATAGCGAATGCGTTTTTTAAGCAATACGCAAAATATATTTTTACAAATCTATTTTAGTATATATATAAATTAATATTTAATTAAGCAGTGAAATTGATATTTGTTAATAAATATATCGCAGATAGTAGAAGCAAGAGATTAAAGTAAATATAGATCAACTGGAGAAACCAGGATTAGTATGTTCTATAACGCATCGGCGACAATAACGTTTAACTGCACGGTATCCAACCCAAGTTACTCTAGGACATTCTCCGATATTTAACTGTCTTAAACCACGCACGTAATAAGCTAATGCTTCCAGTCCAGCATCAGTGATACGTTCGCAACCACAAAGAGAGAGCTTTTTCAAATTAGGACAGCCGGTGGAAAGAGCTTCGAGCGTTGCATCACCAATATCGCATTTTCCAATGTCGAGAGCTCTAAGTCGTGGACATCCACGTGCTAAAGCAGAAGTGGCGCTATCGCTCAATGCTTCGCAACCACGTGCATTCAAATAACGTAATTTATAACAATGTCTGGCTACTACAAGTAGACCGGCATCGGATACACGGTCACATTTTCCAACAGAAAAATATCTCAATGATGGACCAAGACGTGCAGCCACCTCACGTACACCGAAATCTGTTATTTTAGCGCAATCGGATACAGATAATTGTCGTAAATTTCCACAATAAGATGCAATAGCGACAAAACTAGCATCGGTAATACGTACACACCGTCGGAGATAAAGACACGCCAGTTGTGGCATACGAGAGAGCGTTAATACCAATCCAGAATCTTCAATATTGTGGCAATCGCTTAAATCAAGCGACTGTAATTGCAACGATGTTATCCGGCTACATGCTTTAGTTACACTCACGCATCCAGTTAAATCTAATTCTTTTAAATGCACGCAATTATCTAAAATGGCAGTCACGTTAGCATCCGTGACGCGTCGCGAATGACGTAAAATTAGAGAAGTTAAACTTAAAAATGGCAGTTGTCGAAAGACTCCAGGAAGACCTGTGGCACCTTCTAATATCAACCGGCGAATACAAGAGTGACATCCTCGTTGCGCTAAAGCATTTAACGCTATAGTCGCATTTTGAGGATATTGTATTTCAACTTCCTTCCATAATGACGGATGCCACGCTATTTCCCAAAGACGTCTACAAGTTTGCGCCAAAGCGCAACGATCTCTAGTACTTAGCCAGGAAAATATTTTTAATAACAACTCATCATCAAGTTGATAAAGACCTGTAACATATGCTCTTTTCGTTTGCGATAGTGGTTGTTGTCTAGTAGGTACGGATGTAATAGCAGATGAAGAAGGTACACGGCAACCACTGTTGTCAAGGGTATGGTATCCAAGATCAATCGCATCCGAGGGTGGCCTGTATAGAGACGCTTTCTGTGCTGTATATCCGATTCCTCGTTCAGAACTATTCTTCTCCCCAAAAGATGGAAAGAGGAGTGGACAGGATCCATCCATTCCATGCTCTGATCCAAAATAAAGGCAAATTAGATTTCACTGTAAATATTTTCTAATATTATAAAAATTTAAGTAGAGAATAATATTTACAAAACTTAATTATCAAACACATTTTCTTATCATTAAAATGAGATTTAAAACAAGAAAAAAGTTTAAGATTTTTAATCCGAAAAACAATTTCTGCTTTGTTCTCAAATTTCGCGCGCATATTGATGTACGAATACAAACTGTCAATCAATAAAAATAAACATTTTACGTTACTTTCAATAATAGACATATATATAAACAATTTACTTACAATCACGTTGACAAGCAAAGTGATCAATGATATTCACTAAAATTACTGAGGATTATCGATCTATCCGTCAGTTCCTCCATTTTGATCTTGCGGTCCAGTTGTTGAAACAGTTGGATACATCTCGATCGGATCTTTTCAAATAATTCAAATTTAAACTATTTTCTATATGCTTACGTATCAATCTACGCTTTGTTATTTAATTAGAATAATGTAAAACATTCCTACCTCTAAATATGGGAATAAATTGGATCGAAATTAATGGAAAAGATTTTCCACACGTTTATAGTTTCCGATTATACTTTATGCCGTATTCTTACATCACGATCGATGGGTTGTCAAGATCACTCGAATCATAGATCGAAAGTATGAAGTGAACTTAAATACATTTTCGTAACATCTGATTGGATAATAAATATCAACGTTGATTGGTCAATTCTAAGTTAACTAAAAATAATAAACTTTTGCAAATTACAAAGGAATAGATTCACTTTATTGACCTATTGTACGCATTTAATTATATTATTTTATTTCCTACTTAAAACTTGATTGTTATGATTATTTGTGAAACAAAGATTAAGATAAAAGATAAGTCATCTCTATTACCTTGACTTATACGTAGATAATATCGCAAGATATTGCAAGTATCGTTTCGTAAGTTGCGCATGCGTGGCGCCGATTCTTGAAGGTTATAAATAGAGCACAGTGAGAGTGGACGAGTGAAGTTGTCAGAATCGAGTTAGTCGCACGATGGCGCAGCTTCTTGCTGGATCTTATACACCGGTACTTTTTCTATTATCCATTATTGCGGTTATTCGATTAACGAGAGGTAATACATTGTTAGATACAGTGAATCCTTCGAATAAACCTAACGTGACAGCAATAAACGTGTTAAATGTACGAGATGTATTTAATCAGGAAACACCTTCCTTTATTTCGGAATATTTGATAGAGTTATTCGGGACCGGTCTCGAAAGTAATTTGTCATTACGTTGGTCAAATGATGATAGTGACTGTGAACGGAATGTTAATGTACTCAAGAACGTTTGGATTTCGATGTCGGGCGATCGTGCCATATACACGTTTACGGAACTTCCGGACACCAAAGCAAATATGATCTATTTTTGTTTGAAATACACCGAACGATGGACCAATCTTGGAAGTCATTTTGCGATTAATTTACCTTCGCAATTGCAGTAAGTATTAATACATATATTACATATATATATACATTAACATACACATCACATACACATGCATGTATATATGCGCATGGTATGTGTACATAGAGGTATGCGAAGAACTTTCCTTACGTGGAACAAAGAAAAAGAAAATGAAAAAGAAAGAAAAAAACAGGACAAATCGTTGTTCACTTACGTGTGCAATGTCAGAAAATGCCGGTTACGTGATGGAATAAAATTCTCATTTTTTTTCCTTGTGCAAGACCCACCATTTTTTTTCTCTTTCTCTCTCTCTTTCTCATAAACTGTCCCCATTTATTTGTTTACTATCTTAACAGATTATCGCGCAAAATTTAATTTTATCGTGATAATATAATAGTATCTTTGATCATATATCTTACGTCATATATTTTCTTTGTCCCCATGTGATTCACGTACCATCTGTGATGTATGCTGTGTGTGTGGGTGTGAGTGGATGGGTGGCATAAACATGAAGATTTTTGAGGTAAATTTAGAGTAGCTGAAAAATATATAAAAATATATACGCTTTTATAAGAAGAAAACATTTTTTCTAGTTTCTATGTTAAACTCAAAACTTTTCAAATCAGTCACACGTATGTGTAGAGAGATTAATAAATATTTTCATATAATTTTATTATTTCAAATGTAAATATTGATTATTAAATAATATCTACGAATAAATAATTTAGAAATCTTTACAAATTAGTAAAATCGTCTTGTTATCATTGTATACATTAGCAACAAATTTTTCAAGTGTACCGTAGATTAATCTTCATCAAAACATTTGTTTTCCTAAACATTAAAATATTAATTTATAGAAGACAACTGCACACATTTAACTTTGCATAGGTATATTTTGATTTGAATTTTTGTTTTATTGTTAAAGATAAATCAATCTTTTGAAATAAGAGAGAGAGAGTGTTTATCGATAAATATTATAACAATGAAAGTTATTTTATGTATAAATAAAAACTAAGATTGGATAATAAATGCAAAGGTATATGACATAAATAAATTAAATTAATTTATATATATATATATATATATATATATACTAATATAGTAGAAATTTGTATAATAAAAATGTCGTTATTTCTGTAATATTTCAATTATATTGAATAATGTAATCAAACAATTGTATTGATTATGTTTGTATATATGGAGTATATTATTTATTTTTATTCTTTATTAAAAATTGTAATTAGTATTTTTACCATATAGTTAGGAAACATGCTTCTTATTCGGACACACTACAGATTGAGATGTATAAAAATAGATTTGTATATTGGCCTACATTTAAGTGTTCCGATACTTTTACATTGGGCAAATATTTTAAGAAATAGAAACATTTACGAGACTGCTACTTCATTCAAAACTTCTTCAATGAACTCATCATTTATCTCTAAAACGAAATATATTTATTATTGAATTTTATTAACTATATATAAATATAACAATAAAATTCTTTGTAATATATAATATAGCATTACTCGGCCTTATTATATTTTCTGTATCGAGCTATGGTTTCCTTTTACATACTTCTTGATTGCTTGCTATCAGACTGATGACTAATTATCTGTATCACTGTATCCAATTACTTTCTGTAGTATATTCTCTGCGAATTTGCTAGTGATTATCATTTGAAAATATTTGATCAGTTACATTACATTGATAAATACTTTATGAATGTTATACAAATATATTTTAATTGTAATTAAAATGTTAAATTGAAGTTTATTTGTGAAAAAGTTTGAGTCTCAATAAAAAACTTATTTTATTTTAAATAAATTTGTATTTCACAACCAATGTTTAATTAATTTGTCTCCGTAAAGAAAAATACTGATCTCTTCCTAACTAGGTCATTGTTGTACTTCTGTATCTTACAATGCTGTTTATTAAGAATTGAAGACTTTATTTTATCTTTTGTGTAAATATGGCACATTTGTCCCTCTACTTTAATTCATCTATCGATGTTCAACTTAATACAATTATTTTAATTCGAAAATAAACAGGAAAGCAAAAATGATTAAGAAATATATGTTTGGGTTTGTAATTGTTAGACGATCATTTGTAAACTTCTATAGCAATCAAATATTTTTTTCTCAGAAAATCTTTTCGTACACGCCGTGCCGACTCGCATATATCTAACATTGGTGAAAATGATTATGTACCATCAACACAAGATCATTCTAAGATTTTCATCGAAGGGCTGAGAATAGAGATAGCCGACAAGGACCCTAGCTACACCGAAGAAGGTATTCCAGAGATTTTGGCTGGTGGAAAAGCAGTAATACGATTATTTGGAACTGGAATTAAAGAAGGTACTTTAATCACATTTACGGATATGCCACAAGAGAGGGATTCTATTTGTGACAAAATAAAGAGCAATGAGTTTCAAGTAAGAGAAAATATTATTATTTACATATCAGCATTTTTAATTTCAAAGCCTATTTTATAGAATTAATTGTATAATTTGAATGCATGAAAACAAAAGAAATATATAAAAAGCTCTACGCATGTATTCGTATAAATGTAAAATTTTTGAGCGGACAGTAAAAATAATCAATTGTTTATTTCATTTCTCATAGGTGAAAAATGTACAGAAAAATACAGCAACCATTGATGTAGTTCTACCACTTGGATCTCCATTTTTTATTTGCACTAAACCACCTGTATATGAAGATGCTCCAAATGATTATGTGCCTTTTCGACATCAAGGCATAGCATCATGGATTACAGTGAGTGTCCTAGTTTTATTTTGTTTAAGTCTGCAACTATTTTGATATTACTAAGATATATGTAATATTAACTATTTACAGTCAATATATTTCAGATTCGTACATATGAGAAAATGTTACCTCTTTGGCTTACTATTATGATCATTCTCCTGTGTCTCAGCTTTTCTGCTTTATTCTCTGGCCTTAACTTGGGTTTGATGGCAATGGATAGAACTGAACTAAAAATACTTTGCAACACTGGTACAGAAAAAGTATGTTGCATAGATATAAATTTATTTATTTTACAGAATTTTTAATTTTTTATTGTTAAAAAATAATGTTATCTTATATATATATATATATATATATATATTATTTCTTTTTAGGAAAAACAATATGCAAGGACAATACAACCAGTGAGAAATCATGGAAACTACTTGCTCTGTTCAATTTTATTTTCAAATGTCCTCGTTAATTCATTGTTTACTATTCTGTTAGATGATTTAACGTCTGGACTAGTAGCAGTAATTTGTTCGACGCTTGCTATTGTTATCTTTGGTGAAATTTCGCCCCAAGTATGTAGTTCTTAATATTTAACACTTAGCCGACCACTCGGGAAGATCTCCCATATTGACCTTAGCAACGCGTTTTTTTTTCCGTTTATTTATCTATATAGTTTCTTCGGAGTTGTTTGCTTGATCTCGAATTGTTATATATATATATATATTTTTTTTTTTCTTTATAAAACACAGTATATAATAAAATCCATCAATTTAATGGTTTAATAGTTATAAATTTAAAAAATAAAGTGTAGGGTATAAAAAAATACTGTTAAAAATGTGGAGAAATAAACGTGAAAATAAGTCATCTTTAATGTTCATAATTTTCAAACTCTATTATCCATACTTTTTGAACAACTACAAAAAATAATTGTTATATACTTTTAATTTCATGTTTTGTATAAACAATATGTGAAATCGTTAAATACAATTATTACTCCAAGATATAATTGACACTTAAATAATTTTTAAACTACTTTGATTTCAAATACCGCATATCAGTACTAGTCACTTGCGAAAAATGCGTGATGGACAGCGTAGTTTTGGTTGCTCGAGCGTGGTGGAAACCGTACAGTTCGCTGCGGCGCGCGTGGTCGGCTAAGTGTTAATATAGCTATTATAATATCATATTTACAAAGGAAATATTGAATGTTCTTCTTTACAGGCTATTTGTAGCAGGCATGGCCTATGCGTTGGCGCTAAAACAATTTATATTACAAAATTGACTATGTTAATAACATTTCCATTAAGTTATCCGATTAGTAAAATTTTGGATGTTTTTCTGGGCGAAGAAATTGGCAATGTTTATAACCGGGAAAGATTGAAAGAACTTGTTAAGGTGAGTATTTATTTATTTATTTCTTTATGATATCTTTGATCAGTAACAAAGTTTCAATATAAATAACAGGTTACAACGGGATATAACGATCTAGAAAAAGATGAAGTTAACATCATAGCTGGAGCATTAGAATTACGGAAAAAGACTGTCGCAGATGTCATGACAAGAATCGAAGATGTCTACATGCTAAATTATAATGCAGTTTTAGATTTTGAAACTGTATCTGAAATAATGAAATCAGGTATATAATATTATTTTTATAATTTTCTATTTTAAATCTAATCATTTAATATCTTATCGCATTTATAATAGTGTACAACGATTCAAATGATATGCATTGTATCTTACAAATACGATACTATTTTTTATCACTATTTTTTATCGTATTATTTTAACATATTCCACAAATTAAAATGGAATATAAAATTGATAAGATATAATATTTTATCGAGATATGGATTTATTGAGAATCAATTTAATATTCATTATGTAACTTATCTGTCAAACATTTTTATGAATTAAGCAAGTGATCTTAGTATGTAATTAAGTAATTTATTAATTTTATTCTTATTTGCAGGTTATTCACGAATACCAGTATATGAGGGAACTAGAACTAATATTGTTACGATGTTGTATATTAAAGATCTTGCATTCGTTGATCCCGATGATAACATGCCACTTAAAACGCTCTGTCAGTTCTATCAAAATCCATGCAACTTCGTTTTTGAAGATGTTACATTAGATATAATGTTTAAACAATTTAAAGAAGGTATACATACTTTATAAAAATAATTCTATTTAAATAATTTTGTTTATGAAATTTAATAATAAAAATTTTTTATTCATTTTCATAGGACATAAAGGTCACATGGCATTTGTTCAAACAGTTAATAATAAGGGTGAAGGAGATCCTTTCTATGAAGTGATAGGTTTGGTTACATTAGAAGATGTTATAGAGGAATTAATTCAAGCAGAAATTATAGATGAGACAGATGTATTTAGTAAGTTAAATATAATTAAAACAATTACATTTATATATTACATTTATTAATATAACATTTATACATATTTTGTTTACAGCTGACAATAGAAGTAAACGTAAAAGACAAGCTCGGCCAAAAATGCAGGACTTTACCGTGTTCGCAGAGAAGAAAGAAAATCAGCGTATTCATATATCACCTCAATTAACTCTGGCTATGTTCCAATATTTATCCACAAGTAGGAAGAAGTGTTACCTTGAGATTAGCATAGACATTATTATAAAGCATTTAGCATATATCTGAGCATAACATATGATTCACAGCTGTAGATGCTTTTAAGCCTGATACAATATCTGAAGTTATTCTACGTCGTTTACTTAAACAAGATATCATTTATCACATCAAAGTAAAGACCCGTGAAAAAGCACGAAATGATCCTACTACGATTATTTATCAGCAAGGAAAAGCGGTTGACTATTTTGTATTGATATTAGAAGGTCGAGTAGAAGTTACAGTCGGCAAGGAAAATTTGATGTTCGAAAGTGGCCCGTTTACGTACTTCGGATCTCAAGCGCTTACTACGAATATAGGAATAGGTAAAACGTAAATGTATATTCGTTCACTTAATTATGTATGTCTACGTTAATGTTATTTACATTATATTTATTATTTTCTAGCTGAATCTCCCACTACTGGAAATCCTCAAAATCTTGGAAGTATTCAATCGATTAATTTAGATTCTATGTTACGTTACACCTTTGTACCAGATTATACTGTTCGAGCGGTAACAGAAGTATTTTATGTCAAAGTTAGAAGATCTTTATATCTTGCTGCTAAGCGTGCTACTCTTTTAGAAAGAAGCCAAAAAGATCCTTTACCTACTCATGAGCAATTTGATGATGAAGTAGAGAAAGTATGTAGGATATAGATGTTTCCAAGATAATTCATATTCATCAATTAGTATCATTATTAGGGAGAGTATACAAGGTAATATTTTCATTTTAGTTGTTACATTCCTTGGATGAGGATGATCGTAGCGTACCAGAATCACCAGTTTTACCAAAGGACAAAGAAAACGAAACGAGCAAGGAAAAAGATGTTAAAAATCAATCACCAATTCGTAGTTCAACGGCTCCGACATCTCCTCTTCCGGTTAGCGCAAGTCCAGTCACAAATTCTAAATTCGTTTCATCACACAGTGATCATAATGGAAAATTAAAAAATTCACCTATGAAAGTATGTTCAAATTTTAGTTAGCATCATTTTTTATTTTTAGTTTTCTCGTTTTTCGTTCTCTTGTATAGGAAACTTTGACGTATTAATTTATTTTTTTTTTCAGGCACAAAATGCAGTCGCAACAGCAGGAGTAGGTAAACTGAGTTTAGATTCTGACGTGCATATAAGTCAGTCAGAAGCAATCCGACTTTTGTCCGGGAAGAAATCATTGGACGACGAGGAAAGAACAACTTTACTAGTTAAACAAGATCGTTCTTAACGCTTACAGAATGGCCGACTATATGCGATAATGTCGGCAGTTGGAATAGTACTAAATATACCAAGTAACGAAGGGCAGAACATACGCCTATGACATATAAAAATGTTTTGGCATTAGGTACTTAACAAATTATTTAAATATCTAATGTAAACGATACTAATCTAATTGTGAGATTCTTATATGCATTTTATATAATCACGATTGGTTTAGAAGCTGTACCCAATTCTTCGAAAACAACAGCAACAGAAAAGAAATGAAAAGAAATAAGAAATATCTATTTTGCTCAGGGGAAGTTGCCAAAAACGTTCATATATACACATATATATGTGTATAATATATATATATATATATATATATATATATACTTATTCATTGAACATTATTTATCGAATAGCTCGTGTCATGAACTATCATACGTGCATCACATATAATAACCAGTTTAATAGCATTTATCGCATAGTGGACAAATATTTCGAATTAGTCTCACACGTTTCATCGTGTATTCTTTTTCATCAAGCAATTAAGTACTTATAAAAAAGTGTTTAGTAAAGGCTGAATATGTATATAAATAGAAGTGACAACTCATTGACCCATTCAGCAAATAAGTGCTCGTAGGTTACTTTATATTTTAATTAGAAAGAATAGTAAAGAAAGTTCTCTAAATATAAATAGCGCGATTGAATTCTGTGTTACGAATACCTCATTTATATACTTTATATTAGCATTTAGATACAATATTGAATACTTTTGAGCGAAGAACATAGTCGTTTATATTTTTTGTATTTTCTTTTTTTTTTCTTTTTTTCATAGAATCTAATTAAGTTTATCTACGAGCTCTAGGGGTTCAATTTAAGATTGTTTTTATTTTATAAAAGATTTTTTAATCTATTTATTTATATTATTTATCTAGTAAACACAAAGATATATATAATATATACACACATATACATGATATATATATATATATCATCTATAGGTTTTATGAAAAAAATAATTCAATACTAAAAGAAAAGCTCCTTTTAAAATTTTCTAATAAAAGAAGTTTTTCTGCAAGCACTTCCCTTTACTTAATGCAAACATAGTAAGAGAAAATGTATTTTTTTTTAACAAGTACATGTAAATTTTTTTTGTCCCCTTTTGCAAGTGTTGACAATGATTATCAATATAAAAAGCAATATAATCGTGGGTACAGTTTTTTTTGCTGATCTAGTGAAAAAAAAACAGTGAATTAATGTTAATTGAAATAATATTATTATTATTATTATTATTATTATTATTATTGAAAATTTATTTGTGGATAAGTTTAAATAACATTGTTATCAAAGAAAAAGAAAACAAAAACCGTTGTACGATCAAAAAGGTGAATATTAAAGGGGGGAGAAGAAAGAACAGTACAAAGTAATAAATTGGTAGGTATATATGATTGATGAAATTATTGAGTACATTTCTTGGTACAACGGTCTTTTAAAATTATCTTTTTTCTTTTTAATAAAATTATATATCCTTATTAAATATTTTGTACGTTGAGTGATAGATGCCCTAAGAAGAAATAATTAACGATAAAAAGGATATATTTGATAAATAATTAATGTAATCGTATTTTTATTCCGTGCCTTAAAAATATCTGGTGTTAAATATAAAACCCGTTGTTTAAACAGCTTTACTAGACCATACGTTGCCCTAAAGGAATATTTTTAGTAATCATTCGATAAATAATATATCTTTTGCTTTATTTTATATTTCACTTTTTTTTCTTTTTTTTTTTTTAATCCTCAAACATTTACTTGTACTTTCGCACAATATATATATATATATATATATATATCAAATGTAATTAAACATTTAGAAAAAAATTATAAACATTGTGTTGTATTTTACGTGTATACAAACAAAAAAAAAAGAAAAAACGTATTTAAAATATTTACGAAATATTACGATTAAAAAATAAATATGGTAGCGAGTTCTTTGCAAGATTTCATTGATCAATGAAGTTATTGTACGCTTGAGATATTTTGACGTATTACAAATTAATTGAGGAAATGGAATAGTATGAATATAATCCTATTTAAATAAATCTTTATATACACATACACACACAACGTACAATTATAATAGAAATAATATTTAACTAAAAAAAATATATTTCTTCACTTCTATAATGTATATTTCAATATAGAGAGAAAATATCTAGGACTCGGATTAAATTAACTCCGAATTAAATAACGAGGGCAATTTTTGAACATATCTCTCAATTATTAAAATAAAAACAAAAATTCTATATTTGATTTTTCAAATTTATTTTGTTTTTGCTATTTGTTTTAAATTTTTTGAAATAATATTATCATGTAGTAACTGCCATATCTTTAATATATTATAGTTCTTATTGTTACAAATGTTTAATGATTTTCTTTTCTTCGTTTCAAATGAAATAAAAATAATTGATATCGCGGGTTGTGGGTATATATATATATATTATCTATTTTTGATTATAATTGTCACACTGAATATAAACTAAAGTACTTATTTATTATAGTCCTATGTAGGCGAAGAGAAGAAAGGAGGATTTAAATAATTATTCATGTTGTCAATTTATGAAATATTGAACGAATGTTTGCAACATAATTTAAATCATATTATTTTATTATTTATACTTATTATTATTTGTTTTTTTTTCTTCGTTTTTAATAAATATAGTTGTACTTATTATGCGAAATAGGGAGAGAAATATTTTTTAAATTTACTTATATTTTATTCAAATTCTGAAATATATTTTCAGAATATATATATATATATATATGTCAAAGATCACAATCAAATTCTTAATTTATTATCAATATGATAAATTAATATCAACTTGTGAATGGTTTTATACATAGATTTTTAAATGTATCTTATAGATATATTAATGTAATAAAAATAGTTTTATTCATTTAAAATGAAATATTATAAAAACAACGACGGTAACAATTACTTTATTACGATCTTTAAACTGAAATATCATTTTGGCTTGTCACACAATAGTTATTTTTAAATTAATTCTGTTTTTAAAATTACAAAATATTTTCTGTAATCGTGTACGCTATGTTTAATATTGTAAAAATACAAAAGTCGAGAAATGTGTGCATATTGACAAAAAATAATATCACGTGTATAACTCTTTGAAGCACGATAAAAATACATATATAGTATTACATTACTGTTTAAGTCCTTCAGTTGCATCTTTAGAAAAATTGTTTCAATAAACGTCAAGCGGGTAGACAAGGTATTAATTTCACATTTCACTTTAATAAAGTGACATTTTTCAACAAGAAATCTAAAAAACACGATTGCGCTGCTTAGGATTCAAATGATTAAAATTCTTGCATATAATAATAATGATGATAAAAATGTATTCTTCTTGTTGGAATTTATAAATAGGATAACTCGGTATGTCTGAGAAGGTGGGAGGGGGATGGAATATGCATAAGGTGCTATTTTAGCAGTAAATATATATTATATTACCGTTAATATATGAATAGGACTGTACATATAAATTTTCTTAGAGCTTCAAAGAGTTTCAGTGCACACCCAACATGACTAGAAATATAATTATAAACCCACAATTGTCAAATGTTTTAGCAATCGCATTATTTTTTCCAATTGTGCGCTTACTAAAACATACTTTAAATAAATCATATATAGTCATATAAAAAGTGTGTTTACGATGAGATGTTAAACCTATTAAGATTTTATATATTTTTACGAGATTATATCATGATCTTTTACTCAGTTTTCTGTACTATCTATTGTATGTTCATTGTATATATATTGTTTATATATATGTATATGTAATATATATATATGTGTGTCCGTTATTTTTAAAATACATTTTATGTAGCACTTTATTACAATGTAATGAGCTTTAGTTAAGCGTAATCATGTCGCAAAAGTATTACATACTATTTACATAAAAATAAGAAGCCGGATTTGACTCTCTCTTTTTCTCTCTCTCTCTCTTTCTCTCTCTCTCTCTCTCTTTCTCTCTCTCTCTCTCTCTCTCTCTTTCTCTCTTTTATATATGTACGTATGTACGTATGTATGTATGTATGTATGTATGTATGTATGTATAAAAGCTACAATGACAAACAATGCGATCTGTATAAATCAGTATAGGCAAAAATAGATTTGTGATCTTCCATAGTTGATACGATAATCATTAAAATAATATAGTATTCGAAATGTAATGACAGATAGTACTTATTATGCATGTTTTTTTTGAAAAATATCGTATTGTTGCAATTCAGTAGAAATATAACTCTTAAAGTTTAAATTTAAAGCGAAAGAAAAAAAAATAAGCAAAAGAATGAAACAATTTATTATTCGGTCTGTAATATAAAAATAAAAAATAACAATTTCTATTCTACCATCTAATTGATTATTATTCAACAATGTATATGAGTAAAGAGTGATCATTGAAAGTTCGCGCGAACTGTTTAGATTTGTTGTATTCAAATTTACGTGGTATTTTTTAAGTAAAATTTCTTTTTATTTAAATAACGATAATCGATTATATAGATTATTGTTATTATTATTATTGTTTAAAAGGAGTCCAATGACATTTGATATTGCTAACTTCAAGGTACAACGGTGACTTGCGCGGGATATTTTATAGAGAGAGAGAGAGAGAGAGAGAGAGAGAGAGCTTTTATTCAAAGTATAAGCTCTACCTACGAACGATGGTTGCTCGAAGTTGACCAGTCAGTAAAAAGCGTTCGTTCGAGACACTTCTAACGTTCATTCAATCTTTCGGTTATCGTGTTATTTATATTTTCATATTATCGATATTAATGATTTCATTAAAATCAAATAAATAAAATGTAAAGTTCAGTAATCATCCGTTCAACAAAGTACGATCGGCATTTGAATTTTTAAATGTTGGCGCGAAATTTCAAATGTTCGTAATATCTGAAAGTGTCGCATTATCAAATTTGAAAAAAATATTAATATTTAGATAATAGTGATGATGCGGTGTCAAAAAAATATATTTTATTTGAAAGATAAATGTTTTTTTTATAAATGATAACTATCTTAACATAAATTTGTTAAATTAGGTACATTACCGAGTCTTAAAGATCATAAGGTACAATTTATTATACCCATTCATATAAATTTAAATGATAAATGTAGAACTTCTAAAAGAATAATGATTATAGTTGAAAGACAAGATTTCTCAAGTTCAACGCGATATCTATTTTCGTTTATTAAAGGAGGAACGAAGACGAAACGTGTACGTACATACATAAATCGTGAAAGCAACATCAGAATATGTTGAATTGCAATAAAGTCATTTATTAACTCGCAGATCAAAATACGCCACAAATGAACAATCATTGGTATTTTTATAAAACTTAATTACGTTAACAAATCTTCTTATCAAACTAAGAATACTATTTTTTATATCTTAGTATTGAAAAATCAATGTTACATTTATTTAACGTCCTCAGAAAAAATGTTCTTATACAAAACGTAGTAAGGAAATTATAATAAAATATTTTTTTTCTTAAAACTGCATAGTATATTTATTTCAAAACAGGAAAGGTCGGTCAATGATTTTAATAATTTTATTATAAAATTATTAAATTTATAAAATTAACGATAGTTCAAAGCTCGTTTGTAATGTCTTTCTAAAAATCTAATTTATTTAACAAAAAGTGTTAAATTTTGTTATATTAACATAATTCATCTTAAGGAGTAGAGAAATAGTTGAAATAAAACTATAAATAAAAAGGAAAACTAGAAAGAGAGACCCTTTCTAATATCCAAAAGTAGATATCTCTTGCCCTCGTATGAGGGTCAATTTTTCAAAGCCCGCTTTGGTAGAAAAAAAGAAAATGGCGGGTGGAACATGTGACTCGTTTATTAAGTGATTAATTACTTCGCGTGCTGCACAAATATATGAAGGAGCAGCCTAGATATGTCTATGTGTGTGTAACAAACACATGTACACACATCTTAAACTTTTATCAATTACATAAGTCGATACTTTTTCAGTCTATTCACATTAAAAGATAAGGGAGGACTTATGATCAATGTACGTTCATTGAATGATCCATAAAGACTTGTGGTAAAAATAAATTGAAAAAGTAAATTATAACAAGAAGAAAAATTATTCTCTTTTAAAAGAATTATTTCTTTCTCTCTCTCTCTTTAGTTTCCTAAAATTACGTAGAATTAATTAACTACAATTATGTACCTAGCTGATATTAAATGTTTAGATAAGATCTGTATAAACATTATGCTAATAAACTAAAGTATATATTTGCAGTATTAATGTGAAAACATATATACAGAGATAGAGAAAATCGTAATCACTTATCACACAATAATGATATAAGCAAATATCATAGGCGTCGATAAATTATTGTTAATTTGTATTAAGTATAATTGTTCCTACTTTTCTTTAATGGACGTTTAATTATTACTCGATAGAGTCATTTTATTTTCCTCGACATTTAACCCTTTCACTACTACGGGTGACTATAGTCACCCGCCACAAAACGACACCCGCACACGACGGGTGACTATAGTCACCCGTCACACGATGCCACCTATACGCGACGGGTGACTATAGTCATAGACTATAGTCACATAATTATGAACAAAAATCATTTTGGTTCTAAAAGTAATGTCACAAAGTCGTTTTTGAGACAAWAGGCTCCGAATGCTAAAGACTGCGCGCGCTTAATGTTCCCACTTTCGGTACGGCGCTCCGTTCTAGACGAGGTACTTCGCGGCGAGGCCCACCGTAGCGAAAGGGTTAACGAAACATTCAATTGTTTTTTCCACTCAAATACATTAAGACTTACGTGTCTAGTCGTTTTTATTAATAATATTGAGTTATTTTTACTGGTCAAAGTTTCATTTTTAGATTTCTTTTACATTTTACAATCAAAGCGCCAAAATTGGGAAAAATTGCTATATTTCATACCATTTACAGGAAAAAAGTTAAAATTTGTTGACTAATGTAATTATTATTTCAATTAAATTTCCTTACACTTGAGATTATTAAATAACAACTTATATATATACATATATATATACTTTGAAATTCAACAAAGGAAATGTCTTTATTAAATTTAATTAAAAGCGGAGGCGTTTTATTAATTCTAAGCCTTAGAGTCAACCACCTTGTATTTCCATTCTCCGTACTTCAATAAAATAGCGATCATATTTGTATAGAGATTAGGGACTAAACAATATGAAAATCTTTTCTCGCGTAACCCCAATTTCGCCGGAGCTTATTTCTTTTCTTTTACTTGTTTTTTTATTTGCTTATTTTAATTTGAAAGGCTTAAAACTTAATAAGGCTTATTAATTATAATATTTCTTAGGTATATGCATGAAAGTATGAGGAACGTAAGATTAGTATATTTATCAAAGACTATGCGAATAATAGGTGAAGAAGATCTTAAATTTGATGATGTGTGTGGTTAAAGAAAACCAAAAATCAACGATGAGCGAAACATGCGAATTTTCAAACCAGTAATAAATCTTTGGAGCAACGTTTACCGATTTAAATGTCTAGTTAGTCGTTTGCGGTAAGATAAACAGGGATAGGTATAAATGTGTAGGCGCGTGGGTGTGCGTAAAATACAAAGATAAACATGAAGAAGAAAACGACAATTTGTCGAAGAAGAATGACGCTTCGATTCCGTGGAAAATTGTTTCTATCGGATATTAAGAAAAGCTTTTATGAGATCGCGCCCCCGGTCCCCTTTGCAGATTTATTACTGAACGGTCATCTTTTTCTTATTATTGCCAAACTTTTGTCCTTGCTCAAAAAGAGGGAAAATAGGCTTTTATATCGGAATACGAATTTCTTGTTATGTTAAATTATTAAAAGAACGTATAACTTGATATATATATTTCCCCATAGATTCGTTCGTGCAAATAATTTGTTTATACAATGATAGTGTTAACAGCTAATAATATAGTATAGCTTTTTATATTTTACTATGGCAACGATATTGTTGTTAAATGTTTTTCTTTTTATTATTGTGTAAAAAGTTTAAATCGATTACAAAAGTTGATGGAACAGTTATTCCAAAACTTCGATCATCAACTTTTATTTTACCATATGTAAATCGATAATTAGACGATATTAATTGTGTATTGAGTATATATTTGATGCATTTGAATAATTTCTGTAAACAAATACAAAGAAATTAATATATACAATACAAATGCAGAAATAACTCATTTGTTTAAAGTTATTTTGGGAAAAAAGCGACTTTTATATTATTCTGTATAAAGTAAAAATTGTGTTTACGTATATTTTTTCAATTTAATATAACAAGAAATTCGTCTTTCTTATACAAATATCTATTTGCATATTTATTATATAAAGTGAAAATTGAAATTTAAATTTTGTTTGCCGAGATACTATGCCGATAGATAAAATAAATGTTAGCAAAATATAAGCTCGCATAAGTACTGTTTGAAGAAAAAGGGAGGAAAAAAGAGAGAGAGAAAGAGAGTACGTCGTAAAGTCTGAGAAAAGTAAAGACAAACATAGATCTTTTCGCGTGTTAGTATCTAATAATAACTTAATTAGCTTAGTTAGAACGAAAGCGTAGTAAATTGGAAGGATGTGTGGTATACCTTCTTCAGATAAACCGTGACCCTGATGACATCTTGTTTCTCTTTCTCTCCCTCTTTCTTTCTCTCTCACTCTATCGTAGATATTTAATTCGAAGGTCGTTCTTTCATCTCATGGATTTAAGAGTAATTACTTTTAAAAATAGCTCGAAGGCCAATAAAAAATATGTAAAAAATAAAAGAAGAAGAAAAAAAAAACCCTTTCATCGAGAACCCTTCTTCTTCTTCTTCTATTCTTGCTCGAAAGCTTGAATATTTGATAAGCTTCGAAGAACAAACGCGAATCGATTAACTTGATAGATTGTTAATTAATGACAAGTAAATATATATGTATCTTGATAAATATCATTTCTCCCAATATATTCTTCGATTTACTCTTACTATTTTCTTACTCCAGAATAGATGGAAAAATTCGTCTGGGTGCTATGAGGGTGTATCGTTCTATAAAAAAGATGGCAGATGTAGTAAAAGTCAAGATTTGACGAGTGAGAAGGAAAAAAAAAAGAAAAAAAAACAATGACAAACATAAATTCATCCTACCGATGGGGGAAAAACGAATACGGCAGCAGATATCATTTTTCTTATTATAGTCAGTTCGGAGAAAGGGATGAAGCAGCTGCTGTAGAGGTACGATACAGGATTGAACTATAGCATTGAACAATGTATATATTAGCAAAAATGTTTGCTAACATTTATTCGACCTACGTAAATAAAAAAACTGCATGTAAGCTTCGAGGACCGATTGCTCTTTATATTCTCTTTATTTATTCTCCTTATTAAGAGTTTATAAGATGCATCCATAGTGTGTATGTGTTTATGTGTGCATGGGTATGAACGATACAGGAACGTTCCTAATTGTATGGCTTTTATATTAGATTCGCTCAGATATAAGGTAACCGGTCAAAGATAGTTTTTCTCTTTTATCGAACAAGCTTATTGTTAAATCGAATACTCTACGGTGTAAATCAAACGTTCTCGAAATATACCATATGTGAAAGTGGAGAAGAATGATAACGCTAAGAAAGATAATGTCGAAAAGAGAATAAAGAAATAACAGTCCAGTACATTGCAAAACATAAGCAACTTCATATTATGATTTAAGACCCTAAATCTTAGATAATATTGTTTACATGCAAAAAGAATGAAAGAAAAGATAAGAAAAATTATAATTTTTTCTTTCCTTTTTTCAGGTGACAATTCTGCTCATTACGTTCATCTCAGCAATCATCGTCAATGCCGGGATGGCCGTTTGTGTGCTCAGGTATAAGGAGATTAGAACGCCCACGAACTTGTGCTTGGTGAACTTGGCTGCAGCGGATCTATTGTTTGCTCTTGGTATCCCAGTGGTTGCTTACACCAGATTAACGCAATCTTGGAAACTTGGTGACGTGGTTTGCGCGTTATTACCATATTCCGAGGTAATTCACCTTCGTTTTTTTGTCTCTATCTCTTATTATCATTTTTCACAAATCTCTCTCTCCATAGTGACGCTATAAGAAGCGGCAGAGTCAATGCTCTTATAAAACGTACAACTTTGTTTTACTTGTTTTTTTTTTTAGAATCATTAAAAATAATAGCTCGGTATAAACGTTTTATTTTTTGTTTAAAAAACTACTCTCTCTTTTTTAATAATTTAATTATCTATAAATGTAAAAATATCGGTTTTATTAAACAAACAAGTTTTTATATAAATATATACAAATGTTTTATCTTTTTAACGATCTGAATACAAAATATTTAATGTGTTACAGTAATATTTAATGATAATAATAACATACAATATCACATTTAAATAAGTTGAAATTATACTATACGTGGAAGTATATTTTTAGTTGGCAGACAAGGGGTATATTGTTACGACACGATACACCTCTTACCCTTACGGATCAAGGTCGCACCTGTTCGAGAAGGGTGACTATAAATACTCTTTCACGGCCGCTAATGTTTGTATAGCGAAAGCAATGTTTCCTGTTTAGAAAGCTAACTTCATTAAGCGATATTTAACAACACTAAACTAATACTGATAATATTGACTATTTAATTAAACCTAATGAATAATTTAGCTTTATTTTTTCGTATTTCAGTACGTATGTGGCTTTGTACTTTTATGGACACTTACGGTTATATCGATAGATAGACACAAGTGTTTGGCAGTTGCACCGTATAGAAGTATTCTGACTAATCGAAGAGTGCTTTTCATTTGTTTAACAACGTGGATCGTCGCTTTTTTGGTCTTTCTTCCTGTTGCAATTTGGTTTAAACCACGGGTAGATATTGCGTCTGATCGGATTACATGTAATCGCGTTATAGTTCCATTATTCTATTCATATGAAAAATTATTGTATTTACATTTAACTGTTACAGGCAGTCTCGGGTGGTGTTACAATATGTACTCTTGTATTTCCACAGAAATCAGTGGTGAAGATATCACTTATTTTTACCATAGTAACACTCACGTTTACTTGTCTCTTACCAATGAGCTTGTTGGTCTATTACTATCAACAAATATTGAAAAAAATCCTTAATACCCGAGATAGATGGGCTGTACCCTGTGTTGCCCAGGTTGGCATGAATTTTAACAGTGTCAATTTTTAGTCACTTTGATTAATTATTTAATGAATTTAATATCTTTAAGGATTTAACTGCCGATAAAGGAAACAGAAGAGACTCGGAATTATCGGTGGTAGGATCATTAATACCTTGGGTTGGAAGAAAATCATCAACAACGTCGGTTGTAGAACGTACCGGTAGGACTGGCAGTCTGTCGCAACACGAAGAAATACGTCTTCACAAGCATATACGTGTTATGCGAATTTTACTATTAAACGTAGTCGCCGTTTTAGTTATGTGGTTGCCGATAACGATCATCGCTTTGTTGCTTTTCATTGATGCACAGAGGCCACCAGAACAAGCTGACTTTTTTATGAGATCTCATCATTTCATATGGGCACTTATTACTGCTCAGTTGAATACTGTGGTCAATCCTATTCTTTATGGTGTTTTCTCAGAGAACTTTAGAGTATGTGTTAACAAAATTCTACGACGTTCTAATAAAAATGACGAACAAGAAGATCGTAGTGCTAATGGTTCAAAGAAAAGTGTCAAATCATTGGATACCGTTCAAAATCGATTCGGTGGTCCAAAAATACACAATAGTTTTAGAAATTCATTGAAACAACCAAAAAGTTCCAGTTGCAGCATGGGAAGTATTATAGAAATGCCATGTTCAGAAAAAATTTAAGCAATTTTTTTGTATTGAAAATTAATTAAAATATTTAATAAGTTTATTTGTGTTCTTATGAATAAGTGATAACTGTGTTGTTAATTATATAAATAATTTTATAAACTTTTTACAAAAAATGTTGTAACAATGATATAACATATTTTATGTTATGACAATATTACTTATATTTGCGAATTAAATTCAGATATTTCTTTTCGTATCTTCTCTTTGATTTCTGATAACTTCTTCATAGTTAAGTTTTTTGACATTATCAAATTTCTTATAAGATTTATTTTAGAATTTATAAAATTTGTCTTATCTTTCTTCATCTGCTTTTCTTTTAGATTCTTTTTCTTTTCCGGATCTTTTAAAAAATCCTTTATGAGAAACCATGGTTGCTCTTTGTTTATCATTGTTATTAAATCCATTCCGATATATAAAGAATTAAATAGTTTTGTTATTTCTAAAGGTAAATCAATCGATGTTTCATTATTCGCTATTTTTTTGATAGAGAAAATTGTTTCACAATTGGATACTAAAAAACATATGATATAAACATTGTTTGGTAAATTTTGTGGAAAATCAACATTAAGGAACAATTGTTTTGCTATTCTAGACACTGTCATTTTAGGAATCATTTGTACTTTCATCTTGCAAGCATAAAGATTTATCCTGTTAATTTTATTTTTTTCAATAGCATATACTTTATTGCAAGATTCTAATTCTTTCGATTTTTCATAAATTTGTTCAACGAATAAGTTCGTATCTTTTAACATGTCTTTGTGAAGATCTATAAAATCATCTTTGGAAGTTTCCTCATTTAGAAAATCTTCTATTACATCTGTGGATAATTCATGGAGTTCTTTTTTATTAGTAAGACCTAAGAATTTATCTTTTGTATAATATTGCACGCAGACAAAATTTTTATCTTCAACTTTGACTTTCCTATATATCTCTGTAGAAAATGTCATTGTCATATAATACAATTTGGATTCGTTAGAGTAAATAATCCATATTTTGTCCTTATGCTGATAATAAATTCCTGCGCAAAGGCTTTTCACATCTACTCCTAAATAAAGTTTTTTATAACGTAACATATTTCTTTTTGGATACACGAGGACAATGGCATCCGTATTTGTAATAAGTATCAATCCATGAATCTTATCATCATTTTGTATAGGTACAATATTTGTTATTTTATTATCGCAGTTATAAATTATACGAATAACTTCTTTGGTTAACGTAAACAACTTTTTACCATTACCTATTAAACATAAATTATCTACGGTGCTATTTCCATCCAGTAATATGTTTCTAAGGTCATCTTCTGAATTTTTTGCATTCAAAGAAAAGGTACATAATTCTTCTAGCTCTTTCGAAGTTGGTGGTAGACGAAGTAACAATTTGCTCGATTTGTCCTGTTTATTTTCTAAATACAAGCAATCATCCATAGACTTGAGTATTTCAAAAAACATGGAACCGATACTTATAGCACTTTTGCTTAATACGCTGAATCTTCCTTCTCTTGACAGTTTATACACGCCACGTGGTGAACATGTAAAGAAAACTCTATTGGAGAAACATTGTATATTTTTTATCTGTCCTGGTGCAATCAAAACTGGCAACGAAGATGTAGATGTTTCTAGGTTATATGAAAACATGACAAATTTGTCATTATTCCAACAGAAACATTCATCGTTACCATAAAAATTACACAGTACAAAATGTTCAGGGAAAAATTCATTGTCCTTTGTTACAATATTCATATTATATGATTAATATTAAACATAAAATTAATTCAAGGATTGTTTGGCATAATCCTTTAAAATTTATCGTTTCTGATTTTTCAATTAAATATAAATGTTTTATTTAACAACAATCGAAGTACATTAAAAATCTCGTTTCTATTATGATAATCAAGTAAATGCAAAAATCACGAATTTTAAATTCAACTAATGTATAATTAAACTATTATAACATGTTTTACACAAGTTCAAACTTTAAATTATTTTTTATTAAATGAGTCTATCATAGCAGTGCTGTCAGATCCAGTGATCCCAGAGACTTTAGTTCGTTTGATGGACACAGGGGCGCAAAATTATCGTACGCGGCAGAAAATTATCGTACGCCCCGGGAAAATTTGAAATCCGACAAATCTCGGACAGAATTTTGAAAAAGTCGAAAAAAGTGGCCAAGTTCCAACTTTTTCAAGTGGATGACCTTTTTTTTTTTTTTACTC